AATTTTGAAACCAATTAGCAGGGCCATAGCAGGACGTACGTCTTTATTGCTATCTTTCTTTATTATGTGTGCTTCATATGAAAAAGAAAGAGATAGGTGTAAAACGTATCGTAAGACATTTATCGCACATTCTGGCTGGCGGGAAATTTAAATTAGCCATTATTAGTAGTATTCTTTCATTCTGAACGAACTGAAAATTTTCACTTAAACTGATTTATTCCCTATACCACGTAAAGGGAACGTGAGGTAGGGAATAAATCAGTTTAAGTGAATTTTTTTAGTTTCCTTCAAAACGAAAGAATACTACTAGGTATTATAAGGGAAATTATAAAAAAAGCAAAAATTGTACTGTTTTATAAACATATTTATTTCTAGATAAAAATAAATAAAATTTTTATAATATAATAACAAAAAATAACAGTGTTTATTCCACCCACCTACCAATTTTAAATGCAGAAGAACTGACTGTTGCAGGAAACGATCGGCCAATTTTCGGCCATTAAAGGGCATTAAAAATCTCATTTTCTAAACAAGTGGAGCTGCCTGGTTATTGTAGCCACCCCTTCAATTATTATCAGTAATTTTGGAAAAATAAGCATTTTTACATATTATCTAAATTTTCCCAAACATTCAGGCACTTTTTTAAATTAGTTTATTTTAAGATTATTAAATCACATTGTTAAATAAGTTAAAATAAGTACCTACATTATTTAACCATCAGTTTTTGTCAACTGCCTAATTGCAATAACAAAGTGAATATCCAAGCAAAAAAAACTTTACGAGAATTATGACCCCGAACCATCTTCAAGTCCAGTTTTAATCCTAAAACAAAAGTAAAATAGGTATATTAATTAAGTTTCTCTCTGGTTACAATAAACCAGCTATAATAAACTACCCAAAAAATGAAATGTATTAATTTGTTATCATGCCCTAGACACTCAATGGTAATTTTATAGAACTACAAATTTAGTTTCTTCCGCATCGCCAGATAGCGCAAAAGATATTAAAGTACCTACGTTTCTAAGTTATATATGAAGATGACATGACAGTCTCTATGTTAACTACTGTCTATGGTCTAGTTTTTGTCTGGTTGACAAAATGTTGGTGATCCGTCAAATTATTTTTAAATCATTATTTAAATAATTATTAATTCAGATAATCCTAATTTATCGGAAAGTTCAGTAATTTCAGTGATTTGTGTTTATAGTTTGTGTTTTTATTAGTTAGTGTCTTCTGATATTTACAGTCGATCATCATTTTCGTGTTAGATACTAAACTTTTTTTATTAAAGTCATTTTGACATTTTAGAAATGATAAATTTATGAACCAAATAAAAAAAATAGTTTAATTATAAATAAGTAAGTACATAGTTGATAATATATAGTATTTTTAGTAACAGTTAATTAGTAGTCTATACTATTTTTACTATATTATAATTTAGTTGTTAAATCAAAAAAAAAATAGGCGCTATGTAATCTATTGTTGGTGTTTAAAATGTATGTATTCATAATTTTAATTTTGTTTTAATTATTGTTACACTTCTAATGATCTAATAAAACATAAAATGGTAGTAAAAAAGTCTATATTCATTATTTTATATTTTACAAGGAATAATTTTGCGCTTGAATAACGTTACCGTTTTAGTTAGCGTTAATAAGTATCGGAACCCTAAAATTATGTTATGCTAAAACTCTCCATTAGTTTCTTCCGGATCACCAGGTGGCTCTAAATGACGGACCCATTTGTTTTATATCAGTGTCCAATCTATCTCTAGTACGTGACATTAGTCTATGTTTGTTATGTTAAGAGAGGTTCGAAATATTTTTGACACTACTACTTCTACTTTTTTCTTAATAGGTTGATAAATATAACATACTTACTTTTATTTTACCGGGTGTCTTTAACATATCTATCAGAGAAATGGGGTACCAATACATATAAACAATAGATGATACTGGCTCCTGCAGCAAATAAAATAACAAATAGTATAACCTAAAATTACAAGTAACAAAATATAAATACCTATCTGAAATAAAGGAATTTGGAGTAAAATGGAGACTTTAGAAAAAAAGGTAAATCACCAAAAGAAAAATTAACAAACATAACGAATTGTCATGATGTTGTCATCTTGGTTGTCATGAGAACGAAAGGCGATTGTTCTAATTTCTATTTAGAAATTACGTTTTATATGGCTGCTTCTTTCTCTCTTGTTATATTAGAATGAGGTAGTGGGCCTCCTTAGTGGCAATAGACGCAATGCGCAGATCAACATAAATAGAACCAAATTTTGCGTTCTGACTTGCATTACGGGAACGTTGTCCCTCTCTTTGCCATTTAATTTGCCAGTCTTTTTTTATTTGTTTGTCTATGGTATGAACTTATAGGTAACAAGGGTAGAGAAAATTCCGATTTATACCAGCTTATATTTTAAGCCCAACATAAAAACCTAACTATTTTAGTCTCAGTGTGTCGTTCTAAAATTCTTACCATTCTGAATCGTTCATTTTATCAGCAGTTTTGATGAGAAAATTAGGTACTGATACCAAGTTGTTTATGCTCCGTACTCCGTATATACAAGTACAATGTACTTTGTAATATTTCAATTTTACATCAACTAAAAAGTTTGTAGCTGTTGTGAAATCTCTGTAAAGATCAAATAAAATACATACTTGACCAAGTCGCATAATGATATCGTTTAGGTTTTAATTCAAACACACAAACAAAGAAATTCATTGGCTTCGTCCATTGAGTAATCTAACCTCAATTTATTTAACGTGTACGTTTGAATATTTAGGCACTTCTAAGTTGGTACCCGGAAAAACTCAACGTCATAAACTATAATGACGTTTTGCTTACATCGAAGTTTTGTATTTAGTTAACCTGCACCTAGACACAGCGTAATTAATATTTAATTAAAATAATGTCTGTACAATTGTGGCGAGTTCATTTCTTGAAAAAATTCGGGGTTTTTGCAACTGGAAAAGAAATTTACAAAATAAAAAAGACATTTTTTCTATACACCACTGCGTTGAATCCCAACGGAAGTTGGGATCAGTGGCTTGCCTAACCGACAAAAAATAAATAACGTTTCAGAAGATATATCTCCCGCCGTTATCAAAAGTAAAAAAAACATAAAGAAAAGAAATGATATGATGAAGGTTCGTGAAAATGCAACTTTTCACGAACACTTTAGTTTTTAGCAAATACGTTACTATAGTAAACGCCACGAATGTTTGGGAGTGATTCATGGCTTGATGAAGTTAGAATCGACACGCGCGCTATCATTTTTACATTAAAAACGTAAATTTTTACCGCAGACGTAGGTTTTTAAAGGCCCGATCTAATCATCTGCCTGTGCTCCTCCTACTTATTCTAAAATGTTAGCGTGATTGACAAAGACGATACTATATCGCGTTTCTTTGATTGATTCGTTTTTGTGCGTCAGTCCATTGGTGTGCTTGCAGTGCGACCAATGGGGCATTCCATTTTATATTTATAACCAAATATATGTTTTGACAAGACTTTGACAGTTAAAACAACAAATTACAACAGATTATATATTGATTATTATATGATTTGAAACTGAGCTCGAAACACCACGGCACTGGAATTAAGTTTTATGTGACCTTGAGCAGATTAGTTCATATGGTAGCGACCGATAAATCAATCCCAAACATTCGTGGCGTTTACTATATAAACCGTTGACGTCCTGTTAAAATGACATTACACGAAGTCACACTTAAAATTAACAATTACTACCCCCATTAATGAGGTAAAAACAAAAAACTAAACTTCTGTATACAGGGTGGTCCGAACTGTATTCCGGAAACTTCGGCAGCATATTCTGCAGATAAAAATAAGTAAAAAAGTTCCTATAATATAATGCTTAGTTTCGGAGATACAGGGTATAGAAGTTTCATTTATTTTTATTTCGATTTTTTCCAAATAATTTCTGAAGTAACGTCAATATATGGATGAAAATTGGTGTCTGGGAGTTTTTGTACATGAGAAATTTGATTTTGATGTCAATATGACTCCTACTTGTAGAGGGCACCACCTACATATTTTTTAACTGGTTTGAAGAGTAATAACTTTTCGTCCGTACCTGTATAAAACTACCGAGTAAAAAAATATACATTTACGATGTGTTTTACGTAAAAAAGATCTCTTGGTAAAAATCGCTACGAGTAATGGTTCTCGAAATGTTTGGAATCGAAATTATCAATACCTGTCATCAGTGACATAAATTAACATGTTGACTAAATAGTTATTAGACTGAAATTATAAATTTGAAATGTTTTTGTACAAAAAGTTCAACAAAAACTGTTTTATCATCATTTTTTCGCAGAAAAAATTATGATTAATTTAAAAAAAATTAAAATTTCCCAAATTTATTATTTCGGTTAAATAACTATCTACCCAACGTGTATATTTTTTGTCAATAATGACATGTATTGATTATTTCTATTCTAAATATATTGAGAATGGTTGCTCGTAACGATTTTTACCAAGAGACATTTTTTACGTAAAAAGTCACGGAAATGTATATTTTTTTTACTCAGTAGTTTTATACAGGTACAAACGAAAAGTTATTACTCTTCACAACAGTTAAAACATGTAGGTGACGTCCCCTACAAATAGGAGTCATATTGACATCAAATTTTTCATGTCAAAAAACTTCCAGACACCAATTTTCATCCAAATATTGACGTTACTTCAAAAATTATTATATTATTTTCATAAAATAAAAATGAAACTTCTACATCCTGTATCTCCAAAAACTAAGCATTTTAGGACAAACAGTTCGTATAAATGTAGAACTTTTTTACTTATTTTTATCCGCAGAATATGCTGCCGAAGTTTTCGGAATACAGTTAGGACCACCCTGTATAACATTTACAGTAGCGAAAAACCCAGAATTTTTTCAAGAATTTAATATTTTTTTAATTAAAAAAAATCGAATTTTGATAGATTATTTTTCAAAAAATATCTTTTTGCAGGAATTTTTACCTTTGCTACCAAACCTTTTGGAGGGTTTAAACAGACTCCAAAGTGGTTTACACAAGCAACACATGAAGGATTTATTTGTTGAACTGTGTTTGACAGTTCCAGTTAGATTGAGTTCACTATTGCCGTATTTGCCTATGTTAATGGACCCATTGGTAAGTAGTTTTGGATTTTAAAACAGTAATATTAGTGCTAAATAATAAAAATTTATAGGTGTCAGCTCTGAATGGATCTCAAGGTCTTATCAGTCAGGGTTTGAGAACTCTGGAGTTGTGTGTAGATAATCTACAACACGACTTCCTTTACGGACATATTCAGCCTGTTAGAGCGGAACTTATACAAGCTTTGTGGAGAACGTTGAGGAATAATGATCAGGTAATCTTTATATTATACTAGCAGACCCGGCCATGTGTTGCTGTGGCTAAGGTCAGTGATGGGCAAGTGCCCAGTATATTGAAATTTGGGTAAATACCATTACACCCGGTATATACCCTATCATGTGCCCGGTGGCGTAGAGGTACAGGTTCTCGTCTACCAATTTCAAGGTGTGGGTTCGATTCCCACACCCGGCATTTCATCAGCCGACTATTTTTATTAAAATAAAAATAGTTTGGGTACCTAGGTCGACTCAGCCTTAAATGAGTACTTGGGATTCACAATCCTGATGTAATAATAGGCGGTTGAAGCGTAGTGCTAGCCACATTACCTTCCTTGTATACCGGCTCTAGTATAGCAAGCTGTACCTTGCTACTCCCAAGGCGTTAAACGCTATATACGGGAGCTATTATTATTATTATATACCCTATCATACTTACGTTTTTAATTTAAGGTATCCTAACAATTTTTAAAAACAATTTTAATTTTACAAAATTAAAATTATTGAATTACTAATATCGCTGTTAAAAAATAGGGGTTAATGGTAGAGGGGTGAAAATTTAGGGTTGTATGTGTTTTTTAATGCCACATCATAAAAAAATAAAAATAAAAAAAATTGGAGTGAACCATCCTAATCACTTCCGGGTATAAAAAATAGATAACAACTTATTCTCAGACCTATGTATATATGAATATATGTATAAAATTTCATCAAAATCGGTGAAGCCGTTTCAGAGGACTTATGGTAACAAAAAGTGTGACACGAGAATTTTATACAGGGTGTTTCAAAAAACATGTGCCATCTCTCGTGGGAGATTCCTCACGTAAAAATAAAACTCATTTTTCATATCAACATAGGTCCGATTCTGCTTTGTTTCGTAGCTACAGGGTGTTAAAGTCTTAATATTTCTTCGATTTATTATAATTTTCTTTCAAGTACTTTTAGCGTTTCAAATGAAATTTTGAGGATAAAAGTTACAAAGTTACTATAAATGCGACATATTTTAAAGCTAAAAAAGTGTCAACATACCGACATATTCACCAGGGACGTGCATATGGGTTATCACTGGAATATTTCTCTAAAAAAAGCATGTATGCCACTGACCTTTTTTCTATTGTTGGCGAAATAGTGTAAGCAGTTTAATGCCGATTAAAGAAAAAAAATACACCACAAATAAAAACAATATAATAAAATAGAGTTTCAATTTCCAGGTGGCTCAGGTGGCTTTCAAGGTCCTAGGCAAATTCGGTGGTGGGAACAGAAAAATGATCGTCGAACCTCAGCATCTAGACTACGTGTCGTCTGACTTCGACCCGCCTGCAATCTTGACGCGTTTCGACGATTATCAGCAAAGCGTCGAGTTTCCCGTGGCCAAGGTGATAGAAACGGCGTTCAACGCTCTGAAACAAAGCACCATCGATCCGTTCTATCACAAGCAGGCCTGGGAAGTGATCAACTGTTACCTAACCGCGTCCAGAGATCTGAAGGATAGCAAGGAGGAATTGATTAAACTGTTTTTGAACCCGAGCTTCCAAGATCCGTCCAAGATTTCGATTACGAAAGGCTCGAATTATAAATCTATCCATACGACTGCACGAGAGACTCATCAGATAGCTTTAAAAGGTAAAAACTGGGTGTGGGGTAAAAGAACGAGATTTGTTATGTTTTTTTTTTCATGACAAGGGTCCGTCCTTTGCCGGAAACACTGCGACTTGTGAGGCCTATTGTGTTTGTCCCCTTTCTATATCTGCACCCATTCTCCTATCCCTGTGCCCTGCACTAGCTTATGCAGATCTTTGATAGGATGGGATAGTTCCTCCGGTTCTAGCCTAGCTTTCCCAAATAAAAAGTGTCACTTGCGATCCAGAACCTCGCAATGACATATGTGCTCCGCTGTTTCAGGATCTTTATCGCAGAGTCTGCAGCAAAGACTTTCTTGATACAGGTTGAGCTGGTTTAGGTAACACTTGACAGCCATGTGTGCTGCCAAGAGGCCTGTTGTAATCCGCAATTTATTCCTGCTAAGCATTAGCAGTTCTTTTGTGGTTTTAGAGCTAGGTCCTTGGATAAAAGCCTTGCTGTGCCTGTGCCCCTGTCTGTTTCTCTAATAGACATTCTGCTTTTCCCTTATCCTGAGTTTTAGTGCACTACGGGCCATACATTTGGGTATTCCCAGTACTGGCTCTGGACCAAGATAGAATGCCGATGATCCTTGCCAAGCTAGCTCATCGGCTTTTTCGTTGCCTTGGATGCCGCTGTGTCTCGGCACCCAGAATAATTTAATTCTGTTCCTTTGTGCCAGAGCTCGCAGTTCACCTAGGCATTCCCAGACGAGTTTCGACGATACGTTTGGGCTCATAAGCGCCCCAAGTTCCGCCTGACTGTCTGAGCATTTGGTATGTTAGTATATGACAAATCAGGATTGATTGACGTATTCCATTGTTTTCGGTCACTTCTTGTTTTACAGAAAATGACTACGACTTTTGATTTTTAAATGACGCCCTCGGCTTTTTCTTACTTTATTTGATAGAAAATGACACTTTAAATGGAATGATATATCATATATGTCAACTTTTGACATTTTTGGATATGGTTTATTTGAAATTGTAACGAGCTGTTTACAACGATAATTTGACTCCAGATACCAAGTGTGTGGTACCAAATTATTGCCTTTAAAAAAAATGCCTTTTCCAAATATGCTAATGAGCCACTATCGTTCCATTTGAAAAAATTGAGATATGATTAAAAATACGATTTGGGCATCTTTTAACCGGCCAGGACAAGACATGAAAAACATTAGTTACATATCGTCCCATTGCTGCCAAAAGTCACTAACTTACTTTTTATTACTTCCGAGAAAAATGCGTCTAAAGATTAATTGCATTGCATAAAGTTGTTGTTAGTAACTATTCGGTATTAAAATACAGCATAAATAGCCAGAAATCGTAGTTAATGGCTTTTTCAATCGATTCTCGGCTTCAAAATATAGTTAAGTGATTGCATTTCTGAGTAATTTGGTTATTCTGTAAAATGTTAGTTAGTGACTTTTAGCAGCAATAGGACGATATGTTCAGGAGAGCATAGCAAAAGATATATTAATGAACCAGGTTTCTTAAAATTCTCTCTCGAAGACGTTTCTAGCTCTTAGACATAAGTAAAACAGCGAAATCGTTATGAAAATGAAAATATGAAATGATACAAGCATATAATTAGCATATCACAAGCATATAACTAGCAAATCGCATATCGGATGAACGGAGGCATGAAAATGCAATAAATTTAAAAACTGCGTAATTTTCTAACCAATCAAAGTTTTTAAATTCAACCAATAAAATTAATATCGTCGGATAACGGATGCATGAAAATCAAGCTTTACTCACAGCTTATTTTTAAACTGTTAACAGCTGTGAATTGCTACTTTTATTTCACTATGAAAATATTACGGGTAGCGATTTCTGCCCGTCTCTCGCAGTTAGTAGTAGCTGTTAGTAAAAACATATTTTTTTCTTTATCTTTTATCTTTTAACTCTTGTTCTTAGGTATGATTGTTGGAGCTGCTATTAAAGAATTGTCTAAACCAGCAATGCAAATATTTGTTTTACTTGTTCGACATTACACAATGGTAGCTGTTGCTCAGCAATGTGGGGCCTTTGCCTACACTCCAAAACCAAACAAACAATTAGATCTAGATCCTTTGGTACTCGTGGATGCTTTAGCTGGAATCATGGGCCACGAAGAACGAGAACTATGCAAGCCTGGACACATTGGATTGGTAAAAGAATTTCTAAATACAGGGTGGCCCTAATGGTGTCCGGGAAACTTCGGCAACACATTCTGCAGATAAAAATAAGTAAAAAAGTTCATGTTTTAAAATGCTTCGTTTCGGAGGTACAGGGTGTAGAAGTTTCATTTTTATGTCGATTTTTTTCCAAATAATTTCTGAACTATAATCTTGTTTTCTTATATAATATTTGGATAACAATGGGAGTCTAGGTGTTTTTTGAGATGACTCCTACTTGTAGGGAGCGCCACCATTTTTTTTAACTGTTTTGAAGTGTAATAACTTGTCGTCTGTACCTGTGTAAAACTACTGAGTGAAAAACATGACGTTTTCGTCATTTTTTACATAAAAAAGGTCTCTTGGTAAAAATCGCTACGAGCAACCGTTCTCAAGATATTTCGAAATTTAATACATGTCATTATTGTCAAAAAATAAATATGTTGATTACATAGTTGTTTGAGACAATGTTTCTATTGAACTTTTAGTACAAAAAATATCAAATTTATTATTTCAGTCTAATAACTATCTAGTGAACATCAAGTGAACTTGTTTAATTTTTGTTAATGATCTTGAGAAGCATTATTCGTAGCGATTTTTACCAAGAGATTTTTTTACGTAAAAAACAGCGACAATGTATAATTTTTCACTTTAGTACAGGTACGGACGAAAAGTTATTACTCTTCAAAACAGTTAAAAAACATGTAGGTAGCGCCCCCTACAAGTAGGAGTCATATTTACATCGAAATCAAATTTCTCATGTCAAAATAAACAGACACTAATTTTCATCCAAATATCGATTACAGTTCAGAAATTATTTGGAAAAAAATCGACATAAAAATGAATCTTCTACACCCTGTATCTCCGAAGCGAAGCATTTTAAATGACTTTTACGTATTTTTATCTGCAGAATATGTTGCCGAAGTTTCCCGATGACAATTCGGACCACCCTGTAAACTGAACTTAACGGAATAAATTAATTTATTTTAATTTCCTTAGATGCTTATAGTAGATACGGCTACTACACTTCTGGGTAGCAAGGAAATGGCCTGTCGTCTACCTCTAATCGAGTATCTGTCCGAAAAAATGTGCGGATTGTGCTATGAAAGAGCCTGGTATGCAAAACTAGGAGGCTGCATTGCTATTAATTTCATGTTCGAGAAAGTACGTGAATGAGCTGAAATACGAGAGTTGTCTTTTATATTTTGCATATAGAAACATAGTAGGCATCTGTCAACATATATCAAATGTCAAAATTAACTGTCATCTTTATTTAGAATGTAGAATGAGTATGAGGGGGGTTAATCACTGCGACCTTAAAGATCTATTGTGCCCCCCTTCCTTGAGTCATCACACAGTCTATAACCAACCCATCATACCCTTGTTGTAGAGGGGACAGGGTATTTCCCATTCTCCTCTGACAACAGTTCTTCCTCCGAGGGTACACACCCTTCCACGGTTGGAGTTTGGCCCTCCGTGCCGCCTTTCACAGTGAAGGAGCTTGCCTCCGGCTGAGGAACCCGTGAGGCGGAGGCTGGAGGATCTGTCTCCATTTTCTCCACCTCTTTAACTTGGTCTCTCCTTAGACCTGATACCGGTATTGTCCCGTATCTATAATAGAGGATATGTCACTCTTTCTATATTGCCTCCTTGGATTTGAGGTCAATTCCTATTGTGAGGACCTGACCATGTCCCTCCTCCCTCGAGTTGATGACTCGCCAACTCGATGTCCTTACATTGAAGTTCGGACCCTGGATAAGGCTTAGCAGGTAGGTGGTGTCTTTCTCCTTGCTCCTCGGCAGAAAGAGCATGATGGCCGCCCCTTTAGGGATGTTTTCTCCCTTCACTGCAACCAATTCCGGTCCCTGCCAATTTTTAAGCTTAGGTGCGACTTCCACCAACCAATTCACCGATTCTTGAGATACACAATCTATGTGGATCATGCCCACCCGAAAGTGTATCCCCGCAAAACGCAGCTGACCCACATTTTGTAGAGCGTTGTGTTGCGATCCGATCGCCACTACTTCGTCCAGTATAGCCTCTTCTAGAGACGTTTGCTGGTCGGTGGTCAGAGCAACCTCTGGGAAATCCTTTGGCAGCACCGCCATTTTTACTTGTCCAGCAATAGCGGCAAAGCTGGTGATACGTCCCTGCTTGCCTCCCGGTGTTGGACGGCTTTCCATCCTGGCTTTTTTCTCTCCCTGCCGGAGAAAAGGTGAGAGGTTTTCGCTCCCTCTCTTGCCCTTTGATGGAGATGAGTCAGGTTGTTTCTTTACTCTCCCCTTTTCGGAGGAGTGTTTTCGCTTTTGCTTCCCCTGGAGCAAGTCCTTCGTGGAGCAGTCGGAGGTATCTCCGTGCTTCTGCTCCGCTAAGACCTACTCTCAGAGGATCGTCTAGCCCGCCTGGTTGACCCAGGCCGAGTAGACGAAACGGTAGCTTTTGTCGCTTATTGGGTCTAGAGGTAGGCTTCCGACCCTTGCTGGAGAAGGTGGTAGCTTGTGTGCCACTTGTGGAGGATGATCCCAAGCAAGTGTCAGCCGCCCCTCTTGTAGGTTCCTTTCGATTGACAGTGTCGCTAGGGGGCTTCCCCGCAGCTTCACCGGTGGTGTTTTTAATGCTAGATCTCATAGTGTTCCGACGAGTCGCTAGGGATAGTCGGTTCACTTCTACAGAGCCCCACATGTAGAAGTAAGGGGTAAATACAATGGGGTGCCCCCTGATGCCCCAAGGTTGAGGCCAGTAATGGCTAGTCCTCCCAGCACCTGACCAGGAGCTTCCCCACCAACGACAAGGCGGAAAGCCTAGCGGAAGATCTTTATTTAACTTAACGTCAAAGTTTTAGACCACTTCATTTACAGCTGTATCTAAACTGAATTTTTGATAGTCCAGGAGGCAGTGAAGATTTTCGATACTTATTTTCCCTATGCGATTTACTTCCACACATGTAAATACCGACCCAACAGAAACCGTTGCCAGCACGGTATATTCACCCACTGGGAAAATAAGTACAAAAAAATGTCACTGTATCCTGGACTATGAAGTTGATGGGTCAGTCGAAAAATGGAATTAAGCCGAGAAAATTGGTTGATTTCTGTTTTCGGCAGTGAAGCACTACATCAGTCTCAAACGTGGATGTATCAGTCAGCGACGATGGATTGGTCTTAGTTACTCTATATGCAAAATATAAAAGAAAACCTTTGTAGTACGTTTTATTAATTATATATTTTTCAGTGTGCTTTAAAATGGGTGTACGAACATATGTTCACCTTTCTAAAAGCATTATTATTTGTTATGATGGACTTGACCGGAGAAATTTCACATGGAGCGCTTGATATGGCGAAAGAGAACTTACAAAAAATGCTAATTGTATTAGTAACACCTCCCCCTGAAGGTACTGAGAGATAATAGTATATTACATACCGAGGAGGGAAGTGTTTCATTACTGTCGAGAGATTAACTAAATCTCGAGACAATAATGAAAACTTTCCTCCGAGGTTTGTATACTATTTTATTTAACACCACATCGTTAATTAAAAAATAGGGACAGTATTTTATTTTGAAAAAAAAATAAATATGCGAAAATTTGTCGTTTTCTGTTTTGACATTTCCATATCTATAGTTACTGGTACCAGTGGTTGTTATGGCGCAAACCTTCAACAGCAAAACAAACAACTAAGTGACAGTTTCGAATTTCTCGTTTTCTTTTTTGAATTTATATAACATAGAAAGCCAGAATGTTCTGATAATGAAGACTACTTTAATATTGGTACTCCACCAGAACTTACAGAAGCTGCAAAAAGAACAGAAGCCAGTTTACTTCCAGAGAAAAGTAGGGGGCGATATGAAATAGCGTTGAAAGTATACGAAAAATGGTGTGCCGAAAGAAATGCTAAGAATATTGCGTGGGAGACAGTCTTGATGGCATATTTTAGCGACATGGCATGGCAGAAAAAGTCATCTACTCTTTGGGCTACGTACAGCATGATACGGACAATGCTGGGATTAAGAGAAAAGACTGACATAGCAAAATATCACAAACTCGTCGCTTTTTCAAAACGCCAGAATGTGGGTTTTAAGCCAAAGAAGTCTAGCATTTTTACCTTCAACAAATAAATGTATTAAAATCTTCAATTATTATTGTTAATCTTCTTGTTTATTTTTGTTGATGTTAGATAAGCATGTAATAAAGATATTACAGGAATATTTCGGTCTTAAGAGTGAGGGAAATGGAAGAGGGAAGAAATGTAGATAATTTGACACTTTCAATTTTTTTAAAAGTCAGTAATGTCAGTATTACATATGTGGTTGTAAATAAACAAAAATACAACCACTGTACACACCATTTTATTGAATTTTACAGACAGTGACGAGAAGACGAAAGAACTACAGTCTGAAGCTTTATGTAACGTTACTAGTGAGTTAGTTAGACAAGTAACTAGTCCACATAATATGGTTAGGGAACAGTCCATGGCAAGTCTTTCTCTGCTTGCTAAAGAACAAAACAAAACTGTAACTGAAGTGATAGAACCGTTTAAAGAAGTGATAGCTGACATGATTCCTCCTAAGAAGCATCTGTTAAAACATCAGCCTGCTATAGCTCAGATGGGTCTTATGGATGGTAAGAAAATGAAGTTATTTCTTAATTTATTATTATTATTACTAAAACATGAAAACGGCGTTACAGTAGAAATATTATTTTATTTTAAGCCTTTAGATTTGCCCTATTCCACTGCGACATTTATAGTCCAGGGCCCGAATTCTGTAACTTTGACATAAAAAACGTTACGCTTTCGAAGCGGTGATTTTGGTATTCTCGTTGCCGTGCGAATCATTTTCCATAGATAAATGAAACAAGTTTAGATTGGAAAGTGCCCATAAGAACAACGTAAACACTATTTGGCGCTATTCTTGCAACGGTCGCGACCCAAAGCTTTTGATAATTTCGGATCGGTTCGGCTTTTTCCGGAATTATGTCGTCAAATATTTTTTATTCAAATTTATTATTATTTTCTTTTAATTTTATAAATAAAATACAGTGTGTTGCATACAAGAAACTTTATTTTATATGTGAAATACCTATGAAACATTGGAAACCGACGTTATGCCACGATCCAACCACGATCCGCGATGGTTTTTGCAGCAATTTTATAGCAATAATTACTTTGAGAATGGATCCTTTAAACACTTTTCCGTATTAGCCGGAGAGCTGGCGACATATTTAGAGAACATTTTTAGGCAAGTTAGAATAACAAAAAAAAATAAAGTTTAATAACTTGTGAACCCAGAATCCTAAGTCTGGCTGGGGGGTTGGGGGTATTTCGCTACTGCGCAACCCATAACATTTGCAAAAAAATAAATCCAAAAAACATTCTTTAGGCAACTTGAAATTTGTTTATTCTTAAATTTTAGCATCTAGAAATAAGTGTGCCAGACTTTTTTTTTCGGGTTTAAAGTGTAACCAGACCATTCCAAATATGTTTAATTATTATACCTGGAAAACATACTTTAGGCATTCTAAAATTTTTACAGCGTGTTTATTAGATGATATTAAAAAATATGTGTTAATTGCCAGACGAATTCAATGGGATTTAATACTTGCCAGACGCGAATAAAGATTTTAAATGAGCGCGACAAAAAAGTCTTGTGAGTATCTATAAGCGTGAGAAAGATAGTTTATTGAGACCCGTCAGCAACCGATGCGGCTGACGTAACAGTATTTTGGAGTATGTACTTCAAATATTCATAAAAACAATTTTTTTTTCGGTTTCATTTCAATTATTTGCAGGCTTTTAATTCAGAGATTATTTTGTTGGAATTAAGTTACCATGTACAAATATGTATTTATAAATTAAATATTGACGTGCATAGTGTAAATAGTTTAGAATAATTACTGAAAATAAATATTTTAGTAACTACTAATTTCGCTACTAACTACTAAATCACAATGGATAAAAACATTTAAGTTCAAGTTATTTTTTTTGATGAAGGCAGACTACAAAAATGCAAAGAATTTTTAAAAGTGCGCCAACAACATGGTTTAAAATTTAAAGAAGTGGTTACCAGAAAACGTAGTCCCGACAAAAGGGTACCATGTACAGTGCTAAAAAAATAAGTATTCTGGAATTTTATTAAAGTACCTACCATTGTTAATCTTGCTAAATAGATTCAAAAGTAAGTAAAAGTGCTTTACTTTTATGCTTAGGCGTTAAAATGATTTTTTTATATTGTCAATCAGGTCGCAAAAAATAATAATAATATAATATGTCACAAAAGTATAATAATAATTATACTTTTGTGACGTTTGAAAAAAATATATTTTATATTATGCTAATTTTAAAATAATTATTCGTCTTTTTATTCTTTCAGATACAAAATACTTAAATTAAAAAGCCTTCAGAAAGGATTTCAATCATACATTTTTATTAAAAAATGTTTCTTTTTATTTATTCAATATTAGTTAGTTTTTTTTTAAGTTTTTACGACTCCAAAATGCTGTTACGTCAGCCGCATCGGCTGCCGACCGGGTCTCAATAAACTATCTTTCTCGCGCTTATAGATGCTCATAAGAATTTCTTATCGCGCTCATTTAAAATCTTTATTCGCGTCTGGCAAGTATTAAATCCCATTGAATTCATCTGGCAATTAACACATATTTTTTAATATCATCTAATAAACACGCTGCAAAAATTTTAGAATGCCTAAAGTATGTTTTCCAGGTATAATAATTAAACATATTTGGAATGGTCTGGTTACACTTTAAACCCGAAAAAAAAAGTCTGGCATACTTATTTCTAGGTTAAATAGATGCTAAAATTTAAGAATAAACAAATTTCAAGTTGCCTAAAGAATGTTTTTTGGATTTATTTTTTTGCTAATGTTATGGGTTGCGCAGTAGCGAAATACCCCCAACCCCCCAGCCAGACTTAGGATTCTGGGTTCATCAGTTAATAAACTATACATTTTTAGTTATTCTAGCTTGCCTAAAATATGTTCTCTAAATATGTCGTCAGCTCTTAGGCTATATTTTTTCATTGAGGGCGGTTTAAATTTTGAAAGATTTTATAATTTTTGAAGATTCTGACTTTGACAAGAGAAAATTATTTCTGTTATTATTTGCGGTTGTTCTTAGCAACCACTATAGCAGCGCCAGAAAACTACTAAAGAGCAAGAGAACGCACAAAATCACAATTTTTTCGATTTTCACCGACGCGACAGTTCGACAAGCAAAACGATCCTTTAAGGTAACCGTTTTTGAACCGCTTAGCGCAATCAGTAAAGACGCTAAACGCGTAAAATGAGAATACCCAAATCGGTAGTTAAATGCCTATGCGAAAATTAACGTCATATACGCTGAGCGTCTAAAAGCGCTTAGCGTTTTCTAAGTTACAGAATTCGGGCCCAGGAGGCAGTGAATATTTTCGGTACTTATTTTCCCAGTCAGCAAACACGATCAGCAAAAGTGAATCAAATTATTACGTGTAAAAAAAATATTTTTTTACTCGTAATTTTTTTTTTAATTCATTACTGTTTCAACATTTCAAACTACACTTTTTCAAACATGTCCTTCAACTTCTTCAATTTAATAGCTGTTAGTAAGAAGTTTTACTTCAAATATGCGCACATGGTGCATGCACAATTTTTTTTTAAACAAGGTCTTTAAATATACAGGGTGCTACAAATTCGAGGTACGCGCATTGGTATCTCGGAAACCGTAATGATACGAAGATGATTAAATTGGGGCAAAGTTGCGCCTTTGGTATGTTCACCAAGATGCCATCAAAAAAGTTTTAAAAATTGAACGAAAAATAAATTCGTTCTTTCGAACATTTAGAGCATTAGAAACTAGTTTGTAGAAGTTGATTTATTTATAAAAACTAGATACGATCAATATTATGCATATTATTAGATCGCACACAGAGATTTCCAAATTCACAATAAAAAAAAGTTAAAAATAATATCTTTAAATTGTTGACCTGGATATTATTTATTTGAATCTTCCAATTGGGCTCGATTTTCCTTATTCAAGGTTAATTAGCGCTGATCAATATTGTTGCGATGAATATAATCAGATTAAATAATTTAAAAACCAGAGTCGGACTTGAAATTATTTTAAATGTTATTTAAATAGTTTTGTTGTTGTTAAGGTATTAACATATTAACAACAAAAAAAGGTACAAAGTGTGACTTATTGTATTCAGGAGACTGAGTTCTTTCCAAACCTGAAATAAAAAATGCAGGTCCGTATTTTAAAAAAAATAAGTTGGCCTAATTTGAAAATCTAAAAATACCATCAGGTAGGCCTAATAAAGTGGCCATGAGAATGTGCAATTAGTTTTTTGATTTTCTAAAAAATAGCGACAGGAAAAAATAAAATTGATTTTCAAAAAAATCCGTTTTCCCAAAAAACTCAGCAATTCTTCAAATTTTTAAAACTTTTTTGATGGCATTTTGGTGAACATCCCAAAGCGCAACTTTGCCCCAATTTAACCATCTTCGTATCTATTACTGTTTCCGAGACGCCAATGCTCGTACTTCGAATTTGTAGCACCCTGTATAGTACCGTTCGAAATGAAATGATATTGCTAATTTTACTGCGATGTCATTGTTATGCAAATACTGGATAAAATTTTTAAATAGAATATTTGAACTATTTAAAAGAGATTGATTTTAGTTCGAATCTTATATTTTTTAGGTAACATGTTCTTTACCACTTTACAACCTAGATTATTTACTATTAATATGGGTATAGCCCATCACAAGCTTTTTATTACCGATTTGCTATCACTGTGCAATATGGAGGACTCTAGATTGTCATCTTATTCCTGCTACAAGTCCATAACCAATTTCATTCCTTTAAGACAGAGCGCGTTACGCGTTTTGGCCGCCTGTCATTATTTAGAAGAAGTGAGGGAACAAATATTTCAGGTAATAAACGTATACCGGGTGCGTCTCAAACGTGGCTCACCCTTGAAAACCACCCAAAAAACCAAAAAAAAATGATATTTTATATATTAGTAGAAGACATAAATTAGGATTGATTGACGTATTCAATTGTTTTTGTCCCTTCCTGTTTCGCCGGGAATGACTACAACTTTTGATTTTTAAATGGCACCCTCAGTATATCTCTACTATATTCGATAGAAAATGACGCTTTGAATAGAATGACATATCATACGTCATTTTTTGACATTTTCGCATGGTTTATTTGAAACTGTAATATTCGGTTCATAACGACATTTGTCTTGAAATATCAAGTGTGTGGTGTCAAATCATTCGTAAAGGAATGCTTTTTCCAAATATGCTAATGAGCCACCCTTGTTCCATTTGAAAAAATTGCGATATGTTTAAAAATACGATTTGGGAATATTTTAACCGGCCAGGACAAGACACGAAAGAAATTCTGTTTTTCCAAGGCTTCCTGATTAAAAATTAATTTTTGTTTTTAATACAGCCATGGCACTGTAGATTGAAATTAAAAATTCAATTTTTTTCAAACGAAAATGTTAAAAGTTGACATATGATATGTCATTCTATTCAGAATGTCATTTTTTATCAAATAAAGGAGAAATTTGCCGAGGGTGCCATTTAAAAATCAAAAGTTGTAGTCATTTCCGGTGAAACAGAAAGTGACCAAAACAATTGAATACGTCAATCAATTCTAATTTATGTCATGTACTAACATACCAAATCTCGTTTTTTTTTATCTGAAAAAATAAAAAAGTTATAGGGGTGAGCCACTTTCGAGACACACCCGGTAGAGAAATCAATATAAGTTGGCGTGCACTCATCAATCTATTTGACGAATATACGTCGCAATGTTGTCCCGTCTACTCTTTTGACTTGACTTTTGAGTGTCAAATAAAATACGTAAATTTGTCACCAATTTTTCACTTCAATTTTAGACACAATACATAATATACAGCGAACTAAATAGCCAGCAATTATAGTAGAGATGCCATGAAAAATAAACGTTTATCGTCACTTGCCTTACTTTCATCTAAAAAGATCTTTTCACAGCTCTTTAACAATCTGATGATTTTACTGATATAATAATAAATAACTTTTCTATATTAAGAGACCGACTCATCAATTTAATATATAAAACAAAATTATTCTTTCTCTCAATACTACCAATTTTTAAGTTTGCGTAAATAAATAAAAATAAAATAAAATTCTATGATGTACTCCATAGTGACTCCATAGTAATAGATAAAAAAAATATATACTTGTACATGTCAACCATTAGGTCATTACGTTGAATGCTGTTATTTTTGCTTTAGTTTTGTCCTAAATATTCTTGACCTATGTTTTTAACCCAGAGATAAAATATACAAACTGGCTTAGGGTATTATGTAAATTAGGGGGGGTGGCAAATAGACACAACTAAAATTTTGTCGTTTGTCGCCTACCCAGTCACACGGGTCACGAGCCGCCACTGGGCTACACCATAATTGGAAATGGTTAAATAAGCTGAAAACTATGATGATGATGATGATGACATCATACACGATATTTTTTTTTATATATATATATATATATATATATATATATATATATATATATATATATATATATATATATATATATATATATATATATATATATATATATATATATATATACTATTACTTTGTCTATGATTATTACAGAAACACATTCTAACAAAATAAAGTCATTGGCAAGTTTTCTGAACAAATGCTAAAAAATGTAGTTCTATTTTTCAAAAATCAAAGTTCTATTTGGTTATCATTAGTCTTCACTTTTTGCGAGTATTTATATACCAAAGACTGCTGAAAGATATTTCTTCCTGGACACTTCATCTGCGTTGTCTGTATTTTAATGTATTCGACAGAGATAAATATAAATGACCGGTTGACAGACAGAGAGACAAAATAAAAAGCGGCACACAGTGTTGCCGGTTTTTACGTTTGTAGGAAAAAAAGAAACTATTTTAAAAACTTTCATGTATACTACTGAAATGAAGATAATAAATCTAAGCTAATAATGAGTAACTAATTGTGAAAAATAAAGTCCCAACCCTAGATGCAACATTTTTCAGAAATGCCTACTTGTGCGGTTTGAAATTTTGATACAAAATCCGGCAATACCGCATAGAAGAAATGTATTGACTTAACTTTTATCCCTTGTTAATACATTTGATTTACCATTAAACTGTCGACATCACTGTCTTACATGTTAAAATCCAGACCACGCAGTTTCGTTGACCAGATTGGTATAGTTCATACCAAATAAACTTTTATTTAGTCTGATTAACCTCGACCGGCACGGTGTTGCCAACTTGTACATGTTTTCCTTTAGTCAAAATATTTTAGGAAACAAAAAAGAATTAATTATAAACAAAAATTAATTAACTACAAGGTCTGTTAGTAAAAAAGTACGCGCCAACTTTTATTGATTTTCTCTATAATTGACCTAAAGCTTGATTTTCATGCGTCCGTTATCCGTTGATACGATGGTCCGACGACGCTCTGATTAGTCATAGCGCTTTCGCGCTACTTTTTATCCCTAAATTTTTTACTCCAGCCCGTCAACGGAGATAGATCGTACGATAACGGACGTTTTGACACTTTTTTAACAAATTTAATCTAACCTTAATATTTATTAAGTTATACCAGAGCTAGCAACGTCGGAAAAACATGAATTTTAAGAAAGCTAGTTCTTTAATATATCTCTTGCTATGCTTTCCTGTGCTCTCCTAACCAAAGTGCGGGAAATCTGGCTGTCGATAGACTACTGCGCATCACATCTGTACAGGGTATCCAATTTTTGTGTGTTATAGGATTTCTCGTTTATGAGTAGATTTACAATGATGCGATTTTCACATTACTTTGCTACTTTTTTATGAAACTAAATATGCTACACGTGTTCATTCTAGCCTACTTAGTTTCTGAAATACAGGGCGAATTTATGATGCGCAGTAGGGAACAGATGTTGAATACAGATATGATGTGTGGTTGCGAACGCAACGTCTACCGGCAGCCAGACAGTCCGCTCTCTGTTCAGGAGAGCATAGCAAAAGATATATTAAAGAACCAGCTTTCTTAAAATTCTCTCTCGAAAACGTTGCTAAAGTAAACGCCACGAATGTTTGGGAGTGATTCATCGCTTGATGAAGTTAGAATAGACACACGCACTATCATTTTTACATTAAAAACGTAAATTTTTACCGAAGACGTAGGTTTTTAAAGGCCCGGTCTAATCATCTGCCTGCGCTCCTCCTACTTATTCTAAAATGTTAGCGTGATTGACAAAGACGATACTATATCGCGTTTCTTTGATTGATTCGTTTTTGTGCGTCAGTCCATTGGTGTGCTTGCAGTGCGACCAATGGGGCATTCCATTTTATATTTATAACCAAATATATGTTTAGACAAGACTTTGACAGTTAAAACAACAAATTACAACAGATTATATATTGATTATTATATGACTTGAAACGGCACTGGAATTAAGTTTTATGTGACCTTGAACAGATTAGTTCACCTGGTAGGGATCGATAAATCACTCCCAAACATTCGTGGCGTTTACTATAGCTCTTAGACTATAAATAAAACAGCGAAATCGTTATGGAAATGAAAATATAAAATGGCACCAATCAAAAGCAAATCGTATATCCGATGAATGGAGGCATGAAAATGCAATACATTGAAAAACGGCGTAATTTTCTAACCAATTGAAGTCTTTAAATTCAACCAATAAAATTAATACCGTATCATCGAATCGTCGAACAACGGACGCATGAAAATCAAGCTTTACTCGGCTTTAGTAAAACCTTACAAAATTTCTTCTATTTAATTTAGGTTTTATACAAGGCATTGGAAAAACCTAACCCGGAATTACAAGAGACTGCGTTTGAATGTATGAAGAAATTTATCGCTGGTTATACTATAGAAAAAGAATTAGTTCATCAGAACGTAAGGCCTTTCTTAACTACTCTTGGAGATGTAAATGCTTTTTCGTTGAATTCAGTTAAGATGTTATCATATTTGACACAGCTATTTCCCAATATATTTAAGGAGACTCTTTGTGAGCATTTACTAATAGTATTAAAAAATTTGACAACTGCGGAGAAATCTACTTCAGGTAAATATACAGTAAGTGCAGAACATGGTGTTTTATTTACGTTATATAATTTTACAGAAGCTAGTCTTGCAAGCGGAAGCAACCTGCCTAAAAAAACAGACGAACAGAAAATTACAATTACAATAATAAATATTTTCTATCAAACACCGGCTGCTTCGAGCAAATTTATCGTCCAGCTTACTCAGTTAATATTACAAATTGAACAGACGATGGCTATAGGTAGGTACAATTTATTTCTAACTTGGCGCTTTGACTTTTTACCTTGGTTTAGCTTGGTTTGTTTACATTGATTGAATTAATTATTTCATTTGTTTTGCGGATTTTAAAAAACGTTAAATCGAAAAGTTTTAGGGAATGTTAAAATACACAATTTCAAATTATTTTTGAGTGTACTGCTTCAAAAACTGTCGGATATAACATATATGTTTATTAAATATAGCACCGTATTTTCAGTATATTGAATTTGGGTAAATAACATTTTACCCAATCTTACTCACGTTTTTAATTTAAGGTATTCTAACAATTTCTTATTAACTTAAAATTATTGAATTACTAATATCGGTATTATAAAATAGGGGTTGATGGTAGAAGGGTGAAAATTTAGGGTTGGATATATTTTTTAATGCCACATCATAAAAAACAAAAACAAAAATTTTGGTCCAAAAAAAATTGGGTTGGGCCACCCTTAACACTTTGGGGTATAAAAAATAGATATCAACCTATTCTGAGACCTACTGAATATACATATAAAATTTCATCAAAATCGGTCAAGCCGTTTCGGAAGAGTACGGTAACAAAAACTATTAAAAAAACAACCCCTATTAAAAAAGACGGGTTGATGATAGAAGGGTGAAAATTTAGGGTTGTATGTATTTTTAATGCCACATCATAAAAATTAAAAACAAAAAATTTTGCCCAAAAAAAATTTAACCAGTATATTGAAAATTGGGTAAATATCCAAGTTTTTGCACCCGCTATGTACCCAAAGGGTCAATAAATGGTATATTAAATTTGGGTAAATAACATTATACCCAATATACAATCAATCTTTCTCGTGTTTTTAATTTAAGGTATTCTAACAATTTTTAAAAACAATTTGTTATTAATTTAAAATTACTGAATTACTAATATCGGTATTAAAAATAGGGGTTGATGGTAGAAGGGTGAAAATTTAGGGTTGGATATATTTTTTAATGCCACATCATAAAAAACAAAAACAAAAATTTTGTTCCAAAAAAAATTGGGTTGGGCCACCCTTAACACTTTGGGGTATAAAAAATAGATATCAACCTATTCTGAGACCTACTGAATATACATATAAAATTTCATCAAAATCGGTCAAGCCGTTTCGGAAGAGTACGGTAACAAAAACTATTAAAAAAACAACCCCTATTAAAAAAGACGGGTTGATGATAGAAGGGTGAAAATTTAGGGTTGTATGTATTTTTAATGCCACATCATAAAAATTAAAAACAAAAAATTTTGTCCAAAAAAAATTTAACCAGTATATTGAAAATTGGGTAAATATCCAAGTTTTTACACCCGCTATGTACCGCTATGTAGGGGTTGATGGTAGAAGGGTGAAAATTTAGGGTTTTATGTATTTTTTATGCCACATCATAAAAAAATAAAAACAAAAATTTTGTCCCAAAACAAATTTGGGGTGGGCTACCCTTAATACTTTGGGGTATAAAAAATAGATAACAACCCATTCTGAGACCTACTGAATGTACATATAAAATTTGATCAAAATCGGTTAAGCCGTTTCGGAGGAGTATAGTAACAAACACTATTAAAAAAATCAACCCTTATTAAAAAAGAGGGGTTGATGGTAGAAAGGTGAAAATTTAGGGTTGTATGTATTTTTAATGCCACATCATAAAAATTAAAAACAAAAATTTTGACCAAAAAAAATTAACCAGTATATTGAAATTTGGGTAAATACCCAAGTTTTTGCACCCGCTATGTACCCAAAGGGTCAATAAATGGTATATTGAATTTGGATAAATAACATTATACCCGGTATATACCCAATCTTAGTCACGTTCATAATTTAAGGTATTCTAACAATTTTTAAAAACAATTTGCTATTAATATAAAATTATTGAATTACTAATTAATATTAATTCTAACCGGTATTAAAAAATAGGGGTTGATAGTAGAAGGGAATTTAGGGTTGTATGTATTGCACATGAAAAAAAATATAAAAACAAAAATTTTGTTCAAAAAAAATTTGGGGTGGGCCACCCTTGACACTTTGGGGTGTAAAAAATAGAAAACAACCTCGGTCAAGCAAAATCGGTCAAGCCGTTCGGAGGAGTATGGTAACAAAAACTATTAAAAAAACAACCCCTATTAAAAAAGAGGGGTTGATGGTAGAAGGGTGATAATTTGGGGTTGTATGTATTTTTAATGCCACATCATAAAAAAATAAAAACAAAAATTTTGTCCGAAAAAAAATTGGGGGTGGGTTTACTTTGTAAATAGTAAAAGCCTTCATTTACTCGTGACTTAACTTTTAGAAGCCAGTAGTCCATTCAGAAGCGTTTTAATGAAGTTTTTGTTGCGTTATCCGGCAGAAACACTCAATATGTTCTTATCGGACAACTTTATTAAAGACAAACAATTCAGTAGGTATTTGGAATATCTTATAAAGGACAAGGATGGTAAACCATTCAGGTAAGTCACTTTACAATGTTTTTATTTTGTAAAATTGAGAATGATTAAAATTAGGGAAGGATACCTTTTCAACTTCTTGTATCGGTTCATTTACATCCGTTAACTTCTTATACATCCTCTACACTATGCGCTTACACAACTCGTTGTCTTGGCTTATTTTTATTTCTTAAAAAGGCCTCAAAACTACTCGTGAAATTGTGAAGAAGGGCGTGGGAGAATTTTTTTGGCGACGTCTGGTTTGCTGTTGTCTCGTTCAATTTCGTTTTATCCCGAGCTACTTGCAGGACGCACAGTGTTTTGATCATTAAGCGTTTTTTTGTTCGTTAGGCAATTTGTTTTTATCAGTAAACCTAACAACTGACAAGAGTGACAAGTAGTCTCCGTTTGATTAACGCTGCAGTCTTTACAAAAAATAACTATTTTATTTTGTAGATTTTCTTGCAGTTGCGAAATACCCATATAGGGTTTTTTTGGAGAGTCAAAATAATGATTTTGACACTTTTTTATTTCAAGTCTTCAATTATCAACCGAACTGTTGTTTTATGTATTTTTTATAAAACTGTGAATTAAATTGGCTGTACTTAAACTGCCGTTAAACGGTAGCTTACTAAAATGCCGTTAATAGGTATGACGTCGTTGATGTGACGCACTTGACGGCTTTATGAAATATAGGAATTTTATAAGGACTAACCAACGCTATCCACCCCACCAAGTAACTAACTTAACCAACGCAACTAACCTCGACACTGATAAAAAAATATAAAAAACAAATATAAATTAGTAAAAACCAACCAAACCCACCAAATAACGAACTAACCAATGAATTAACACCCTCCAAATAACCACGCTAACCAACCCGCCAAATAACTAAACCAATCCAACCAAAAAGAGTGATACCAATGCAATAAGATCACGCTATACGCAAAAAAAAATTTTGGTCGGCGTGAAATTTGAACCACGGACCATTCGCTCACGAAGCGATAGCCTCAGCCACTTAGCCACAGGTGCTCTTGCAAAATGCTTATAGCTAGGCATTACTTTCCGCCGACATGAACGACTTCACAATATCTATTAACGGCATTTTAGTAGGCTGCCGTTTAACGGCTGTTTAAGTACATCGAATTAAATTCCCCTTTTACTCATATTTAACATCTTAATCTGATTTTACAGAGATCACATACAAACTTCAATGGTTAAGCAATTGATTGTGATGGTACGTTCAAACTACCTGAACTTGAACATGACGGCACAAGAGAAAAACGAGCTTCAATTCCAGGGTATTCGGATCATTTCGCTACTAATTAAGTTTGATGACGAGTGGTTGTCAACGCAACCGGATTTAGTTGAGGCTTTAAAACAAATTTGGTGTGACGACGCTTATCAGGTTAATATACATATATAGAGAAATCAATAAAAGTAGACTTGGAATCAAAGACGTAGAAACAATTACTAAGTTAAATTTCTAATAAATAAAATTTTATTTCAAACTTAGAGCGCACTTTTCCTCTTTTTATAATTATATTTCCTGATTAAAAAAAGACGTTTGAAATTGTCGCTTCAAGTAGATGAATTAGCCGATAAAGAAAGCTTTGTGTTAGTAATCATGACAAACGTTGTTGGTTGTCATGCGATTTTTCTTTGCAAATCTGATATTTGTCATACTAGAGTTTTCTTTGGCAATTTTGAAATTAAATCTGCGATTTTTATTGCAATAAAGTGCTAAAACCTAGTGATGGGATAACTCGAGCGAAAATTCGCTCGAGAGAAATAAATTGAAATCCAATTATATACCGGGTGCGTCTCAAAAGTGGCTCACCCTTATTACTTTTTTATTTTTTTAGATAAAAAAATGAGATTTGGTATGTTGTTTTTTAGTATATGACATAAATTAGGATTGATTGACGTATTCAATTGTTTTCTGTCACTTCCTGTTTCACCGGAAATGACTACACTTTTTGATTTTTAAATGGCACCCTCGGTATTTTTTTACTTTATTCGATAGAAAATGACATTCTAAATAGAATGACGTATCATATGTCAGCTTTTGACATATTCGCTTAAAAACAAATTGTATTTTAAATTTCAATCTAGAGTGCCATGGCTGTGTTAAAAACACTAATTTTTAATCAAGGAGCCTTGGAAAAATAGATTTGATCGTCTAATGTTTTTAGTGTCTTGCCCTGGCCGGTTAAAAGGTGGTCGTGTTTTTGATCATATCTCAATTTTTTTCAAATGGAACGAGAGTGGCTCATTAGCATATTTCCACACACTTGGTACTTCGAGTCAAATTGTCGTTATGAACCGCATGTTACAATTTCAAATAAACCATATGCGAAAATGTCAAAAGTTGACACGTGATATGTCATTCTATTCAGAGTGTCATTTTCTACCGAATAAAGTAAAAAAATACCGAGGGTGCCATTTAAAAATCAAAAGTTGTAGTCATTTCCGGTGAAACCGGAAGTGACCGAAAACAATTGAATACGTCAATCAATCCCAATTTATGTCATATACTAACATACCATATATCATTGTTATATCTGGAAAAATGAAGAAGTTATAAGGGGGAGCCACTTTTGAGACGCACTCGATATAGTCCGTTGCGTATCTGAGGGACAAAATTTTATGACCTACATCGACAATGCTTCGAAATAAACTAAATCGAGCGATCAAGCGAATCGCTCGCCGCTTACTACTTGCCGTTCATTACCGAAAGAATATGTGCCCCGCGTACGCAGCTTACTGCTTGGCGCTTGGCGTTAACGAGTACTTACAACATGCGACGAACAAAAAACCGCATATTTAAATACGATCGATATTTCGCTCGAGTGATCGATTCGGTTATTGCAATCGCTTGATACTCGAGTACTCGATTATTGAAATTAATCGGTTTTTCCCATCACTAGTTAGCACACTTATCAAAAGTCAAACTAAAAAAGTAGCCGTGGCAACATTGCGACGTGCATTCGTCAAATATTTTGTTGACGTCTACGCCAACTGTTATTGATTTTCTTTTATAAAAATATTTGTCAAGTAATTAGAAATATACTTTCATTTCAGATGAGGCATAAAAACGTGGAACAACTGGAATATACTCACTGGAAGGAACCCAAGTTGCTAGTGAAGATACTATTGCATTATTTCTGTAACGATCCTAACAACATTGATCTACTGTTTCAGTTGTTACGCGCAACCACAGATAGATTTATACCTGAATTTCAAGTAAACTAATTAAATGTATATTCCTGCAACATTGCGTCGGGTATCTAAACTTTGTTCGGCTAAAATTACAATCCCAAATCAAATGACAATGACAATTACTAAAAAGAATATGCAGTAATTTACGAAATGCCGTAATGACATCACCAATCTCTTTCATCTGGTTGGTAAGCGATTGAGACAGTTTGAAAATATATGACGTGACGTTGAACGATGTCTAAACATTCTATATAGTCTGTCCAACGACAAGATCCTTGACAGTGATAGATGTGTCTGTCAGTTTAATTTCAAAGTAGTTTATTTTATTTTGCAAAGAAATAAGTTGGTACAACTGGAACGCATAGCAGGAAATTAATACATTTAAAATTTGACTGATAAGTGATTACTTCAAAATATTGTGAAAAAAACTGTATAAAATTGAAACGAGTTATTTTATTAAAAAAACGGTATGTAATACAAAACAAACAAGAACAAAACACCACATACCAAAAAAAATATAAAAAAGAACTATTTCTTACTTTCAAGCTTCAAGAAACATCCCGAATTTATTATTATCAATATAACTTTGTACAAATACAAATTTGTAATATTCCACAGGAATAAATAAAACAAACTATTTTATTGATAATAACACTTACCAAATTTTATACCTTAACTAGTTGAAGCCTGGCGCATCCGCCACGACAGCCGACATCGGGAAAAAAAATACTTTTTATTTTTTTTAATTAAATGAAAAACAAAAAATCCGGCGACGACAGTTTTTAGAAGAGCCAATTAGCTATCTCTTAGTAAAAAAAGCAACTTTCTAGAGCAAGTCGTTACTTCACAGATAAACATTAGCATTTTATATATGTAGATGGTTGATTAATTAACTTTAATTTTAATTTTTTTAAACCAGTACATTTTAACATTATTTTTCTGCAGTACTAAAATCCATTATTTACCTATCGTAGGTATGTCGATATTTTATAGCTACTCCAGTTTTTAGTATATGTTTAGTACGATCCTTGTACCATATACGAGATGCACTTATCTACGACGAGATGGTATACAAACTCCATTGATGGTAACTTTATTGGTATATAAGATTTCTGCCTGGACAGCGAGTATTAACTATAAACTATTCTCTGGGTCAGCAGTTAAGTTTCCCTCGATTTTTCCTCCACTTTACTTCAAAAGACACAAAACACGCCTAATAACACGAATCAAAATGCATCATCTTCCAAAACGCAGATATTTGACATAAGTTGACACAAAATTATAACCTATAATTTGGCAAGACTTTGACAAGCCCCAAAAAACTAAAGGCGAGTTCATACGCCTCGGCGTCCGTTTATGGTTCATCGTTCCGTCAAACCAATAAAATTGAAATATGATCTGTCATTTTTGAAATAAACCAATAAAATTGGTTAAAAACAACAAGAGACGACGCATGACGGATTTATATTTAAACCCCTCCATAGTTAACTTAAAAATATTAGAAACTTTTATTAGTAAAATAAATAGATTGGTATGGGACGTCATCTGGTTTTCTTCTGTCATCGTCTGTCGAAATCTTACCTGAGAAAAAAAAACAGAGTATACACAGTTTAGGTCTGCACTTAAACGAAAATCCTTAAGTTCTTTGTTATAGGAGCTATATGCTCGACGTACTGTTGCAGGACATTGTTAATATAATATGCAATAATTTATACAGGGTGTTTCAAAAAACATGTGCCATCTCTCGTGGGGAGATTCCTCACGTAAAAATAAGATTTTTTTTTCATATCATCATAGGTCCGATTCTGCTTTGTTTTGTAGCTACAGGGTGTTAAAGTCGTAATAATCTTTCGATTTATTATAATTTTCTTCCAAGTACTTTTAGCGATTTCAATGAAATTTTGAGGGTAAAAGTTACTATAAGTGTAAAGCCCAGTTCATGCACATGAAAAATGCGATTTACGAATTGCGAAATACTTTTTTTTGTCTTGCAATTGGTCGCTTTCAAGGTTTTCCTTAAATGTAGCCAATCAGAACGCATTTTGCAATTCGTAAATCGCAATTCCCAGGTGCATGAACTAGGCTTTACATATTTTCATGCTAAAAAAGTGCCAATAAATTCATCGGGGACGTGCATATGGGTTATCACTGGAATATTTTTCAAAAATGCGCCACTATTTTTTTTCCTTTGAAATGAATCACAATTAATAAAATAAAAATAAATTAATAAATTATATATTTTACCTAATTTATTATTTATTCTTTCGATATATTATTACTATTAGTTATTATTATTATTAGTTCAAACTATAGCAATTTCAAATAAAAAAAATAACGGTATTTAGGATAATTACAAAAAACCTAATTTCAAAAAATTTTAACGTCCTGTAACTCTAAAACTATGCATTTCCATACCCATGTTTATAGGAACTTTTTTCATATTTTTTTATGAGAAATCAATCAGTACTTATTTAAAACTTTCGCAAGTCAATGATATTAAATTTTTTTAAAGGTTGCTATTAAACTTATTGGATCAAGGCAAATTAATAAAATTGCATTTATTGCATCAAGGAGGCCGAAATCGACAAAATATCAAGAGACAACTTTTAATCGGTATTAAACTGCTTACACTATTTTGCTAACAAGAGAAAAAAAATCAGTAGCGTACATGCTTTTTTAGAAAAATATTCCAGTGATAACCCATACGCACGACCCTGGTGAATATGTCGTAACTTTTTTAGCTTTAAAATATGTCGCATTTATAGTAACTTTTACCTTCAAAATTTCATTTGTAACGCTAAAAGTACTTGGAAGAAAATTATAATAAATCAAAAAAAAATATTAAGACTAACATTCTGTAGCTACGAAACAAAGCAGAATCGGATCTACGTTGATATGAAAAATAAATCTTATTTTTACGTGAGGAATCTCCCCACGAGAGATGGCACATGTTTTTTGAAACACCCTGTATATTGACTGTTACGTTTTAGTTCCTTCGAGATTTTCTAGAAAACACTGTGGCCCAAAATTATACCGTTAACTGGAAACGTTCAGCCTTTTTCCGTTTCGTCGAGTTGTTCTCCTCGAATGCAATGTCTCAAGAACTTAAAGCGAAAGTAAGAAAAAACATTTATACAGGGTGATTCACAGTTATGGTAAGATAGAAGTTTATGGTGATTTGGATTGTTTTTGTAAATCTGGTAAAAACCTCCATAAACGTCTAACATCTATAGATCATACCAATCGAACTTTTAGGCACGTGATTTAGCTTGACCGGCACAGTATTGCCTACTTTTACATATTTTCTTTTAATCAAAACATTTTTCATATTTTTATTGATTTACATCAACAAAACTCACCCCCTTAACAGCACTTAAGGGACATAAAGGGCCGTTACTACCGTTTTTCTGTTCAAAATATTCTAATAAGGTTGCGATGAGTTTTTTGCAACGGCTATCAAACATCTTGTACACTTTACACTAAAAGAGGTTCTAAAAAGAACAGTGTTCGACTGCAAGATCTGCTAGTAAAAATGTTTAAGCTTAAGGTATCACAACATAATTCATTTAAACAAAAAACTCGTAAAACAAAACTAATGTATCAAAACGAACGACAATGTCAGGAAATAAATAAATAAATGCGGCAACTTGACATTTTTTACAGCAGGGCTACCACCTGAATCCCCAGCGGGAAAATTAAATTTCAGTTAGTCAGCCCGGGGCCGAATAGGTCCATGGTTGGCAACAATGAATTTAAAAATCGCGCCCTCGATTACGTAACTAAAAGTTTAATTGGTATCGCTTATACCGTGTGGTGCATCATATTTTTCCTCCACTTGACTTCAAAAGACACAAAACACACGTAATAACACGAATCAAAATGCATCATCTTTTAAAACGCAGGGTATTTGACAAAAGTTGTCACAAAATTATAACCTATAATTTGGCAAGACTCTGACAAACGTCAAAAATCTAAAGGCGAGTTCATACGCATCCGCGTCCGTTTGTCGTTTATCGTTCCGTCAAACCAATAAAATTGAAATACGTTCTGTCATTTTTGACATAAACCAATAAAACTGGTTAAAAACAACAAGTGACGACGCATGACGAATTTATATTTAAACCCATCTATAGTCCATCATCCCTTTTTTAGTAAAATAAATAGATTGGTATGGGACGTCATCTGCTTTTCTTCTGTCATCCTCTGTCGAAATCTTACCTGAGAAAAAAAAACAGAGTATACTAATTATTAAAATATCTACATAATCGCCCATTCATAGCCAAAGAATACCCCAAATGTTTGTAAAATTCACGCCTCACAATACAAAACTGTTAAGGGGAGAATTTTTAGCATTCCACAGAGATGTTTCAGTTCTTCTAAATTTCTATATTTCATATGCTCATAAAGACGGTTTTTGAGTGTTCTTCACAGGAAGAAGTCAGTGAGAGAGATCAGGTCTTTTTCTATTGTAACCTCAATAGACGGGAGTCAAGAATAGGTATTCAAGTTATTGTTGTTTTCTTCCTGTTCAATTATTTTTGTCTTCATACTTCTACCGTGCCTTTAGTTTCAAACCTCTGCCTAGTTTATTCTTTAAACTGTTGACTTATTCGGTATAGACTAGAGGTGGTAATTCTAGTTCCTTCGGAGGAACTAGTTCCTTAGTTCTAGTTCCTCGAGAGGAATAGTTCCTTGAATTAGGTCTTTAGTTCAAAATAGTTCCCGACTAACATTGACATTGGGTTTTGTTGTCAGTCAGAACTATTCACAGTATGATCTGTATAATTTTTATAATGTACGAAATATAACGAGACGTGTATTTGTGTATGTTAAAAACATATAGGTAAGTTTTATTGCAGATAAAAAAAATTAAAAACGAAATTCAAATCAGAGTTTAAAAAACTATATCACAAATCAATTGAAGCAAATATTACGAAAATTTTACGAAAAATTGCATTTTTCCTCACTTCAAGCTTTTCGTTTTTGTCTAAAAATTCAGAATATCTACTTCGTTTTATAAGATATTTCTTAATTTTAGGAACCTAAAGTGACACATTTCCATAAATATTTAAATAACAATAAAATTATCTGATCTGAGATAATATTTGACCTTTTCCAAATTTACATGAGATTTCCTATGTCCCGTGTTCCGATGCACCATACGATATGTGAATCACCCTATATTATGCAACTCTTTTAAAATTAATCTTTTTACTATTTGCGTCACAGGTTTTACAGCTGATACTGATCCCTTGCTTCGCGGTGAGCTTCGAGAGGGGCGAAACCAATAAGCTAATCGGAGAACGGAATTCGTTGATGGCTTATCAGGACAACACTCGAAATGTCGTGTCCGTTTTTATAAACGAACTGATCGACCGGGACAATCCCTTCCCCACGGCCGATTGTGTGCGTATTTCTTTATTGCAGTTTTCTTGCCTGTTGGTAGAACAGGCCAGTTCGCACATTCACGATCACGATGCTAATAATAAGCCACAAGGTTTTAAATTGAGAAAACTGATGGAGTTTGCTTGGCCGTGTTTGTTGGTGGAAAATTGCGTCGATCCTGCTACCAGGTATTTTTTTTTATTTTTCCTTGATTTTCTAGAGTTGGGGCTGAAATGTGAATTCGTGATTTTCATTTGCCTTGAAAATAACCTGCGAATAGTCCAGGAGACAGTGAATTTTTTTATACTTATTTTCCCAGTGGCTGAATACAGGGTGTTCCTTAATGGCATGCTAATATTTAAGGAGGTGGTTCTTGGACCTATTCTGAGAAAAAAAAACTTTATATAGTCTATAACATGAATAACTTTGAATTTTGGCCGTTATTTCTTACCAACACGGCAAATATAAAATCCTTCTGTCGAAAAAGTTACTGATATTCTTTAAATTGAGTGCCTGAACGAATCAGAAATAATAAAACAAGTGACAGTTCTTCCTCTTCTTCCAAAAATCAACACGAAATGTCATAATTGTCAAAAGTAAAATGTCATCAGCTTTTGACATTTCTAAATATCAGACCAATGCCGTCTCAAATAGAACAGCCTCGGAGCGAGATTTATGACGTCACGCTAGTTAGATACTACGGATTAATAAATATATGTTGTAGAATACATGGAAAACATAACTATTCCTCGTATTTTTGGTTTGTATTTTAAAATCAAAATTTGTTTGTTGAAAATACAAACCAAAAATACGAGGAATAATTATGTTTTCCATGTATTCTACAACATATTTATTAATCCGTAGTATCTAACTAGCGTGACGTCATAAATCTCGCTCAGAGGCTGTTCTATTAGAGACGGCCTTTGAATAAGAAGACTAAGGAAGGAGCATAATGCTATCCATGTATTCATGCATGGTGGGCGGAAAAAGCACCATAAAAGCACTCTAGGGTGGGAATCCTTGACAGTTCTGTTTGACGATTCATTTGACACATTTGAATTTGATTTGAAATTTTGTGGATTTGTCAGTCTTTACGGAGCTTATTTTATGTTATTTATTATTATTATTTAGTTATATATTATATATACTACTACTGATAGTTGTATAAAGGTAGTAAATCTAGATGGAAATTGTGGCAGCACTTAAATTAACAGTGACACTATCGCGATTTATCGAAAAAGACTCTAAAATAGTTGGTTGTGTAGCGTGCGGTAGATCTCGGCAAAAATTGAGTGAAATAATGGAACAACTTTTCGCTAGTAAGTGACTATATAATATACATACGTGTAGTAAACCGATCATTTATGAAATTCACTTAAATTAACCAAATTATATATTTTTCTTGCATTTTAGCTTTTATTTATTACTTGTCAAAGATTAGATGTCAAAGAATTTTGATACGTTAATTTGACTTACCTGCTTTAGTAGCGTATCGGATGTTTGTGTTAATAAATACTTATTATAACTTATCTATTTTTATTAGAATTATATATTTTTATAACAATTTTAATAACTACCAACATTTATTCACAACGTAAAATAAAACAACAAATTATTGAGTCTACCCCACGTCTACCCTACATCATAGTTTTACATTTTTTTTAATAAAATTAGAACGACACTGATAAACCGGAATTTAAGTCGGCCATATTTGAGGCCCATCGCGGTGTACCTAAGATTTTTGATATGCTCCTTCCTTAGTCTTCTTATTCAAAGTTGCTAACCTAATAAAATAAACACTAAAAAAGCCCGCGGGAACTGTCAAATTCAAAGTTATTCATTTCACAGACTTTATGAATATATTATTATATCCTAAACATCTTAACTTTTTAGATACAGGGTGTTAAAATTTTCTAATTTTTTTTTCAAAATATCTCTGATATTTGATACACGTCTTCCATGCATCAAAATGCTTATTTTGATATACAAAAAAGTTGTCTTATTTCTTAATTTCCTTCCAGCCGATGCAGAAATGATTTCCACACAACAGTCACTGTATCATATTTTCAGCGATTTGACCCTGAAATAAACTGACTTTAATTGTTTTAAGCAAAAACTATGTGTCGGACGAGAGAAATCAGGAGATTTTGGAAATAATTTGTATTTTAAAAGAAGTTAGTGGTGTACCACTTTTTTTCTCCAAAAATATTCAATGTAAAACCCGTATGGACGACACTGGTTGAAATAAATAAAATTCTTTGTACACCAAAAAAGGTATTTTCATCCATAGAAGACGTGTATCAAGTTTCACAAACATGTCTACACGGTGTTTCAAAAAAACATGTGCCGTGTCTCGCGGGGACATTCCTCACGTAAAAATAATATTGATTTTTCATATCAACATAAGTCCGATTCTACTTTATTTCCTAGCTACAGGGTGTTAAAGTCTTAATATTTTTTCGATTTATTATACTTTTCTTCCAAGTACTTTTAGCGTTTCGAATAAAATTTTGAGGGTAAAAGGTGCTAAAAATGCGACAAATTTTAGGCTAAAAAAGTGTCGCCATATTCAACAGGGACGTGCATATGGGTTATCATTGGAATATTTTTCTAAAAAAAGCATGTACGCCACTGACTTTTTTTTCTTTTCTCAGCGAAATAATGTAAGCAGTTTAACGCCGATTAAAAGTTGTCTCTTGTTATTTTGTCGATTTCGGCCTCTTTGATGAGATAAAGGCAATTTTATTAATTTGCTTTGATCCAAGTCTACTATTTAGCAACCTTTAAAAAAATTAATATCATTATTTTGAGGAAGTTTTAAATAAGTACTCATTAGAAAGTACGCACATTAGAAAATTTTATCACCCTGTGTCTCTGAAGTTGAGATGTTTAGGACATACATTCATATGAAAATGTTCTCTTAGAATAGGTCCAAGAATCACCCCCTTAAATATTAGCATATCATTAAGGAACACCCTGTATACCGATTTGGTCATTTTAGAAGTGTGGTCTAGATTTTAACGTATAAGACAGAGAATAATATAAATAACCGGTTGACATACAGAGAGACAAAATCAACAGCGGCATACAGTGTTGGCGGTTTTTACGTTTGTAGGAAAATTTGTGTAGAAAAAAATTAATTATTCAAAAAACTATTTAAAAAACTAAGCTAAATATAATCTATTACATATGTAGTAAAATGAGTAACTGATTGTGAAAAATAAGGTTCCAACCCTAGATGCAATATTTTCCATAAACCCTTATTTGTGCGGTTTGAACTTTTGATGCAAAATCCGGCAATACCGCATAGATGAAATATATTAACCCAACTTTTATCTCTTTTTAATACATTTGATTTTCCATTAAGCTGCCTACATCACTGTCTTACACGTTAAAGTCCAGACCACACTTCTAAAATGACCAAATCGGTATAAAAGTATGTTCGGATGGTGACATTAATTGACAACTTGTGAGTCTCGCTAAAATTTTCGGATGGGTTCACTAGATGAATAAAAAAATAAAGAAAATTAACTTATTATAATTATGATTTACAATTACTGAAAATTACAGTTGAGGGTTGGAACCTTTGATGTTACACAGCAAAATAAAAACACTAAATCACCACAATACACCAAAACACTTTTAATTTTACACTGGACGCGCGTTTCGCTAACCATGTTAGCATCATCAGCAGATGATTATAAACTAAAGTATAATTTACAAGTTGAGCGTTTATATACTCGCTCAGTGGGCACCGAGTGGGCGTGGCAAAATCTAGCTAACCGAGTTAGAGCCAACTGAGCGTAAGTAGAAAGAGATTACATTAGGAATGTAGCTGAGTGTAATGGATATTCTCCTTCACTAGTTGATAAATTAATTAGAAAACGTAGGTATAGGTTAATGATTTCTGAAAATTCGACTTTTCAACTGGAAAAAGATACGTCTAAATATTTTTCGATACCGTTTGATAGAGAGTTATCCCTTGGTCTAAAAGGAATTTTAAGAATGTCAATTATAAACATGTGTATAGTGCTAATAATAAATTACAACAATTATTTGGTAATCCAAAAGATAAAACACCTCCACTGGAAAGGTCGGGTATTTATGAAATTTCTTGTAAAGATTGTAATCAGAAATATGTTGGGCAAACTAGAAGATCAATATTAACTAGATTTAAAGAACATTTAGCTCAGATAAGATATGGTAGACCGGATAAATCTTGCGTTGCCGAACATATTGTTGATAATGAACATTGTATAGATCTTAAAATTTAAAATTAATTAAACAAGTCTCAAATTACAGGCAATTAGATGCATATGAAAGCATCAGAATTAATAAATGTAAAGATAGTATGAACAGAGTCAACGGTCCAATTCCTTCAAGTTCTTTGTTCCTACTACTCTAGTGGCGGAAATCTAACTGTTACGCTCAGTTGGCTCTGACTCGGTTGGCTAGATTTTGCCACGCCCACTCGGTGCCCACTGAGCGAGTATATAAACGCTCAACTTGTAGATGATACTTTAGTTTATAATCATCTGCTGATGATGCTAACATGGTTAGCGAAACGCGCGTCCAGTGTAAAATTAAAAGTGTTTTGGGGTATTGTGGTGATTTAGTGTTTTTATTTTGCAATTACTGAAAAAATGAAATTTATCTTGTACAATAACAGTTCGATATAAATTACATATTACATAATTTCCAGAGAAATTCTAAACTTTCAAAAAAAATGTTCGCGAAAAAAGAGTCATAGACGTGTTTCTGGAATGAAAATGTATTACCTCTAAAATATTTACACTTATTTAATATTCTATACATTAGGGAACGCCCCCTAGCGACGGGTCTCTGTATCATTCACGTTTTAGCCATTCAGAGTTTATGTTTAAATTGTTAACAGCTGTGAATGGCTACTTTTATTTTAATGTATAAATAACAGGTATTTTTTTGTCCATCTTTAATATTTTCACTCTTCTTCTGTTAGATATCACGGCCATCTTCTGATTTCGCACATAATAGTCAAATTTGCAATCCATCATAAAATTGTACTCCGAGTGTTTCACTCCCTGTTGAAGGCCCATGCTGTTGAGGCTAGGAACGTTGTTCGTCAAGCTTTGGAAATTTTAACGCCATCTATGCCTTCGAAAATGGAACAAGGTAAGATATCACTTTATATTATTTTTTTTAATATACAATATATGATAAAATATATTAAAATAAATGACATAGCCAGGTAATAATACATATGAAAAGTTCTTATGAACAATAACATTAGTAATTTTCAAAGCTAAGTCCGCTAGATCATACAAGCACAGTATAAAGCTCCGCGCGCACTGAAGGGGAATCGGCGCGAGCGAGCGGCGCGACCGACACGACCGGCCGGAAAGTCGATTGTAGCCGCGCACTGGAGTCGCACGATCGACGGTCGAGAGTACGTCACCAGCATAAATTTGAGCATAGACGAGGAGAAGTTTATTCAAATTTAGTCAAATCATTCGGCATTTCAAAAAATTATAAAGTATTATTACTATTTATATTTTTATGCAACTTTTTATATTTTATGCTTTATGATGGAAATTAATATTATTTAGATCTTAACCAAACACACATTAATATATTTAGATCTTAACAAACCACATAAAATTAGTGAAATAGAGTGGAAGATGGGGATAAAATATACTACATGACTCTTAGCTTGACCGATTTTAACAAATTTGGTATCATTCAAAAGGGTTTAATTTGTTCTTTAAAAACAATGTTAGATATGAAAAATAGTCAAATAAAACTTCCATTTTTACCTTTTTAATCTAATTAAGTGTTATTACAAACATTTATATATAGCTTTTATTTTAAGTTTTTAAAATCTTTGTTTTAAGTCAGTAGTAAATAAAATGAAACTTGTGTTGTGTACGTATAATTAATTTTCTACGTTTGTGGTAAGAAAAAATTATATATTAAACACATTGTTAGTGATAAAATTGTATTGTATATTATAGATTCTGAAGAAGACCGAATTAAAATTGGTCGAAACGTCAATCATTAAAGAAAATGTAAACACAAGTTTCGTTTTATTCACTACTGACTTAAAACCAAGATTTTAAAAACTAAAAATATAATAAAAAAGTCAAAGAAAATTGAAAAAAGAAAAAATATAAATAGTTTTTATAGTACCGTATTATCGAAAAGGAACGGCATCATCGATGGCCATGAAATGAAGGTCGGTGCCATTTTATATGTAAATTTATATAGGAAATGTCTATCATACGGTAGATATATGTACAAATATTTATTCAAACATAAATATTATTTTCTCTATTTGTATCTTTTACGGAGCGATCAACATAGTAACATAGGATCACTATTTATCAGCTGTTATTACTAACGTCAAAACAAACCAAAAATTAAATAATATGATAAGTTTTTTGACGATATTTAAATTCGATTTCCATAATAATGTGAGATAATCAAAACGAGATGAGAAATAAATGGGTTTAATCGGAAGGTTTTCTAATTCAGTTATTGAATAAGTGTAGTAAACAATATAGGTTACGTGCTTGTAAGAAATTTTTATAAAAAACCGCATATGATATGGTCTCGTACACTTTCGATTAATAATTCATCGGACATGTTTAATGTAAAACCGCTCCTCTAAAAACAGTCGCTCGGCGTAGACTATTCGTCCCCCTTCCATTCATTCTCTGATATCGCCTGATGGCGCGAGTACCGCCGATAGCTCGAAGCGCACCGATCGCACCGATCTAATACGGTGCGCGGGCTTACATTTATTTCAACGTAAACTGAAAATTACGTGCCGCTCGCTCGCGCCGATACCCCTTCAGTGCGCGCGGAGCTTAAAGATATTTATACTTTCTAAAACCGATTGTCCGGTATTTTCTTACAGGTTATAGTATGTTGGCACTTTGGACCAAAAAAATTTTGATGGACGAAGGTCATTCAATGCAACAGTTGTTTCATATTTTGCAGTTAGTTGTCAAACACTATAAGGTATAATAATTTAACACGTTTAAAGTCGGTTAACAATAAAAAATAATGATTTTTTAGGTATATTACCCGGTCCGCCATGACTTGGTACAGCACATGGTTAGTTCCATTCAGAGATTAGGTTTTAGTCCAACGGCTACTCTAGAGCACAGAAAACTGGCGGTAGAATTAGCTGAAGTCATTATTAAGTGGGAATTACATGGTATTAAAGACGAAGGTAGTCTTTCAGAGGTAAAAAGAAAACACTTGATTTACCACATCATATTTGGCCCCAAAATCGGTGTATGGCGATTGGACTTTTTCTTTAAGAGTCTATTACGCTGTACTGTTCGGGTCGCCCCCAGGGGTCGGGTAAAGCGGGTGTGTGGCCGAAGGAAATATATATTATATTTCAGAAATCTGCCTAAGGATTAGCCCGATCCTGTCGTGTTAAGCCACACCCAAAATTCCAAACACACGTGCTTTGATTAAGGTTTGCAGAGCTTCAGCATTTGCCATAAAATAGCGAGTAATTTGTTACAAAACCATATAAATTATATATCACTGTAATCACAAAACTTCAATCTATCTCCGTATTTTAACGGAATTTTAAATTACGTCTTTATTTTCGAGAAAATTTAGTCCAAACATGAGGAATATTTCGTTGATGTTTGACCATCAAAATCTTAAAAATAAAGAAGTTGTCTAAAAATATGCTACAATACGGATATAGTATAATCCTTTATCTTTAATTTCCTTCTTCATTTCTGTAAAAATACCTAGCCAGTTTTATATAAAACGTTAAATGTCGAACGCTTATTTTGCTACTTTTTCGGACCAGTGAAATTGACTCTTAAGCTCTCCATAATATTAAGTTACCCTACTAATAATTTTTAATTTTCCTTGCAGTCTGATTCAGTGGATATAGTGTCACGCAGATCAATGCCCGAATCTACTGAGCACGCCCGGAAGAAAATAATACTAATGTCGAGTGGCGGTACACCTGTACCTGTTGTCGTTAACACAGAACCGTCGACACAAGAGCATATAGATAAGAGACATACAGATAACGTACTAAACTTTCTACTTAGACTAGCCTGCCAGGTTAACGAAATGACACCTCAAAATCCCGCCAATCCTGGAACTAGCAGTCCGGGCGAACTACTTTCTAGGCGTTGTGTTATTCTGTTGAAAAACGCGTTGAAACCGGAACTTTGGCCCGAACAGGTGGATCTTAAATTGGGATTTTTTGATAAGATTTTGATGCTAGTGGATAAGCCTAACGCTAACATAGCTAATATTTGTACGGCACTAGAACTACTTACGTACTTGTTGACAGTTCTAACTAAGGAACAAGTTTTAGCTAGTTTCGAACTATTACAGGTAATTCTGCGTTTAATGGCTGGTTCATACTTCTCTTATCTTGACCCTAAATGAACGTTTAGGAGAGTCAAGTCAGTTGAATTTATTTCGCATAATATATGTAATATAATTGTGTATTGTATTCACTAAGAGTTATATATTATTTATATTACTGTTATGTTCGAGGGTCATATGTCTCCTAGGTCTGATAGGTCTAGCATGGTTTTGCCATAGTATAAGGAAACTAGTAGTTTTACTCCTTGTCAAATCCTTTGTTCTTTTTCTGCCACTTTATATGACCTTGTTCTCGCCTCCGTAGCCGACGACGTGGCTGTATAGTCGTGGTCTATTAACTAGGCAAAGTATAGACGTGGCACTCGCCATAGTTTCGCAGATATGTATTTAGGAAAATATGAGTTCATAATAAAATAAAATAAATAAAATGATCTTCGAGTAAAAACTTGCTTGAAACAGAATATTTTCACATTTCGTGTAGGTAACAATTCTTCTGTATCTGAAAATCTTCTGATGGGAAGAAATGCGGAAAAAATATATAATGACATATTTTTATATTATTATCTATTTCAGAGATTTTCTACGACTTTTTTTTGATTTAAAGCAAGTTTAATTTTCTGTAGACAACTGGATTCGGCATAAAATTATGCTATAGTACACTGTCTTTATTTAAAGCACACTGCGGTGTTGCCATTCTATTTCTTATTTACTAAAACTTTGGTTAAAAACATTATATACGAAAAGTGGTAAAAAACTAGAGTGAATATAACTTTATTAATACTTTGCTATGTTTTCTTAAACATGAAGGATATCGGAATAAATTCGTGTAGAAAAATTTACTTTATCCTATACAGGATATTTTTTATGGCGTCACCAAAATCGTAATATTTAAAAAATGTTGTATCTCATTTTTTTAAATGCAACACCTTGTATATTATTTTTCTTTCAGTTGTAGAATTAAAATGTGAACATTTTTTGACAAGAAAAGATAGACAAAGATCATATTAGGTTGCTTTGAAAAAAAATTTACTGTTGAAAGAGCCATATGTAATATAATACTGCGAATATCTGCGACAGCGGTAAAAATTTAGAAACGCTTTAAATTAATAAAAAAATGTTTACTTTTTAATTCTGCATCTGACAGAAAAATAATATACAGAATGTCGCATTTAAAAAAATTGAGATATACCATTTTAAATATTGCGATTTTGGTGACGTCATAAAAAATACCCAATATAGAATGATGTAAAATAATAAAAAAATCAAACTAACTTTACCATAACTTTTTTTGTGACACCCTGTATATAACAAAATATTTTAGGATACAGCCCTTTATAAACCTTGAAACATGAATAAAACTTTTTTCACATCTTCGACAACGACGACGATATTGAACTTCCTCGCACTAATGGGCCACCCTGTATATTTACGGTGGTTTAAAGCTAGGTGTGGCACTTTTCTTCCCTCAAATATAAACTCAATATTTTGTCTATAATATTTTGAATATTGTTATATTACGACCACTTATAATAAAAATAAATAAAAAAAAAACATAAAAATACAGTCCACTAAATTTATAAGAGATTATGCTATTATAAAATTCTTTCAATTAAAAAATATGAATAATTTGCGGAGACTTTAGATGTACAAAATATTTCCTCTAAAATTGTTTCAAAAACCAATTTATATAAATTATCTCGTAAATTATTATTGGAATGAAAATTTTATGGAAAATCCCCTGACCAAAAAATATTTTCATGCGCATATTTGAGACAACCTGTATATCTAAAAATCAATTTTTAAAATCTGCCCACATGCTAAAAAAAATAATAACATTTAATTAATTACATAATATCTCAGCTTCTAAAATAAACAAATATAATTAAATGTTAATTGATAATTACTATCAGCTTGCCGATTTACATCCGATGGAAATCTAAAAAGACTCAAAGAACAATTTTTTGAATTATTTCCACAATTAATAGCAGCGCACAGTAAGGCACTCATTTTTTGTCAATCCGTCCCTGTGCTCGGACGCAACGCTCAAACCTCACAGCTCGACGGACCGAATTCAACTGAAACGCTTTGCAACCTGCCGATATTCGACAGCTTGCAAAAACTGGCAGAAAATATTTGCGAGAGTGCAACTACTCTTTTTCTTAAACTATCGTTTTGCCAAACACTTTAAACCTGGTCCTGCTCCCAGCGGGGCAAGCACACATATCGTGGTGGTTTTTCTCGGTCCTATCCTCTACTGGTGTGATCTCAGTTGGCAGTGGCCCGTGTATACTGCAGAGAGCAGCCGTGTATACTGCTACTGTATAAATTACAGTAGGGGGTTGGAACCTTGGGTGTTACCACAGCAAAATAAAACACTAATTCTCCACAATACACCAAAACACTTTACTTTTGCACTGGACGCGCGTTTTGCTAACCATGTTAGCATCGTCAACAGATAATTAAAACTGAATAAATGTTGTCCAACATATTTCTGATTACAATCTACATGAAATTTCATAAATACCCGACCTTTCCAGTGGAGGTGTTCTATCTTTAGGATTACCTAACAGTTGTGATAATTTATTATTAGCACTAGACACAAGTTTATAATTGAGATTCTTGAAAATTCTTTTTAAATCACGGAATAACTCTTTATCAAACGGAATTGAAATATATTTTGATGTATTTTTCTCCACTTGAAAAGTCTAATTTGTAGAAATCGTAAACTTATACCTACGTTTTATAATTATTTTATCATCTAATGAAGGAGAATATCCATTAGACTCAGCTACATTCCTAATGTAATTTCTTTTTATCTTATATATTTTACTGGTAAGTGAAAACTTAAGTAATCTCTGAACTAAGAAATTTAAACTAGCTATCTTATGTTCAACACAATGATAAGACTCATTAGGAATATATCTGCGTGTAGTGGTATTTTTTTCTAAATTCTATAATATTTGTAAAGTTAGGTTAACTCAAAACGTATGTTTCATATAAGCGCAAGCGCATACTAAAATGTTCTTATGACAATGTCTCAGTGACAAGTTGAAGAAGTATGAACGACATTTTCTTAAGTTATTAAGGTTAATGTTAAGAGTAAGGTTAGGATTAATAATCGAAGTATGAACCAACCATTAAGTTATAGTAATATTCGAACGTTAACATTATTATTTTGTAGCAAGGATTATTTGCCTGTATAGTTTCATCGAAGAATAAAGTTATTATGCTAATGCATAATTTATTAATGAAACTATTCGCCATAGTGCCATTGGAAAAAGTAAACAAATGTAAAGAATTGGAAGAATTATATACCAACATTAACGATGTAATTCTGAATAATCTAAAGGCTTATGAGGAGACAAAAGACAAAAAGGTTCCCTCAGGTAAGTAAGACTTAATAAGAGTTACGCGTATGGCATCAGAATTTAAGTTTTATATGCAGGTTATTTAAAAATATACTTGAAATTTTGACAATGTAATTTATATCTCTGTATTATTAATTTATGTCGATGTCTTTGTCGGCATCGCTGGGACAATGAAATTAAGAGTCTCAGTACTTTCAATTGACTTTGGAAACACTATACTGCAATGATGAAAGTTTTGTTTTGGTTTTCATTGTTTCTGCTAGGCGAAGGGCGCCAAATCCAAAGTCTTGATAGGCATGAACACATCTTATAGAGATATCGCATGTCGATATTACATTTTAGTATAACACCCCCCTCCCTCTCTCAAAAAACTGTGGAGTTTAGTAACTGTCGTGTAATGATTTGTCAGATTTCAGGAGAGAAATATTTCTAGGAAATATTAAGACATACATATGGTTCAAATAATTTTTTAGCATTATCCTTCAGTAATGACGTTGTATTGTTAACTTTTTCACTATCGCTAGAAACTGAACTTCTTTGAAAGAACTCGTTCATTGCGAAAAATATATAAACATTTACCAATTTTCGTGGGTTTAGTCTTGAAAATTTGTATAGTATTTTGTGTGTTTCTGGTAATAAATGGATTGCTTGGATTTACATTTGTTTTGGCGTGGATAAACTTGCCTGGTTAAAGTAACTTGTGTCACAGTCCGACTTCATATAGTTGTTTGATGAATTACTGTGTGGTTTTCCATTATAATAGGTGGTTATAATTATTAGAAAAGTTAGAACCTTAGCATTTCCTCACCACTAGCATATAATTTTCAACCGCTAATTTATGGAGCCCAACGTGGGGCGCTATGAATACTATTGGTATTTTTGTTATATTTATTATTCCAAAATAAAAATTGGAAAATGCATTTTTTTGTATCATTATTTATTTTCTGCTGGTTTTCTTCTTTTTCCATTACGTTGATACATTTTGGAGGGATTTTATACTAAAGTTTTGAGTAAGCAGATCCGAAAAAATAAACTTTAAATTTTAACAATATTATTTATATTTATTTATTTTTACAAACACCATCGTACACATGTCCATCGTCATGACAACCACCATCGTACAGGATGGTGAAACTTCGGTCTAGGGTTCTTCCCGTCTAGGGAAAGCCTGAAAAAAGTTTTGATAGCAATGTTGAATATTAGTGTACGTCCATAGTGCATCAACTTTCCGCTCTCTGGTGGTCGGCTTATATCGCGGCATGTCTTATCGCTTTGTGAACCTGCGCTATTGAAGCGATAGTGGCCATTAACAACACCTCTTGCAGGAAGCGGGAATATCATTTGGCATCATGGAGCTATACCGTGGTAGGGTATTAAGATATTCTTTGCTAGTGCTAATGTTCATATTAAAGTGATACCTATTATTCCTAGATTTTTCACCGCTATTCTCCTGCTATAAAGCGAGAAGCCGGTGCACTTTGGACGCACACTTACATCTTACTATTACACGCGGCTGGTCGCGATACAAATAATAATCGTATAAAATATTATTTCAGCGCTGTTTGGAACATTGACGGTGTTGAAAGCTGTTTGTGCAAACAATACCTCTTACATAGATACCATTATAATGCCTTTTATGCGCGTATTGAACTGTTTGGTGAACGAACACTTACAACCGACCGCCCAAGATCACGTTCCGATTACCAGCGAACTTCTCATTCGAAGTCTCGATCTTGTCAAGACTAGAATCGTGGTAATGGGCGTGGAAATGCGAAAAACATTTATAGGTGCCATTTTGGTCGGTTTAATGGAAAAAACACAAGATATTAAGGTAGGTTCAAATTGTACAATATACCGTGCTGGCAAATCTTACTTTTCGGTCGGTATTTACATATGTACAAGTAAATCGCATAGGGATCTTATGAAATCGGAGTAAGAGAAAAACGACACAATTCGCAGGTACGCCTTTCCCTATCAAGTAAAGTAAAATCACGATCATAAGCCGCTTATTTTTAAAAGACTTTTTTTCGTAAAGATAACTAGGTAAAATCATTAGATATGTTTCTGAGCATCTTAAATGGAATTATAAGGATATCGTTAGGGTGTCATTTTTTTATAACGAGAAAACGTCAGTAATCGCGATAATTTAAAAACTCAACTTTTTAACACATAACACTTGATAACTCAAGAACCAGTTTAGATTTTGAAAGTTTTTTTTATTTTGAAGTTCGGATCTTTTACAAGATGTTTAAATAAGAAAAATTCGATAGGCTTGTTTTTTTCCATTCAGAATTTTTAAAAATTATATCTTAACAGTGCATAGCAATTTTTACCAATCGTGTAACTTTTATTTCTAAAGATTTTCAAATACTGTCTGCGAAGAAAATATAACAGAAATATTAAGAAAGTTTGTAAAAAAAACTACAATCAATTATTTCTAATGGATTTCGAGATATCGATTTTTGAATTCAGAGTTCTAATAGCGCGACCACTGTCGCACACCGACTCAGTTCCGCTTATTTTTACCAAAAGTACAAGTGTTTCTAACTTGCACTGAAAAATTTACAAGCTATAGGAAAAATAACGACTCGTTAATAAATAAACAAATAAAATATCACGAGACATAATTAAATCGTGAAGCTGAACGCATGATGTACACCCTTTCCTAGAATTTTAAGTACTGATTGTCTCGATCGCTGCTATATCCCCTTCACGTCTCTTAGCAGTGTGCACAGTTTCTCGGTTTATTTCAAACGTTTGGCAACGTTTTTGCTGTTCTCTCTTTGTTCAGTACATTATAAACGCACTGTACTCTCATACGGAAATTTCGACCCAAGACTAACTTTTGCCAGCCCTTAGTATAGTACAGGGTGTCCCATTTTCGTGTGTTCTATGGGGTGTCTCCTTTATGATTAGGGATACAAAGATGCGGTTTTCATATTACTATGCTACTTTCTTATATTTTCTACTATTTATTACTATGCTGATTATATTTTCAGAAAGCTCATAATAAGACAAATAAAATAAAATAAAATATTCAGGGTGTTCCGTTAAAAAAAACATAAGTTTGAGTCGTACTTCGAAAAATGCAAAATTTTCAAATTCAAGCCCTGTATTTAACGGGGGCTAGGACAAATCTGTATGAAGAATCTTTAGTTTCATAAAAAAGTAGCACAGTGATCTAAAAACCGCATCTTTATATCTCTACTCATAAAGGAGAAACCCCATAGAACACTGAAATGGGACATTCTGTAACGGCGATGCAACACATGGTATATGTATAACATTTTCTGGTGTTTTTAGGTAATGGAAGCTATAACAAAAATGTTAGAAGAGTGGATGAAATGCAAAGATCCTATTACTTTAAGCCAAGCCCCAAGTCCTCGAGAAAAGTCGATTTTATTGGTAAAACTAATGCAGTATATTGAAAAGCGTTTCCCGGACAACAACGAATTAAACGAGCAGTTCTTTGAACTGATTAATTTCGTTTATACCGATAAACATTTGAAGACGACCGAATTAACTTCAAAATTGGAACCTGCGTTTCTGGCTGGTTTAAGGTGTACCCAGCCACATATTAGAGCTAAATTTTTTAAGGTAAACAAACGATATGCTTTATACGAGGCATTACCTATTGACTGAAATAGTTGGCAATACAATGCCCAAGAAAAAAATATACAATAAAAAAATCTTAAACATGGTAGAGCAATAATTTTACAGACTTTGAAAATTGATTTAAAGACAGGACCCGAATTCTGTAACTTAGAAAACGCTAAGCGCTTTTCGACGCTCAGCGTATATGACGTTAATTTTCGCTGAGCGCGCACTTAACTACCGATTTTGGTATTCTCATCTGACGCGCTTGGCGCCTTTACTGATTGCGCTAAGCGCTTTGAAAACGGTTGCCTTAAAGGATCGTTTTGCTTGTCGAACTGTCAGTGAAAATCGAAAAAATTGTGATTTTGTGCGTTATCTTGCTCTTTAATGAAAACGACTACTTCTTCTATAAATTCCTCAATAAGTAATTGATAATTTACGACTTGGCAGCTATAAATATTTTTCAATACATCGAAAATGCTGAGAAGCGTTTTCAACATTTCCCTCGTATAATAAGAATAATGACATATCCTTAGAAAAATAGGTTGACATAAATGGGTTATGAAATTCAAGTAACATCTTTGAATAAGAAGACTAAGGAAGGAGCATATCAAAAATCTTACGTCCACCGCGATGGACCCTAAATATGGCCGACTTAAATTCCGGTTTATCAGTGCCGTTCTAATTTTATTTAAAAAATGTAAAACTATGATGTAGGGTAGACGTGGGGTAGACTCAATAATATGTTGTTTTATTTGACGTTGTGAATAAATGTTGGTAGTTATTAAAACTGTGACAAAAATATATAATTCTAATAAAAATAGATAAGTTATAATCATTATTTATTAACACAAACATCCGATACGCTACTGAAGCAGGTAAGTCAAATTAACGTATCTAAATTCTTTGACATCTAATCTTTGACAAGTAATAAATAAAAGCTAAAATGCAAGAAAAATATATAATTTAGTTAATTTAAGTGAATTTCATAAATGATCGGTTTACTACACGTATGTATATTATATAGTCACTTACTAGCGAAAAGTTGTTCCATTATTTCACTCGATTTTTGCCGAGATCTACCGCACGCTACACAACCAACTATTTTAGAGTCTTTTTCGATAAATCGCGATAGTGTCACTGTCAATTTCCATCTAGATTTACTACCTTTATACAACTATCAGTAGTAGAATAAATAATAAATAACCTAAAATAAGCTCCGTAAAGACTGACAAATCCATAAAATTTCAAATCAAATTCAAATGTGTCAAACAGAACTGTCAAGGATCCCCACCCTAGAGTGCTTTTTCCGCCCACCATGCATGAATACATGGATAGCATTATGCTCCTTCCTTAGTCTTCTTATTCAAAGAGTAACATTGACATTTTTCATTGTTTTATTCGCATTTGACTATTAGATACCTGCGAAATTGCGATGCTGTCAATATGTGCACAACGCGTATCCAGAAAACGATTCGCACGGCAACGAGAATACCAAAAGCAACTGCTTGGCGTTCCGCTAATCGTATACTTTTGCTCACCGCTTTGAAAGCGTAACGTTTTTATGTCAAAGTTACAGAATTCGGGCCCAGGTCATTGGCCTCCAGAGTATCCCAATAAGACAAATAAATTTTCTTAAATTTATTGCCAACTAAAAGCTTCTTAGCAAGGCATATAAAAGAATTGTTTTAGATTTTTGAGGAATCGATGGTAAGGAGACTTCACGATCGATTGCTTTATATCGTCTGCTCGCAAAATTGGGAAGTTATCGGCCAACATTACTGGATCAAACAAGCGATCGAGTTGATATTGGTTACGGCAACGCCGAATATGGCAATCGAAATGTCACATAAAAGTAGCATTTTGCCGAATATTACGTCAGTGATCGACAACGACAAGAAGCGCGAAGAGTTTATGAATATGCGCGTGGAGAAGGTCGACTTATTTAATGTTGATAGTAAAGAAGGGGTAAGTAATTATTTTTTATTTACATTGGAACTTCCTTAATTTGAATCTCCAAGGGACTTGAAATTAAAGGTTTATTAGAAGAAAAAAAACGACTCCAATCAGTAGTCCTCTTCTGATCTAGTCCTATCCTTTCCAAAAAGTCTAACAACTTGGAGATTGAACTCTCCATATAACTATTTGTCAATAATCTATCGTCCTACCGTGCTGGCAACTGTTACTTTTGGGTCGGCATTTACATGTGTGGAAGTAAATCGTATAGGGATCTTATTAAGTCGGAGTGAGAGAAATTCGACCGACCGACGCGACGCGCGACGGTGTGCTGTTGCGGCGTTGCCGATACGCCTTTCCCTATCAAGTAAAGTATTATTTCATCGTGAAATAACTATCTACTCTGTGTTTATTTTTCGTCAATAATGACATGTATTGACTATTTCCATTCTAAATATCTTGAGACGGCTGCTCGTAGCGATTTTTACAAAGAGATATTTTTTACGTAAAAAGTCACAGAGATGTAATTTTTTTCTCTATGTAATTTTATACAGGTACGGACAAAAATGATTACGTTTCAAAACAGTTAAAACACGTTGGTGGCGCCCTCTACTAGTAGGAGCCATATTGACATCAAAATCAAATTTCTCATATCAAAAACTCCTAGACACCAATTTTCATCTAAATATTGACATTACTTCAGAAATTATTTGGAAAAAATCGAAATAAAAATAAAACTTCTACACCCTGTATCTCTGAAACTAAGCATTTAAGGACATACTTTTATATGAACTTTTTTACTTATTTCTATCTGGAGAATATGCTGCCGAAGTTTCCGGAATACAGTTCGGACCACCCTGTATATATTTAATGCTTTTGTTTAAGGTTCTTAATTTGGATTTATCCAACGTGGAGTCGAATCAGCCAGAAGAAAAACCATTAAGTAGGGCAGAAGCTATCACTAAAATGATAAATGCACATTTTAAGTTTATTGAGGTAATTTAATATACAGTAGGTACCTTTCAAGAAAGGCGATTCAAAGTTGATAATATTTTAGTTTATAGTTATTATTATTAATTTTTTAGCCGAATATAACGGTCCATTTTACGTAAGATCGGAAAATGTGATCTGCGGTTCGAATGCATCCAATGTCATTCCAAGATACATGTTGACCTTGAATCGTCATCTATCTTGAAATGGATTGTATTTTATTATTCTTTACCAGTGTCAATAATATTTATATTTTAGCATTCCCGTAATATCACTACGGATCAGTTTCTGTTAGCGACTGCGCAATTATGTCATATGGACACTGCATTAGCAGAACAAGTGTGGTTAGGATTATTCCCGAGATTGTGGAGTATATTGACCGAAGATCAACGCGCTTCGCTTGCGCAAGAAATGATACCGTTTATTACGTCGGGAACGCATATTATCCAAAAGGATTGTCATTATAGTGCCATGAATACATTCGTTGAAGCGTTATTTAGGTAAATATATATTAGCTCAGTATTATGCAGTTTATAAAGTGTTTACTCTACAGATGTACTCCTCAAATTCAAATGGCTCCTGCAACAATGAAATATCTTGGCAAAGGGCACAATTTGTGGCACCGTATGACCCTGGCGATGGAACAACAAGCCTTTGATCCGACAGGAAAATTCAGTACCCCTGGAAACTGTTATGAGTTTGACGAGCAACCCAAACAGGTTTAAATTATTGTTTTTTAATCAAAATTTGAAATAATATTTTTGTTGAGATCTTTTGGAAGTTATACTTTAACTCCAACATTATTCACAAAACTTGGATAGTACAGTGTATTGATCTAACCTGAATTTATAGTCTTTATAATTTTATCTTTTTATTATTATAATTTAGTTTGAACTATTGGATTCATTGGCCGAATTGTACCATCAAATGTGCGAGGAAGACTTATGGGCGGGTTTGTGGCAGAAACACGCTCACTACAAGGAAACCGGCATTGCTATAGTTTATGAACAGCACGGATTCTTTGAACAAGCTCAAACTGCTTACGAAGCTGCCATGGCTAAACATAAAGGTAATATAATCGGAAAGTGGCTTTGAATAAAAAGTCTAAAGGAGGAGCGTATCAATATAATTATCGCAAACGCGGAAGGTTGTTGATATGGCTAACTTAAATTCCGGCTTATCAGTGACTAGATTGATCAGTGAATATTTCTGATTCTGATTCTGATTCACGTCATTCTACGAAGTATTATTATGCTTAGCTGAGAACTGCGTTTTAATCATATAAGGTTTTACTTTAACTATATCTACAGGGTTCGGCAGTAGTGCGTCGGGCATCTATAGGTCCTAGAGTAAAAAACTTGAGACTTTAGTAAAAATATAGAAACAGGAAAAGAACCTGATAATCCCCAGCCGTCCAGTGCTCTCCTGTAAAATTAGTAAAATGGCGCTTATCATGTTTTTCCCTGGACCCTTCAATTGATAAAAATATAATAACAAATAATATAATATTTAATAACAAAAATAAAGACACGCTACTGAAACAACCAAGTTAAATTGAAGTATCTTTATTAATTTTGACAAGTGTTGTAACCATTTCAAAAAACGAAGTAAAATATCGACCAACAATACCGACTACGACTAACAATATCGACTGTTCTAACGGCAAAGAATGGCCGTTCGCAGAATGTACCAAAATATATTACATACTTATTTCTGGAGCCCCACGTTGGGCGCCAAAAATATGTGTGTAACGGTCACATTTTTTTTTGTCCGGGAAAGGGCCGCACGCTACACAAGTAACTATTTTTGAAGTATCTTTCTTCACAAATTCACTATAATCTCACTGTAATTCATGTCCTGACACAATGTCTTTTAAAATGTGTACACTTTGCGTAAAATATCGACGAATTATATACGACGAAAATATGACTGTTCTGCCGGCAAAAGTGGCCGATCGCATTGTGTATTTTTGGAGCCCCTCGTTGGGCGCCAAAAATATGTTTGTAACGGTTACCTTTTTTCATATTTTTTTTATCCGGGAAAGATCGCATGCTGCACAAGTAATTATTTTTGAAGCATCTCTATAATATTCACAATAATCTCACTGTAATTCAAGTCCTGACACGATGTCTTTCAAAATTTGTACACTTTGCAGGAACCTAATTGTAAAATAAACAATAAATAATATAAAATAAACCCAGAGAAGCCCTACAAATCCGCAAAAATTCAAATCAGTTTCGAATATGTCATTTGGAACGATCCCGTCTGTATGTTGCACGTAATATTAAAATAGTATTATACTCCTTTAAGTCTATTTATTCAAGGACAAGTTGCATTTTTATATATTAGTTTTATTTTATTTTCATTTAAATATTTATTGAAACTTATTTTTAATATAGCCGAAGCAAGTTTGGGTCCCATACCTGCGTCTTATCAAAGGGAAATACTTCTTTGGACGGACCACTGGATACGATGCGCTAAAGAATTACAAATGTGGGATATCTTAAAGGATTATGCCAAAACGGGAGTATATGACCCGTATCTTCTCTTAGAGGTAGCAGAAGCAAATAAGATGTTGGTTGCCTTTTTAATAAATAGTTTTATTCTAGAGTGCCTGGAGGAGCCCGGACTGGGATCTGATGAAGGAGGCTCTTAGTAGCGTCGAATACAACTGCCCTAAGGAACTAGCTTGGAAAATAACAATGTATGCCGGATTTTTGCACATATGCAGCAAACCCGAGCAAGGCAAACCTTTAATGCACGCCGAAAGGTATATTGTTATGTTACTTAAGCTGTATTTCGTTTCTTACCTTGTTATAGCTTTCCGTTCTCTTTCTGTGTATTGTCTGAAATGTTTATTATTACCGAACACGGTTCCTGAAAAATATCTGTCATTATTGTCACCAAATTAACTCAGCGTTAAGATGCTTATTTTTCTGGTTTGCAGAAGTCTGTATACAGGGTGTTTCAAAAAACATGTACCATCTCTCGTGGGGAGACTCCTCGCGTAAAAATAAGATTTATTTTTCATATCAATATATTCCGATTCTGCTTTGTTTCCTAGTTACAGGGTGTTAAAGTCTTAATATTTTTTTCGATTTATTATAATTTTCTTCTAAGTACTTTTAGCGCGATAAATGTAGTAATAATACTTACTATAATATACTAGTAACTGGCGCGATAAATGCGACATATTTTAAGACTAAAAAAGTTTCGCCATATTCACCAGGGACGTGCATATGGGTTATCAATGGAATATTTTTCTATAAAAAGCATGTACGCCACTGACTTTTTTCTCTTGTTAGCGAAATAGTGTAAGCAGTTTAATGCAGACTAAAAGTTGTCTCTTGCTATTTTGTCGATTTCTGAGATATTTGTTCTATATTCTATTGCATTTATCTCAGCCTCTTTGCTGAGATAAATGCAATTTTATTAATTTGCCTTCATCTAAGTCTAATTAGTAGCAACCAAGCAACCTTCAAAAAAATTTTAATATTATTAACTTGCGAAAGTTTTTTGATAAGTACAAATTACGTACAAAAGTACTCAAAAGAAAAAAATTCAGTGGTGCACATGTTTTTTTTTGAAAAATATTCCAGTGATTACCCATATGCACGTCCCTGATGAATTTATCGACACTTTTTTAGCATTAAAATATGTAGCACTTATAGTAAAAAAAATGAAAAATAAATCTTATTTTTACGTCCCCAAGAGAGATACACCCTGTATAATAAACTTTCATTGAATTGTGCTTCTTGATAGTATTTTTCGTAGTAAAGACACTAAATAAAAATTTGTAATATAGGTATGTCGATACTGCCAGCGCCCTTTGTCTGAATGAATGGAGGCGTCTTCCACATATAGTCAGTCATATCCATTTGCAATATCTGCAGGCCGCTCAGCAAATTATGGAGTTACACGAAGCTTATCAAATTCGTAAAGGGCTTATCCAAGGTAACAATTATGACTACTTTTATAGGATGAATAAGCAATAATTCTAAACGTTTTTGTTTCGTTTCTCTTTAACTTTTTATTATAAGTTCTAAAAAATAAAAACAACTGATCCGATAGCAAGAACATTTTCTTTGGATCCGTTTGTTCCAAACTGTGTATTTATTTTCGTAGATTTAAAAATATTGATTTCAAGAAAACATGCATTATACTATAAAAAAATAAAGACTTAAGTATTATTAAAGTACTTTTGTTTTCAAACGTCACAAAAGTATTCATTTTTGCGACGTGATTGAAAATATAAAAAAGTTATTTTAACGCCTAGGCATAAAAGTAAAGCAACCTAAGCACAGAAGTACGAAAATATATTATTAAACTGACATAAAGTGTCAAATTCAACAAACCGTAACCATAGTTTCTCGATATACAGGGTGTCCCAGAAATAAGTGCAAATATTTTAACTGGTAGTATAGTTCAACCCCAGAAACACGCCTATGAGGTTTTTTTTGCGAAAAAAAAATATTGAAAATTTAAAATTTTTCTTGACATTTTCCGGGAAATTTGAAAAAACTTTTTAGTGCCACTTGTTTATTCACCTGAGATTTCCCTACGGTGTATCTAAACCTTGCAGTGTTGCAACCTCCTATGTTATCCACATTCTACATAGTTCGGCGGAACATAATTCTACATTTATAAATTCATAGACAAATTTCTACTCAAAAAATTAGGAATGTTAAATTTAATCTTTTATCGCTGCTCATTATTAATAATTATAGAAAAAAAAACACATTAATTATTTTTAGTACTTACACTTTCAATGAAAACTTAACAAAAACCACCGAAAATTAACTAAAACATTACGTTTATGACGTTTACGAAAATATTTGTTATGCTGCAAAATAACTTTATTTTGGAATAAATTTAATAAAATGATTCATATTATTCACAATCAGGTCACAAAAAGAAATTCCTAAAATGTTTATCGTAATTTAGAATTCAATTCAAGAAATTTAGAAAACAGCCCAACGAATAATCGATTCATTTTTGTTTTGTTTGTTTTCTTTCATGTTTCTCTGTTTTATTTGAACCACTGTTTTACAAAACACCTTGAAAAGCGCACATTACTTTGAATACCTTTCTGAATGATTAAATGTTTCTCTGTTTTATTTTTTAAAAATAAAACAGAGAAACATGAAAGGAAATAAACAAAACAAAAATTAATTGATTATTCGTCGGGCTGTTTTCGATGTATTGAATTCTGAATTACGATAAACATTTTAGAAATTTCTTTTTTGTGACCTTATCAATAACCAATTCATTTGTGTTTTGTTTGTTTCCTTTCATGTTTATCTGTTTTATTTTTAAAATTTAATAAGAATTTGATTGCTTCGAGTGTCTTGAATTTGAAATTGTTGAAACTACGGCAACCTCGCATGACGCAAACTCGACACGGCGGCGCGACAAAGGAGCAGTTACCACTGTTACCAGTGATGCGCCGCTCTCTTCCTGATCCGGGTAATTGGATGTAGTTGGCGATATCTGCCGGCGGTTCTCAAAATGTTGCGATTATTTTTTTAAATTTTCAAAGTTAAATAACTCGGTTATTTTCAATTTATTTTAAAAATGGTAAAGAGAAAATATGTTTATTTTAACCAGATCTACCACCCCTTAAAATATCTGCACTCATTTCTGGGACACCCTGTATAATTACATACAAAGTATTAAGGTCGATTTATAGATTGAAAACGGTGCGGTTCGACGTTGCGGTTGCGATTATTTCTATTGGCTATTACTAACGTTTCAAGCTCAATGTTCCTGTCAAAGTTAAAAGTTGGTTAACTTTTGACGTAAAACGTCAACCGCAACAACAACCGAAAAATTTATAATCAACAAAACATCCTGCGTATAAACGAACTTTTTACCGACCGTAACGTCGGGCGTCGAACCGCAACCTTTTCAATCTATAAATCGACCTTTACTTTTAAACCTAGATCATATATACTTACGTGGATAAGTAAATCACTATGGAAACTGTCGCAAACATATCAACGACTTACATTTATCTTCTTTCTTGCTCCACACGCGGTGCTTCTACTCTATCTATCCTTGTCGAGGACCTATGGTCCACATGTCAAATTTGAATATTGATTTTGAAAATTTAATTTGTAAAATGCATATATTCGAACAATAAATTGTATGTTTACTGTCACAAAAAATTAAATTACATAAAAAAAATACATTTAGCGTCTCCGATCGAATATCAATATTCTTAGGAAATCGATATTCTTAGGAAGTGTGGTTTAATATAAATAAAAGAACAACTGAATACTTTACTTGCCTATGAAAAGATAATTCGGGGACCTTTATATTAGAACTTCCATACACCAAACAATTTATAGTCATTTTTAGAGGTATTTAAAAACTCCAACGAAAAAAAAAATAGAAATATAATTGCACAAACTTAAAATTAATTTCTTACTGAACACACTTGCATCCTTGGCTATATCAAAACGGTCGATAAAAGAGTAATTAATACAATTCGTTACACAATGGAAATAAGATTATTCGTCGTTACACAATGGAAATAAGATTATTACATATGTTTATGACAAGATTATGATAGCATGATGACAATGAAAAGTTGGTTTCCATAACAATGTATAATTTGTACTTACTAAACCGTATAAAATTGTGATTATTTTGAAAATACGTGCAACTTTTAATGCGAATGCGCAAAGTAAGGTCCTCGAGAAAGACAAATCTATTGAAAGTTTCATAAGTGCAATAAAGAAGGTTTGAAAATGGCATGTCGTGATGTTGGAGACATATTTTTTATTGCTAAACTTATAGCGGTAATTTATCCACGTTAGTATATATGATCTAGGCTTTTAAATATTTTTATATTATCTGGAACGTTTGAAATTGTTTAAAAATATTATTTAGGGCGTTTCAAAAATAGTAGCATATTCTATTCGGTGTAAAAATGACTTTTTGTCGCTTGTCTGTATGTCGGACGTACAGCCTCGCCATTAAACATGTCATTTTTACTCCTAATAAAACAATATACTATTAAGGGTGTATTCCGCTGCTTATCTTGGTTATGGTTTTACGTTTCGTTTCTATCGGTTTCCTGAAAGTTTTCTTATTACGGAACACGGTTCCTGAAAAATACGGTTATATCTGTCACCAAGCTAACCAGCGCGAGAAGGCTGGTTTTTCTAGTTTTGTTTGTCAATCAATGTCATTTATGTGACAGAAATCAAGCAAATACTGGAAGTTCGAGTGAAATTCTTATTTAATTTCTAAAATTTGTAATAATATTTTGTATTTACATCCAAAAGCTATGGAGGTAGGCAGTAAAGGTAAATAAATTTCATCAACTAAATAGAATGACTTTTTAGGACCATTTAAACTTATCATGCAGCCATTGTTTCTTAGTCAAGAACATTTAAAGAAAACATGAAAAACAAGACAAGTAATCGTGAATGTTTTGTAAGCTATAAAAATATAAATATTGATTAGATTTGTTTATTTATTATTGATCTGTTTTAATATTGGACCTGCAAATCTTCACTTGAGCTGTCTAACGAGTTTAACAGTTTATTAATAAAGTACTTTTCAATATTAAACTCCATTGAAAAGAAGAAGCAAACGTAAAAGCAGAGAATAGGTACATTAAAAATGCATAAAAGAAATTTTATAATAAAAGTATTGAAATTTAGAAAACGTCAACATTTAACGTTTCCAGTATTATACCAAACCGTTCCGTATTAAACCGATGTTTTTCAGGAACCGCTCTTTACCGTAGTTTATCGGTTTGGTTCGCCTGGTTTTGCAACGGAATACAACCTAATTTTATATTAACATACGGGGGGTGGTTTTTCACACAAGTGGCGCACCCTCCTCGCCTTAATTTCCTCACGTAATTACTTGTAGTGGACACCCCCTTAACTGTTAATTTTATTAAATAGGTCCGAACTCTCTTCACGATTTAAAAGCTATAGTGAAGACCTGGCGCAATCGTCTTCCAGTGATAGCGGACGACTTGGTACACTGGAGCGACATCTTCACGTGGCGTCAACACCATTACCAGGCTATTGTGCAGCATTTCGGTCAGAACAAAGACAACACAATAGCCAACTCGAAACTAGGTATATGTAGGTGTTAATGGCACGGGACTGCGGGTATTATCCTGTGATTTTTTTTTCTATTATTATTTTGCCTTTTTGTTTCAATTTTTGTTTCTTATCTTTCGAGATAAGGTGGAGTCTCAGTATCAAAGCTAAAATTAAGAATTTTCGGATGCCTTTTTGCATAGTATCATCGCACGATTAACATACGGTAATCACAAAACATTTTCCGATGCACGTCATCAATCATATCCAAATTGACACTAAAGCCTAAAAACTGACCAAATGAAATTTTCGCAAAAATTATTAAATTTGTTGTATAATTCAAGATACCGAGCAGCTTTTCATTTTACTTTATAGAGCAAATGATTGTAACAGATATTTTATTTAGATTGAAGTTGCAAAAATTAGTTTAAACCGAATTTTATTATCGCTATGTTGGTCACATTGCGCCATGTTCAGCAACGTTGTCGTTTATTATTTGACAATTATCATAATGTCATTTTTTTGTATATCGTGTTGTTGTTGAATCTTTGTGGGTAATTAACGGTTTTTGTTTATTTTCATAGTCTTTTTTGAAAATTGTACTTTTAAGCACAAACAGTTCTTTTAAGAACTAAATTCTCGTGTTTTTGTATTGCATTTTAGAAATTGTGTATTGAAAATATGCCGAAACATTTAAACAGCTGAAGCAAAGAGCTTGTAGCTTCCCTGATAAATTATTTTGAACGAGAACGTGACAATAAAGGTGCTTTATTGCCCTTGATTGCAGTGAGAGAATTAAGTTTGTGATTGGTCAACATATTATAGCATTTTCAAAGTTATTTCTACGTTAGTTTTTAAGAAATTCCGTGATTATTTGTTTGTGCATTAATGGCATCTTTTTACTTGTTATTACCACTTGTTGTGTTTTTTAAGTTTTACATCAATAAATAATAACGCTTAGAATAATCTTCATAATGTACTAGTTTTTACCAATATGTAATAAGTAAAATAAGCTATAAAATAAATTAATTAATTACTAAAATATTAATTATTAAATTAAAATAAAATCTTTAAAAAATGATATAATAAATATATTGTTTCCCAATTTTACATTAAGATTCGTTCCATAAATCTATAAAAATCTGGCAGCGCTGTCGCCATCGCTTGTCACTCAAAGTTGATGACGTGCATCGGAAAGTGTTTTGCGATTACCGTAGTATCATCGAAACTACTACTGTATGAGACTCAATCTTTAGTGAAGAAGAAATTTAAAATATACAATATATGTTCAAGAGTATTGGACACATATGGAAAACTTTTTTTATTTTACGTTTCTCAGAAATTGATATTTTTGATCAAAAATTCTGCGTTCTGACAAACTCTAACAACACTAGTCAACATCGAAGTATCTCATTTCGTATATGAAGGAGTTTCTTAAATATAAAATTTGTTCAACAAAATTAGAGTTAATATAAAACCATATACTATTCTAGCTTATATATACTATTTTATAATGTTTTTTAATTCTTATTAAAAAACGATAATTCTGTTAACCGGCCGGATAGCTGTGGCCATTAAACCAAATATACTACTACATCTATATCTCTGACTACTACTAACTGCTACCACAGATTATACAGATTATAAACTTTGTTTTTTCTTTATTGTTTTTCGTGGTTCCAATTTTCGGAATCGGGCACTAGTTAGGTTACTAGTTTGCGCACATAGCACGCCCACTTATGGCCTCTAAAATTGTGCACAGCGCCTGACCGGCACAGTTATTAGAGAGATATCGGAAAACCGAATAGCGTCATGCAGTATTTACGCGTACCTTATGGTTACGATATGCGCGAGTCAGTTTTTAACACAACACCCGCTAATAACGTTACCGCCTGACGAAATTTGCGGATCAATTACACCAAGCGCTATTTCTAAATAACGTTTAAAAATTGCTTAAATGGGCATGGGCGGGTATTTGACAACTGGGGTCGGCCGGCGAGATCTTTTATTTTAGGTTATGTTTGAATTGTTTTGAATTATTACTTTAGTTTTATTAGGTAATTTGATATTTAAGTAGCTGGGATTGGTTTTAATTAAATAAATATGGCCCAAAATGTGGATTCCACCTCTTCCAATATTAAAGAACCTATAAAGAAGCTTAGGTTTACAGCAGATGACGACTTTTGTTGCTTGTTGCCCTAAACCCACTGGCAGACGTTGAACAATAAAGCACTGGAAATAAGCACTTTAGCCCTTTAATTTTAAAATACCTAGTAAATAAAACAATTTCAAAGTTTTAAATTCAAAGTTAGGTTAAGTTTAAATAGCGGACGCGACGCGAACAGAATTCTTTCCGATCCGATAACTATAAATGAAGAGAGTTAATACCACCTCACGCAAAGGAAATAACACCTGGCCTTATTAACGTCCATGTACGCTATTCGGTTTAGCGATATCTCTCTATTACGCTGTTTATTGTTATTTTACGCGAGTTTATTTTACGCGAGTTTATTTTTGCGCACAGGAAATTTTACTCGTTTGCACATCGTCATAAAAACAATTTTCGTACCACGAATTAGGGACAAGCTTTTTATCTGTATACATATAGTATACCTAATCTGTGCTGCTACTAACCGACAATTTATTTTGTGTAGTCTGTGATCTGTTTTTGTTTAAATGTATTGTTCATTATTCATGTGGGGTATTTATTTTTAAATTAATGTTAACCGTTAGGCAAACTCATAGAATATGTATTTCTTTTGCATAATCAAAATTGTCACTCTAAATTTTATATAACCAAATTGTCACTCTAAATCGCTATCTTTTTTAGACAGATGTCACTTGCCTTTTCATTATTCAATTCATTATTCGAATTCTCAGAATGTAGTTAACAAAAAGTTCCATCTTGAAATAAAATTTTAATCAATCACAATTCTTTATCTCCATCATTTACCGGATTAATAATACAGAAATTACAACTCAATTACAAACAATTCATTATTTATAGTGATTTACAGTAATTTTATTAAATTATATGAATATTCTCGTTGATTATTGGTTTGAAATAAATATGACGGTGTCCTCCAATGAAAATGCGAGTTACTAACTCTAAATTCTCATTCTTAGCTGGCAAATGAACTAGATGCTTTACCTAGACCGTTATTCAGAAGCTACAAATCTATAGATGAGATATTTTTTAATGCTAAACTTATGGCGTTGATTTATCCACGTAAGTATACCGGGTGCGTCTCAAAAGTGGCTCACCCCTATAACTTTTTTATTTTTGCAGTTAAAAAAACGAGATTTAGTATGTTAGTATATGACATAAATTAGGATTGATTGGTTTATTTGAAATTTTAACTTGCGGTTCGTAACGAAAATTTGACTCGAAATACCAAGTGTGTGGTATTAAATTATTCGTAAAAAAATGCTTTTTCCAAATATGCTAATGAGCCACCCTCGTTCCATTTGAAAAAATTGAGATATGATTAAAAATACAATTTGAGCATTTTCTAACTGGCCAGGATAAGACACTAAAAACATTAGCCGATCAAATTAATTTTTCCAAAGCTCCTTGATTAAGTGTTTTTAACATAGCTGTGGCACTCTAGATTGAATCTTAAAATACGATTTTTTATTAAGCGAGAATGTCAAAAGTTGACATAGGATATGTCATTCTATACAGAATGTCATTTTCTACCCAATAAAGTAAAAAATACCTAGGGTGCCATTTAAAAATCAAAAGTTGTGGTCATTTCCGGTGAAACCGGATGTGACCAAAAATAATTGAATACGTCAATCAATCCTAATTTATGTCATATACTAACATACCAAATCTGTTTTTTTTTATCATAAATATAATTATAATATTTTTTATATTTTAAAAAAGTTATAGGGGTGAGTTACTTTTGAGACGCACCCGGTATATGATCTAGGGTTAGTAAGAAGTTTCACTTCAAATATGCGCACAATGGTTTACACACGTTTTTTACATCTGAGTGTATTTCATTATTGACTAGTTTATTTGGAATTTTACAAAATCTAGGGCTTTTACCAAGAATGAACATTTCTTAGAAACATAAAATAAAAAAGTTTTCTATATCCAAAATTCCTGGAAATATATCATACGAAAGGCATACTTTTATACCATTGTATATTTCTTATGATTTTACTTTTCTAGGGATGCACGCCTCAGCCCAGTCCATCATCCATTTTTGTAAAATAGCTCGTAAACATAAACTGACAAACGTCTGTCTGGATTCGTTAAACAAAATATACAGCATATCCAGTGTTCCAGTGTTCGATTGTTTCCAGAAAGTAAGACAGCAGGTTAAGTGTTATTTGCAGATGGCTTCTGTGAACAATAAAAACGAATTACAAGAGGGTAAGCAAAAATACTTTTAATTACGGACTTGGTCATCCTAAATCCGCTCTGGATTTTAACGTGCAAGATTGATGAAGATACTTTAATGGAAATTCGAATGTGTTAGATAAAGAGTGGGGATATACATTTCTTCTAGCCTAGTAAGCGAGGATAAAAATAGGGTATTCCCTCCGAATTCTTGACACCCGCGCCGATTGTCGTGAAATTTTAACAGTCAATAGAGATATATGTAAGAAACAAAAGTTACATAGTAGTGATGTGCGCTTTCACCCTGGGGATGAGTGCCACCCCTTCTCGGGGGTGAAAAATAAATCACCCATTTTAATTGCAAAAATCAATAAAGGGATGAATTCTAAGCAAAAAAACTTCTGTAACATTTTTTCAGTAAATTAACATTTTCCGAGTTATTTAGGATTGAAAATGTTGATTTTTCATCTAAAAACTGCATATTTTTCTGCAATTTTTTTATAAATAACTCTTTTAATATATAACTTTTTTTAAGGGCTCAAAGAACGTGGTCCTTACGTGCAACTCAAACTAAAAAACATAATATCTACGAAATAAAATAGATCTACAGAAAAATTGAAAAAAGCAAAAATATTGCAAATAATAGATCTTCAATTTTGCTCTATTGCATTTTTTACGTATCTTGCTTAGTTTTTGCATTTGAGATATGTCAAAAAAATTAAATTTTTTTAAAAAATTAAAAAATATGTTTTCGTTATTTTCAACTTTTTTCCAAATTTAGGCATTTTAAACCGCTCGAACTTGTAGAGCCCATTGTTAGTACCTAAATATAGCCAACTGTACAGGGTGGGTCAAATTGGACGCTTTTAAAGGGAAACACCCTTTTCTATAGGAGATAGACAAAAACTAATATCGGTGTCTGGAGCTCAATTTTTGTCAAAAACATGATGGTGAAAACCGCATATCGATATCTGTTACCGTTTCGGAGTTACGGGGTGTTTTTCAAAAATATGCATTTTTAACAAATCGCTGTAACTTTTTTGCTATGGAAAATTTTGTATTTTTATGAAAACTTTTTCAAAGCACCTTTTTACGTAGAATTTAATGGTTTAAGTATAATTTTTTTAAAATTAATAATTTAAGAATTATCAACAGAAAATTTGATTTTTTATATGGGACACCCTGTATATTTGATATTTATTGAAACTAATTTAAAATTACCTTTCCAAAAATATAACACACTTGATACTGTTACGGATTCCGTGGGTCCACTATTTAAACTCACGATAAAATACTTAACGAATTTATTTGTTTCACTCTGTACACACAACTTATACTATTTACAACACAACTTATGCAACTACTATTACTCTAACGGTATTTCGCGGTATTTTCAAACTTCAGACTATCTTCAGACTTTAGACTTTAAACCTGTCCAACTGTCAAAGCGCGGGCCTTATATACCCCCTGGCGGTTGTTTCTAGATTTTTCTAAAGAATTCTATAATTTTCTTTACTTTCTGGCGAATGCGCCAGGATTTTTAGCAGTATGCAGTTATGCAACCAGTAATACACCTTGACATTGCCCCTTCTCAAATTTGATCGAGGTTTCCTGTCTGGTATCTCTCAATCGATCCAGATGAACTACTTTCATCTTACTTCTAGGGCTGCGTTGAATCCGGTACACAACATCATTTATCCTCTTGATGACTGTATAAGGACCTTCCCATGCTGGAGTTAACTTTGGGGACCTCCCTTTCTTGCGCTGTGGGTTATATAACCATACCATATCGTCCTGTTGAAATCCCGTAGAATTAGCTCTGAGGTCGTAACGAGCTTTCATCCGGTCACTGGCTAGCGTAATCTTACTTCTCACGGCCTTATGAATTCCCAATAACCTTTCCTTCAGTTCATCCGCGTAGTCCTCTACGTTCGTGGTGCTGTCGTCTGGTGATCCGAACACCAAGTCACAAGGCAACCGTAATTCTCGACCAAATAAAATCTTCGATGGTGAAAGTCCGGTGGTGTTGTGAACTGCACTTCTATATGCCATTAGGAATAGTGGTATATGCTGATCCCAATCTCTTTGATGTTCATCCACCATTTTCGAGAGATGTTCTTCAATGGTCTTATTGAATCTCTCGACCATCCCATCAGACTGCGGATGTAAAGCTGTTGTCCTAGTCTTGTGAATACCAAGCAGATCACACATCTTCTGGAACAGTCTTGACTCGAAGTTCCTTCCTTGGTCAGTGTGAAGCTCTAAAGGAATTCCAAATCTACTGAAGACATTATGACTAATACTTCAGCTACAGTCGATGCTTCTTGGTTTGGAATGGCAAAAACTTCTGGCCATTTACTGAAATAATCCATCGCCACTAAAACGTACTTGTTGCCCTTGTGCGTTTCAGGGAATGGGCCTGCAATGTCAACAGCGATTCTTTCGAATGGCAGTCCAACGTTATATTGTTTCATTTTTCCCCTAGATCGAGTGCTTGGTCCTTGGCTGGCTGCACAAATTTTACATTGTCGACACCATTTCTTGACATCTTCGCAATAATCCACCCAGTAAAAGCGATCTCTCAGCTTGCTCAAGGTCTTGTTTACCCCAAGATGGGCTCCAGTTTTACCACCGTGAATTTCTTCCAATACCTGGGTAACTTTCTTCCTTGGTACCAGTAACTGAGTTGTTACTGTGCTGCCATCCGCACTTTCCCATGTGCGCTTTAACAATCCATTCTCAATAACCAGTGAATTCCACTGAGCCCAGAGAGCTTTGAAAACGAGCCCTCTGTCCGCAATATCCTGCCACGGTGGTCTCTCGCCGTTACCTTCCTTGAGCCGTAGTATTGCTCCGATGTCTGGATCTTCCATTTGATCTTTCCTCAATTGTGTCGTCGTCCACTGTTCATCGGTTCCAAGTTTAAAACTCCTTATCATGACAGTGCCTTCACGTTGTTCCGTTTTACAGCAGTGCTTACAATCGGTTTGACAGGGTCTTCTGGATAAACCGTCTGCGTTACCATGCATTTTTCCAGCACGATGTTGGATGGTAAAGTGATACTGTTGGAGCTTCTCGAGCCATCGTGCTATTTGACCTTCAGGTTGTTTCATCTCCATAAGCCACTTGAGAGCCGCATGATCTGTCCTAATTAAAAATTCTTGGCCGTACAGATATTTATGAAAATGATCAACTGCCTTCACAATTGCTAGCAGCTCCTTCCGGGTAACGCAGTAATTCCTTTCTGGTTTGGATAGAACTCGACTGTAATATTCTATCACTCGTTCTTCGCCATCTTGCACTTGTGATAGCACTGCACCTATGCCGATATTGCTGGCGTCGGTATCCAGGATATACCTCCCTTGTTGTTGCGGGTAGGCTAGAATAGGACTTGAACATAAAGCCGCCTTAAGTCTTCCAAAGGCTACATCACAATCGGTGTTCCATTCGTAGCCGACTTCATCACCTGTAAGTCTATGTAAGGGTGCAGCTATATTGGCAAATCCCTTGACAAATCTTCTGTAATAGGTGCATAAACCCAGAAAACTTCTAAGTTCATGTTTGTCGCGAGGTTTATGCCAATCCTTGATTGCAGCGATTTTCTTCTGGTCGGTGTAAATTCCGTCTGCTGAGACTACATGGCCCAAAAATTCCACTTGTCGCTGGAATAAGCTACACTTCTTCGGGTTCAAGTACAGGTGAGCATTCCGTATGCGGCCGAAGACTTCTTCTAAATTCGCAAATGCTCCTCAAAAGTTCTTCCCATAACCAATACATCGTCGAGGTAAACCAAGCACGTTTTCCAAGTTAATCCTCTTAACACCACCTCCATGAGACGTTCGAAAGTGGCTGGAGCATTGCATAATCCAAACGGCATGACCTTGAATTGGTATAGTCCGTTTCCTGTAGAAAAAGCCGTCTTTTCTTTGTCTTCCTCGTCCAGACCAACTTGCCAGTATCCACTCTTTAAGTCGAGAGTGGAGAACCAGCACGAACCTGCCAGTGTGGTTAACGTGTCGTCTATACGTGGCAGTGGGTAGCTGTCCTTCTTAGTGACGTCATTGAGCTTCCGATAGTCCACGCAGAATCGTGTACTACCATCTTTCTTCGTCACCAAAACAACAGGAGATGACCATGGACTCGATGATTCTTCGATAACTCCATCTTCTAGCATCTTATCTACCATTGTCTCCATTTCTTGTTGTTTGGAAAGGGGCACCCTTCTAGGACGTTGTCGAATCGGCTGAGCATGACCAGTATTAATCCGGTGCTTCACAAAATCCGTTCTTCCACTGTTGTTCTTCTCAAAATACTGCCATGCTTTAGCAGGAACTGCTTGGCCTTCTGTTTCTCCTCAGGTGTTAGGTGATCCCATGGCTGTTCTAGATGTTTTAGTGTTTCTTGGGATGCCTTTTGTGTAACAGCTGACGACACTTCATCACATCGGGTGACACTTTACAGGTTCGCAGATGGCTATCTTGTCACCTTTTTTGAATCTTGACACAATTCGGGAAAACATTCGCAATTCTGATCGGTATATTCTTGTCAGTGTTCTCACCAATGACTTTCCTACTAAGTACCTATCTTGTTTGTTGTCGCTACTTTGTACCAGTCCAACACAGCACCCAGCGATTTTCTCCACTTTACCGAATACGATCTTCTCGGTATTACCAGGTATCACCACAGTTTCCGCTGATTTTACATCCATTCTTCCTGGTCCCTCGTCTGGAGATAACATAAACTCTTCATTTCCGATATTCAGGATATTTCTCTGGTGATCGAACGAAAATCCATGTTGACGAATCACATCCATGCCCAAGATGAAGTCATCTTCAATATCTGCCACTAAAACGCTATGCTGGAACTTCAAATTTCCTAACATCAGTTCGACGATAGCCTCTCCCCATTACACAACGGCCCTTTCCCCGTAACTGTACGTAAACACACTCTTCTTCTCAGAGGCATCAGCTTCAATCCTTGCACTGAGTTAGCCCGCACCAACGATACCATAGCGCCAGTGTCCACAGTCATTCGAATTCCCTTTCCATTGACTTTCCGTCGATCACAAACTGTCAGCGGTTCTTCCTAGACTCCTAATGGAAAAAATCCTGGGGGCTCTGTTCTCCCCAGTCAATACTCGCCCCTTAGTATTGACTGATTTTAGTTTTCCTGGTGCCTACGTTCTCTGGATGGTGAACGGGATCGCATTTGAACGCGGCAATCCCGTTTGATGTGGCCATTCCTGCCACATCTAAAGCACCTTATGTCCTGTGATCTTCTATAGCTCTCTGTCTGGGTGTTGTTGCTACTCTTGTTCACTAGTAACTCACATAGTTTACTAAACATCTCCTCCAAACGTATGTGAGAACTTCCGGCTGTTCCTCGACCGTTACCGATCTTATCTTCGGTCTAGGGATGGCGCTAAAAGCAGCTTCGATTTCCAGCGCCCTGACGAGTGCTTCGCTGCTGGTAGAAAATCGGGATATTTGCAGCGCCCTCTGTAATTCGTTGTCCCTCAGTCCGCTGATAAAGCACTGAGCAGCGAGTTCCTCCATAAATCCTTCCGGTGCTTCAGGATACGCTAGGTGTACCAGCCGACGTAAGTCTGCTTCGAATTCCTGCAGACTCTCTCCGGACCTCTGCAGGCGTGTCTTGATCTGGGCCTGGTAAAGTTGGCGTCGATGTTGGTCGCCATATCTTCTGTCCAGTGCAGCGACCAAAGTTTGATATTCCTGCTGTTGGGCTGCAGGAATAGTTTGCAGGAGTTCCAGGGCAGAGCCACGCAGCGCGATGACAAGTGCCGCTGCTTTCTCCTGGTCAGTCCATCCATTGGCAGCAGCCGCTGCTTCAAACTGGCGGTGGTACATCGTCCAGGTGGTTTGTCCATCGTAGGTCGGTGCCTTGAGGTTCGCAGTTCCAGAAACGCCAGGTGTCCTTACTTGTACCTTGGTCTTCTGTAGGTCCATCTCCAATTTTTCCATTTTCTGCTGAAGGCGTTCCTCCAGATCTTCTACAACTTCTTGGAAATGGTTCTCCTGTCGTTTTTCCAGGTTTTCAAAATTCTTCTGTAGTCGAAATTCCTGATTTTCTAAAGTTTTTTTTCTTAAGACGGTCCTGATCTTCTTGTCTTTCTTTTTGGCGGCGCGTTTCTATATCTTCTAAAATTTCCCTCCATTCATTCTTCTGACGACTTCCTAAATTGCCTAAAATTTTCTCAAGCCGGTCCTGTTCTTCTTTGTCTTGTTGTCGTTGAACTTTCAAATCTTCGAAAATGTTCTCAAGCCGGTCCTGTTCTTGTTGACGTCGTAGTTTTTCCTCTTCCTTTTCTCTTTCTAATCGGGCTCGCTCTTCTTCTCGTTCTTTTCGGAGTCTTTCTTGTTCTTCTGCTTTCTCCCTTCTCATATTCTCCATAAAATCGCCTAATAGTTTGCTTACTTCCTCCATTTTCTTCGCTTGTTCCCTTGTACCAACCATAAAAATACTCTAATCCGGTCTAAAAATCTTCCAATCCACTTAATTTCTTCTTAAAATCCTCTTGAATCGCACTTCCGACACCAATTGTTACGGATTCCGTGGGTCCACTATTTAAACTCACGATAAAATACTTAACGAATTTATTTGTTTCACTCTATACACACAACTTATACTATTTACAACACAACTTATGCAACTACTATTACTCTAACGGTATTTCGCGGTATTTTCAAACTTCAGACTATCTTCAGACTTTAGACTTTAAACTTGTCCAACTGTCAAAGCGCGGGCCTTATATACCCCCTGGCGGTTGTTTCTAGATTTTTCTAAAGAATTCTATAATTTTCTTTACTTTCTGGCGAATGCGCCAGGATTTTTAGCAGTATGCAGTTATGCAACCAGTAATACACCTTGACAATACTTTGCTCGATTCCTCTTCGAGATATAGAGTATATAAATAAAAATTCGCCGGCTTTAAATAAGTAGGCTTTGAACGGCACCGGCTGGAATGCAATAAAATTTTAGCTGTGAGCATCAATTAAAACGAAAATAATATTTGCTATGCGAGATGCAGAATTTTTTAACAATTTAAAATATATTTAACCAACATCAACACATTTAAATTTTATCTAATAACAATAAAAATAAATAGCAAACCAAGGCATGAGATTTTGCTACAGGTGTTCGACATACCGACTGTCTTCTCTTATGGACAGACGGGGCAGTTTTTGAACATTTCTCGCGTAATTCATTAACTCAGTGGGGGTGAAAGATACCCTCCCATAACTGCTAAGTATTTTTAATTCCTGTCTAGATTATACGGAAGAATAAGGAACCTTTATTCTTTCGCAAATATATCCATAGGATTAGATCCATGGGCACTAAGTCAGGCGGCCTCGGCGGCCAACGGCTGGGATCTTGGTTAGCTATCCAATTATTCTTGAAATTGGCTGCAAAAATTTGCTGATAACTTCAGCGTTCAGAGGCGGTGCGTCGTCTTGCTGGAAAAATATGTTTTCGAGTTCCATTAAGGGCGTATTATTAATAAGGGGTCCAAAGCCTACTAATTGAAAGTGGCGAACTTTTAAAAATTCTGTATTTCGAAGGGGATTGTGACAAAATATCAAGTGTGCTATATTTTTGGAAAGGTAATTGTAAATTCTTTTCATTTAATTAAGAATACAGAGGGTGTCCCAAATAAAAAATCAATTTTTCTGTTGATAACTCTTAAATTATTAATTTTAAAAAAATGATACTTAAACCATTAAATTCTACGTAAAAAGGTGCTTTGGAAATGTTTTCATAGAAACAAAAAATTTTCCATAGCAAAAAAGTTACAGCGATTTGTTAAAAATGCATATTTTTGAAAAACACCCCGTAACTCCGAAACGGTAACAGATATTGATGTTTTTATCTTTATCATTTTAGTCATAGATTTTGTTGTTAATTTTTTTCGAAATAATGAGGTGATCATTTTATTTTTATCATAACTCCGCGAGTTTTTGAGCTAGGAACTTTTTAAAAAAAACATTTAAAGGCCTTTTCAAGCACTTTAAAAACGGTCGTATTCGTTTTCTTCGAAAAATGTGTTCTTTCGCCATTGTTTTACGGTAAAATGTTGCAATTTAGTTTTCGAAAAATAAAAAATCACCTTTACAGAGTGATAACTCGGCTATTATTACACCTACGGTAATCAACAAAAAATGAGTCGTTTAATTATTCCAAAGGCTTCATTTTTACTTTATATGAGTTTTGCGATAAAACGCAAAGTTTTCGAGTTATTTATAAAAAATGGCAGAAATATATGCAGTTTTTAGATGAAAAATCAACATTTTCAATCCTAAATAACTCGGAAAATATAAATTTACTGAAAAAATGTTTCAGAGTATTTTTTGCTTATAATTCGTCCCTTTATTGATTGTTACAATTAAAATGGGTGATATATTTTTCACCCCAGATAAGAGGTGGCACTCACCCCCAGGGTGAAAGCCCCCATCGTAAGGGGAACGGGACTGCGAGAAATACTTTATATAATTTTTAAAATCAACTGAAATGCACCAAGTCCATACACCAAATTATCCACACAAATTATAAAATCTAAATAAACCCGCGTAAATAAAGAAATGGTTGCTTAACAATTGTTAAGTTAAAAATTTTGCTTGGGTCAGTGTCTGCTTGACCCCGAGACATATGTAGGTTAGCCATCACTGTTCTAGAATTTTAGCGATATGTTTAAGCTCGGATCGAAATTTTATTTTTACGCCTATTGTGACGTCCGTCGTTTTTCATTCGGTTACACGATACATAATTTTACTTATTAGGTCTGGAAGTTATCAACCATACGAAAATGGAATTTTTCGCCAAAGATATGAAAGCGGAGTTCTATGCTTTAAAAGGAATGATGTATCACTTAAGTGGAAAATCGGATGAAGCTAACAAAGAGTTTTCAGCAGCCGTACAAATGCACGATACCTCAATCAAAGCGTGGGCTCTTTATGGCGATTATCTGGAAAGCGTATTTATTACAGATCATAGACAGGTAACCTTAATAATATACAGGTTGAGTCTTAAATAAGTGCAAATATTTTTAGGGCTGGTAGATCTCGATAAAACAAACATATTTTCTCCTAACCGTTTTTTAAATAAGTCCAAATTAACCAAGTTGTATATAAAAAAGTTATTGTGTGGATCCAAGTTATTGTATAGATCTTAATAATTTAAAATTAATTAAACATGTACCAAATTACAGATGCATATGAAGCATCAGAATTAATAAATGTAAAGTTCAAGTTTTTTGTTCCTACTACTCTAGTGGCGGAAATTTAACTGTTACGGTGGGCTCTGACTGGGTTGGCTAGATCTTGCCACGCCTACTCGAGCGAGTATATAAACGCCCACTGAGCGAGTATATAAACGCTCAAATTGTAGATTGCAGTTTAGATTTTAATCATCTGTTGATGATGCTAACATGATTAACGAAAGTAAAAAAAAGTAATAGTGTTTTGGTGTATTGTGGTGATTTTAGTTTTTTTTGCGAGTTATTTTACTTTGAAAATCGAAATAAAAAAATTTGATTACATTTTGAGAACCATTGGATCTTTTCTGGGTTTTCTTTCTTGTAAATATAGTCTACTTACCTAGGTTGCCTATAAATTATCTTTTAACTAAAAAAAAGTTTTTATTTTTTTTTCGCGAAAAAATCTCATTGTCGTGTTTCTGTGGTCAAAATATATTACCCCTAAAATATGTGCACTTATTTAAGACTCACCCTGTATAGAGAAATCAGTAAAAGTTAGCGTGCCCATCATCAAAGACGTTGAAACTATTACCAAATTAAATTTTTAATAAATAAAATAACTGTGGCAACATTGCGACGTGCATCCGTCAAACATTTGCCCGCCATACACCAGAAGATTTGGCCTGCGGATGAAATCTTTGCGTTTGTGGGCTAGACCAAGTATGTGGCAGGCCAAGCCTTTGGCGAACCAAGCCTGTCACTGGCCAAGTCCGCGGATTTGACCTGTGGGATTACGTTTGTCTAAAAAATCGAAGGATAGAGTCGGCAGATCTGTAACACTCTTTCTTTCTAACCGGCAGTTTTTATTCCGATAAACATTTATCTACACAGGGTGTTTCAATAAAACATGTGCCATCTCTCATTCCTCTCGTAAAAATAAGATTTATTTTCCATATTAACATAGGTCCGATTTTGCTTTCTTTCGTAGCTACAGGGGTTTAAAGTCTTCATCTTTTTTCAATTTATTATAAAGTTCTTCTAAGTGCGATTCGAATGAAATTTTGAGGGTAAAAGTTACTATACATGCGATATATTTTAATGCTAAAGAAGTGTCGACATATTCACCAGAAAAATATACTAGTGATAACCCATAATCCACGCCCCTGGTGAATATGTCGAAACTTTTTTAGCATTAATATAATATATTAATAATTTATGCCTTATTAAAGTCTTAACTTCTTTATAGCAAAGCTTCATTCAAAACCTCCCAATTAGTTGAATAAATAAGTGATTTCAATTACACTTTATACTTTTTAGTTTACGATCATCCACAATGTCTAAAAAACACAATTAAAATTAATAAAATATCCTAGCAACAGCTTGCGGTAGTCTGTTGTATCCATAGAGAAAGCCTAATATTTAGCCTTTGAATAAGAAGACTAAAGCCTGAAGCCGGAGTCTCATGCATCCGAAAGTTCGTTCCGAAATTTGACAGTTTTGACATTTTTCTGCTGCACTGAATAGAGATTCATGTCATGTTTTATTGGAGAAACACTTATAAAGATAACTTCCTCGCCAAATATCCCGAAATTGCCCACTTCCCACTAAACTTGTTTTTAAAAACAAATGTTTTCAAAAAAAGTGAGGTTAAAAAACACACGATATCGTACGAAAGTTAAACAAAATTTAACTTTATACGACGTCGGACGGTTAGTTAAAATTATCGGATAAAAATTGGTGTCAAAATATTTCGACCAATAGGAGCACCGTCGGATCGTCGTGTCATCGGATTTCGGATGCATGAGACTCCGGCTTGAGTCTCATGCATCCGAAATCGAATGGTACGACATCCGAAATTTGAAGTTATCGTGTGAAATAAAAAAAGCCTGTCACATACATCCGAAAGTTCGTTCCGAAATTTGACAGTTTTGATATTTAGACCTGTCATTCCTATGTATTATTATTATTTATTATTCCATGTATTATTGGAGGTTAAAAAACACACGATATCGTACAAAAGTTACACAAAATTTAACTTTATACGACGTCGGACGATTAGTTAAAAATATCGGATAAAGATTCGGACAAAACAGAATCGGACCCATGTTGATATGAAAAATAAATCTTATTTTAACGTGAGGAATCTCCCCATGAGAAATGGCACATGTTTTTTGAAACACCCGTAAAAACTGCTATAAAACGTTGAATTTTGTCCCAAAGGAAAATATTAAATCGAGCAAAGATCTAATCGGCAGGCCAAGTCCGCAGGCTGGGTCAAAGGCTGAGTCCTGGGTTAAAGTGTATGGGGGCTATTTAATGACGTGCACTTTTATTAATTTTCTTATAGACCTTATTTAACTGTTTAAATGTTTTTAATCACAGATTAGTTTTTGGTGTAAACGCAGTAAGTGACACTGCACGTGTCGTCACCAAAGCGAGGCCAAAACCCGGAAATACATAGCGAAGATTTTATGGTTATTAAGTTACGACGATGACAAGAACAGTTTAATCGAAGCCTTGGACAAATAATAACGTCGGAGTTCCACCAATCCTGTGGCTACCTTGGACGCCACAATTGTTAAAGTGTTTAATGCAACACAGAAGGAAATGTTATATTAAACCTATTATGTCAAGTAAATATAAACATAATATTCTATTTCACTCCTCTAAATTTAATTTATTTGTTTTATTTTCAGGTTGGTAGAATGTTTCTCAAGCTGTCTATTTTCGGTTCGTATACTTTATTGGCACTAAAGAACGGCTAGTGCTAGGAAACCAACACAGTTCAACAACAACAAGCCTCTCAGGGTAGGGTGGAGATAGTAATCAAGGTAACCATTTCTACTAATCATTTAGTAGCCTAGATCAAATATCTGAATGAATGTAGCCAGGAAGGGGTTAATCACCAGGACCTGCCTCATCATATAGTCTCAAGGCTTTGACATAAGCCAGTATCTGAGAACGGTTTTACAGAGGTTAGTTCTACATCTCGATTCCATGGCACAGTAGTTTGTCGTTTCGGCGCACCCAGTGATGAGGTGTTCTGATGTTTCCCCACAAATTATGCATTGCGTTGTTTCTTAGCTTTAATCTACTGAGGTATTCGTTGAGGAGACAGTGTCCTGTTAAAAAACCCCGTGACAATCCAAAGATTGTTCTTACTAAAATTAAGGAAAATCTTCGATTTTTCTCGGTCTTAAGTTCTGAGAAGTTCTACTGATGGAGTCTTTCCAGGTTTCTGAGTTCCACTTTAAGTTGGTTTCCAGTTGGGAAGAAGAACGGTTCTGGTTCAGTTAGTGGAGTGTTCGCTCCTTTTCTATTTAGATCGTTTGCTTCTTCATTGTCTTCTGTCCGTTGGTGGTCTAGAAGCCAGAGTAGGAGGTCTTTATTATATTTGTCTAATTTGTTGAACTTCTCTAGGCATTCTTTAATCAACTTCGAATTGATATTTACTGAGTTTATCGCTTTTAAAGCTACTTGACTATCGAATAATATGGCTATTTCTTGTTTCCGATAGTTCCTATCTAAGATAAGTTATACACATCTTTCGATAGTGTAGATTTCTGCCTGAAGGATGCTGGGGTAGGTACCCATTGGTTCTGAGTATTTAGTTTTCGGCCCAAATACTCCTATCCCTGTGTCTGCTTTGGTTTTGGAAGCATCAGTATACCACTTTATTGTATGGTCTCTAAGAGGTATTTCTCTATATCTACTGGGAGTCGAAGGAGTGGAATATATACTACCAACGACAGTGTGCAGTAGTGTTTTTGCCAAAATTTTTCAAATTGACAAAATTTGCATGGGATTTTCTATGTTTCCAACGCCGAAACAAAAATATATTAATTATAAATATCAGCATCATTCTCAGCTTATTCAAACATTTCTAATTTTCAATTATGGTGTAGCCTCCCTCACATATTTAGATACTCTCCTTGTAGGTGAGCCCATTGTTGGCTATGCGGGCCTAAGTTATTCCTGCTTATCATGCAGTATCATGGTCTCATCTTTAATTATAAATATATAAACAGTTACTATTTATATCAACAAAACTCCTTAACAGCACTTAAGGAACATAAAGGGCCATTACTACCGCTTTCCCGTTCAAAATAATCTAATAAGGTTGCGATAAGTTTTTTGCAACGACTATTAAGCTATCTTGTACACTTCGTACTAAAAGAGTATGCATACGGATACAATGCATTTAAACCAAAAACTCGTAATACGAAACTAAAGTTTCAAAATGAATGACAATATCAAGAAATAAATAAATAAATGTTGCAACTTGACATTTTTTACACTAGAGCTACCACCTGAATCCCCGGCGGGAAATTTAAATTCCAGTTAGTCAGCCAGACGCCGAATATGTCCATGGTTGGCAAAAATGAATTTAAAAATCGCGCTCTCGATTACGTAACTAAAAATTGGTATCGAATATACTTTTATTCGCTGTGAAAAAAATTTCTAATTCATACGCTGTTTTGGATTCTCTTTGATTAAAATGTTTGTAGGAAGCCAAGACGGTGTTTCTACTCCATCCACTTCTACAAGTACCACAGCTGAAGCTTCGTCTATTAAAGCCTCGCCAACGATGGTTCAGTGTTCCAGGATCATGAAAATGCAAAGAGATATCCATACCACTGTTCTCTCGAGCTTGGAAGGTATGGCTAATCAGATGGAATGGTTCAAAGAGGATTGGTACGAAGAAGTAAGTTCATACACTTCGTTTCGATTTCTTTTATGCCTGATCAAAATAATAGGCGTAATAATAACAGGCTAATAGTCATAAACCATTAATAATAAGGTAATAACGAGGGTTGTATTTTATATTTTGCATATTATCGAAACATAGTAGACACCTGTCAGCATATATTAAATGTCAAAATTAACTGTCATCTTTAGTTAACTTAACGTCAAAGTTTTAACTGCTTCGTTTAAAGTTTAAAGGTGTAACTACTAGAGATGAGCAAAACTGCGATTGTGATTTATAAATCGCTGCGGCTGCAACCTGCGATTGCGATTTTGATATTTTTAAATTGGTACGCTGTAAACTGGGAAGCTCAATAAATAGCGGAATCATTTTTTTTTATAAAAACTTACAAAGAAACTGTTGGGTGTTTCGATGCCATGTGTCTTTTAACATTTGAAGTGCTTGTTTTTTATTATATTTCATCAATTACCAAAAAAAAATTCCACAAATAACTTAGCTTCCTTTTTTTAAACATTTTTGATTAGAACAGACCGAATAAATTTAAAAGGGAAGTTAAAAATACATAAAATGTTCAAAATATTCGAATGTGCTTTTAGACAGTCTGTAGGTATACCAACGAAAAATTTATTATAAAAAAGGTTGCCGCCAGCCTTACAGATAACTAGAAAAAAAACTGTTTATCTTTTTTTCTTTTAAAAACATTTTCTTTATATGTAACTCAAAAGAAGCCGACTGGACTGACCGTATCAAGGCCAGTCCAGTGCAAGTGCAAACTTTCGAACTTTTAGATAAATAAAACGACAATATCACATTTTATTATATTTGAAATTTCTCTTAAGTGAAAAAAATTGAATGTAAAGGATGTATTTAAATTAGCATAGCAGCCTAACCACAACTGTTAGTTAATATTCAGAAAATTATATATGGATTGTTATAAAAATGTTTATAATATAATATATAACAAAATATAATAAATAAAAAGGGCTGAAAAAAGTGTCTATATTAATGGAGATTCTTTTCCGTACTATATGTCTTCTAGTAAATAAAGGATAAAAATAAATAATTTTCAATCCTTAATTATATTATAAATCTAAGACTATTATCAAAATTTAAAACTAATAAATTATATATATTATAATATGCTCTATATACACATAAGCCAATTTTCCAACGCTTAATAAAAATTACGGGGCCCTGATTGCGAATGTGATTTTGCTATCTAGTCTAGGCCGATGTGTTGGGAGCTGTGAACGAAAATTGCAATCGCCGCTCTTCGTTGGCGTGCCCACTCCCGATGCCGCGCCGGTACCAACGAAAATCGCAATCGCAATGCTGGGATGAGCTGCGATTTTCGTTCCCAGCTCTTCGTTCGCCTGCCCAGTGCCGTGTCGATGCACCGCCCCGGCGCCGGTGCGAACGAAAATCGCAATGCTGTGATTTTCGTTCGCAGCTCTTCGTTCGCGTGCCCACTGCGATTTGAAATCGCAACTGGTGTAATATTGGTTGCCTAAAAATCCAAAATCGGCAGATATATGTTTCAATCGCAAGTTGCAGTTTGCTACGGAAAGGAATCGTAGGTTGCGATTGCGAATTTACAATCGCTGCGATTAAATCGCAGTTTGCGATTTTCTGCTCATCTCTAGTAGCTACACTGAATTTTTGAAGTCGACGAGTCACTTTTGACAAGTAATTATTTACAATTTTCGAAGACAATTGTCTCAACAAGATCAGTCAACAATTTCCCATTGGTATGGAGAAATGCCCCAACGGATGCAGAAATGCATTTCTTTATGCAAAATATTAAAGAAAACTCTTATATCTTGTATTACCATGTATATGAAAATGTTATAAACTCACTGGCAAAAAAAATCGGCCACTAAAAACTAGTCACAATTTCAAAGTTGAATTTCTCGCGAACCACTCATTAGATTTTGATGATTTTATTTTTAAATTATAAATTAATTCCTTCTTAACGGATGCTACGTCAGAAATTTTTATTCCGAATTTATTTTGAGCATATACAGGGCACAACAATAAGACGAACTTTGTACCACCCTGTAGGGTGCAGGTGTAGTAACTATTGTTAAATCATATCACATTGTAGCCTCATCTTTTGTGAGATACGCTGCTTTAAAACGAACGTCTCGGAAAAATGCCTCGCAGGCAGAAAGTTTTATGTTCAAGGCGGATTTATGAGTATTTGCAATATGAAAACAACGGTTGTCAAATTAAAAAATGCCATTATCTGTGACGGATGTTGCTCGTATTGTGGCTTTAATTGAGGATGGCCGAAGTCAACGTTATGTGTCCGATACCCTGGACATACCGCGAAAAACCGTCCAGGATGCCTGGAATCGGTATATGGAAACGGGAAATTTCGCCAGGCGAGTGGGTTCCGGAAGAAAACGGAAGACAAATGCAATTGACGACCGCTTTATTGTCCTGACCACCTACTTTACGAAATCGTAGAATTACAGTGTTTCAGAATCAACATCTGCTACAAGCCGTGCGTAGAACTCAAGTCAGTGAGAGAACATTCCAACGAAGGCTAAAAGAAAACAGCTTGTCTGCAAGGAGGCCTACCACAAGACCCCAGCTACTTCCAAGACATCGTCGAGCACGTCTTCAGTTTGCGCGTTTACATGTGAATTGGTTTCCAAAGCATTTTTCCGAGACGTTCGTTTTAAAGCAGTGTATCTCCAATATGAACAGAGGTAATGTCGTGATTAAAAAAACAATATGCTCACAAAAGATGAGGTTACAATGTGATTTGATTTACCAATAGCTACTACAGCTGCTGCACCCTACAGGGTGTCACAAAGTTCGAGCAAAAAACTTCGAAAACAATTTAACTTCGTCTTATTGTTGTGCCCCGTATATGCTCAAAATAAATTCGGAATAAAAATTTCTGCCGTAGCATCCGTTAAGAAGGAATTAATTTACAATTTGAAAAAAAATCTTCAAAATCTAATGAGTGGTTCGCGAGAAATCCAACTCTGAAATTGGGACTAGTTTTAAGTGGCCGGTTTTTTCTGCCGGTGAGTGTATTTGTGTTTTCTTTTTTTGTAGGTTTTGAGACAACTTTGCCAAGGCCTTAAAAAATGTTATGCTATCGCATTCGAAAATAGGGATTCGGTGAACGAAGCTAAAATTACGCCCCACATATTGAATTTCGTGAAAAAGTTAACGTCAACATTCGGTACTGGCGTCGAGAACATTTCGGGTTCAGAAAATGCAACTAGTAACAATTCAGCTGCGTCAGAAAGTTTAGCCAGGTAAAAATTGATATTACTAACTTGATTTTAATATTTGAGTAAAAAGGTTTGAGGACGGAGACTAGATTGTAGATTGTATGGGTGGGGGGGAGTTAATCACCGCGACATTATACAGGGTTATTCACGTCATACGACACGGAGTATTGTAGCTATATGATTAGATTTTTAGAAATTGTGAGTGATGGGGACGTTTGAGGTCACTAATGTTACAATTTAAAATTATTTTTTAAAGATACATACTGTTCCAAATAAATAAAAAATATCAAAGTTGTATTTTTTAATTGCAACACCCTCTATATTATATCATTTACATTACTGAAGTTTTTCTATTTACTAAATTTTGTATTGCAATAATAAAAATAATACGGAGTGTCTATAAAATTGGGTTACAGAGACACTATCCGTTCTTATACATTGGTTATATAACAAAAAATGTTTATCGCAAAATATTGATATTTGAATATATATATTGAATATTGATTTTGACAGTTAGAGTATTATTTACTTCAAGTCTTCATATTTATTATATAATTTTTTAAAGAGTTTTACGTTTTATTTTTAATTTAATAACTAATATTTTAGTAATTAATTGATTTATTTGTTTTGTAGCTTATTTTACTTATTACATATTGGCAAAAACTAGTCCATTATGAAGATTATTCTAAGCATTATTATGGGTTATTTATTTATTTATTTATTGATGTACATCTTACAACGCCATAAGTGGTAATAACAAGTAAGAGAGGGTGCTATTAATGCATAAACTAATAATCACAGAATTTAATAAAAACTAACTTGGAAAGTGGTATAATGTGCTTATCAAACAAACTTACTTCTCTGACTGTAGTCAAGAGTAATAAAGGGCCTTTATTGTCACATTCTCGTTCAAATTGTTTATCAGGGAAGCTACAAGCTTTTTGTTTCGGCTGTTTAAATGCTTCGGCATATTTTCAACACATAATTTCAAGAATTGCAATACAAAAACTCGAAAATTTAGTTCTTATAAAAGAACTGTTTGTGTTTAAAACTGCAATTTTAAAAAAAGACTACGAAAATAAGCAGAGAATTGCTCACAAAGGTTCAACAACAACACGATATTATACAAAATAATGACTGACATTAGGATAATTGTCAAATAATAAAGGACAACATTGTGTTGAACACGGCGCAATGTGACCAACATAGCGATAACAAAATTCGGTTTAAACTAATTTTTCCATTTTTAATCTAAATAAAATATCTATTTCAATCATTTGCTCTATAAAGTAAAATAAAGAGCTGCCCAGTATCTTAAATTATACAACAAATTTAAACATTTTTGCCAAAATTTCATTTAGTCAGGTTTATAGACTTTAATGTCAATGTCGATATGATTGATGACGTGCATCGGAAAACGTTTCGCGATTACAATATATTTTATTTTTTAAATTTAATATTTTCTAGGAGAGTGAAGGCTACCAAGGAAGATCCCGTATTCAAAACAATGAAGACTGAATTCGAAAAAGATTTCGACTTTTCGCAGTCGAATTCTATGCGATTGCACACGCTCATTTTTAAATTGAAAAAGTGGGTGAAGATTCTAGATAACCGATCCAAAATGATGTTACAGTGAGAACTTAAACCGGTAAAATATTTTTCATGTATTTATTGGGTGTTTTTTAGGTCATTTTTAATTGAAGAAAAATGCCGTTTTCTATCCAATTTCACTTTACAAACGGCGGAAGTGGAATTACCCGGTGAATTTCTCTTGCCTAAGCATAACCACTACTTTGTAAGGATAACGAGGTTTATGCCTCGGGTAGACGTCGTGCAAAAGCACAATGCAGTGGTTAGACGGCTTTATATAAGGTATGTTGAAAGGTTTTTTAAATAAATAATTAAGAATAGTATTACTTACTTCTGCCACTATACTCGCTAACGAATATTTGACACGCATTAGAAGATTGTTACGCAGGGCGTTTTCTGTGACTGAAAAGCCCGATGCGTGATGTTATCTGTCTTCCGCACTCTGGACATTCAAAAATCTCATTACTTTGTTGCCTCTTTACTTTTTGATTGTCGTTGTTAACTAAGTTTACAATTCTTCTACAGTGCGCTCTATTGTGCGTTGCTTCCCCCCACTGACTCTATATGCTTATCCCCTTTATGTTTTCGTGGAAAATATCCTTGTACCTACGGATTCCTCTTACCGTCTACAAGCTCACCGTAAAGAAGAGATTTTGGTAGGCGGTTTTCTTGCATCCTGCGTACGTGACCAGCCCATCTGAAGCGGGTTTTAGTAATCGTGACTTCAACTCTCTTTGCAGCTAGCTTTTTCAAGGACCGATAGGTTTGACGCAAGGTGGAACTATTTGATTCCTAAGAGGTGTCTCTGTTGCAACTTGTTTAATGCGGTCATGTGCCGGTGGTACGGCACTCAGGTCTCGCTTTCATATAACACGGTAGGGATTGTTATTTTTATAATGTACTGAACAAAGAGAGAACAGTAAACACGTTGCCAAACGTACGTAATAAACCGAGAAACTGCGCACATTGCTACGAGACGTGGAAGGGGATATAGCAGATTTGTCGCAGTCCACCAGTCGACCCAATCCCCAATCAGTACCTCTATCAGTACTTAAAGTTCTAGGGAAAGATGTACATCATGCGTTCAGTTTCACGATTTAATTACGTCTCGCGACACTTTGTTTGTTTATTTATTAACGAGTCGTTGTAATTTTCCCTATAGCTTGAAAAATTTTTAGTGCAAGTTAGAAACACTTGCATTTTTTTTAAATAAGTGGAATTGAGTTGGTGTTCGACAGTAGTCGCGCTATTAGAACTCGAATTCGAAATGAATATATTAAAAATAATTGATTGTAGTTTTTTCAAAGACGTTTTTAACATTTCTGCTATATTTTTTTCGCAGACAGTATGTGAAATTTATATCCGTGGTCTGTATTTTAATGCATACGACAGAGATAAATATATACGACCAGTCGATATATACAGACAGAATACACAAAATAAAAAGCGACATACAATGTTGCCGGTTCGTACGTGAAATAACATAATAAACGAAGATTCTGTTCACAATTCCGATTCAGTTCTGTTAGACAGTTGCTTGAAAACTTGGAATAAAATATCTGCAGCCACTCTTTACAAATACCACAGAAATAAATATTTTTATTATAATCTAGAATTTTCTCTAATATTATTCCAGAGGTCACAACGGAAAAATATATCCATATTTAGTCGTTAACGATTCCGGATTAGCAGATGCAAGAAGGGAAGAGAGAGTCCTTCAGATGTTGAGAATGATGAACATATTCTTAGGCAAGCAAAAGGTAAAATTATAGAATAGATGAAATTTATTTGAAATTACAGTTTATATAAATAATTTTATTTCATAGGAAACGGCAAAAAGGTTCCTTCATTTTACTGTACCGAGAGTAGTGGCAGTGTCGCAACAAATTCGTCTAGTCGAGGATAACCCTGCATCTATATCTTATTTAGATATATTTAAAAAAGGCTGTACTAAGTTAGGGAAGCGAGGTAATTAAGTTTAATTTATGTAGCCAAATAAAACACAAGTTCACCACAATTCACAAAAACACTTTACTAATCATGTTAGCATCATCAGCGGATTATTAAAACTGTTTCCAGTTTTAATCATCTGCTGATGATGCTAATGAGGTGATGTAGTAATGAATTGTTAGTTTGTGTAGTTCAAAAATTTGGCTTGAGTAAAGTCTGTCGTCTTGATTTTTAACTGAGCGTTACCACGGTTTTAGATAGTTGTGACCAGTGTTATAGTCTATAAAATGAATAACTTTGAATTTTGACCGTTATTTTTTATCAACATGGCAAATATAAAATCCCTCTATCAAAAAAGTTACTGATATTCTTTAAATTGAGTGCCTGAACGAATCAGATAGGTAACTCTTTTTACTTTCGTGAAATAGAAAAGGAAAATAATAAAACAAGTGACAGTTCTTTCTCTTCTTGCAAAAATCAACACAAAATGTCATAATTGTCAAAAGTAAAATGTCATCAGCTTTTGACATTTCTAAATATCAGACCAATGCCGTCTCTAATAGAACAGTCTAGGAGCGAGATTTATGACGTCACGCTAGTTAGATACTACGGTTTATTAAATATGTTGTAGAATACATGGAAAACATAATTATTCCTCGTATTTTTGGTTTGTATTTTAAAAATGATATAGTTTACATGAAATATACATAATATACAGTTAGTAAAAACAATATAATATATACCTATTTATAGTAATAAATACTTTGGCAAATAAAACTATGAACCATACCAATGCAGCAAATGTTTTACAATATACAAATAATGAATAGGTACATAAGATAATGGGTAAAATGTAAAATATATTTTAAATTTTGGGGTTTGAAAATCGATCTAATTTAACAAAAAACATTCAATATCTACTAATATGCAAATATAATTTTTCGAACATTGATACTTGCAAAATATATATATAAATGTTGTGAATGCAAATAATAAATCACTATTAGTAGATATTGAATGTATAAGATATACCCTGTATATAAAAAAATATTTTTTTTAATTAGGTATTGAACATGATGATCCCGTTCAGTATTATTACGAAAGATTGGCAGCTGTACAAAGTAGATGTGTCAAAGCTAGTCACCAGATATACCGAGATATTTTTAAGAGTGTCCAAGACAAGATGGTACCGAAGACTGTTCTTAAGCAGTGGGCAGTACAGACCTTCCCGTCCGCAACTGATTACTGGCATTTCAGAAAAATGGTAAAAATAGTGTATACCGGGTGTTTTTAAATAGTGGCTTACATCTATAACTTTTTTATTTCTTCAGATAAAAACACGAGATTTGGTATTTTAGTATACAGGGTTTTTCACCACATACGACACGGAGTATTGTAGCTAAACGATTAGGTTTTTACAAATTGTAAGTTTTGGGTTCCTTAAAGGACTATTAGAGCTACAATTTAAAAATAATTTTACAAGATACAGAGTGTCCCAAATAAGTAAAAAATATTATAGTTGTATTTTTTTAAATAGGCTACCTTGTATATTATTCTATTTTTAGATTCTACGAGTGAAATTAAACTAAATTTGATTAAGGTTTATCACACTTAAACCTTACCGTTTTTGAAATACTTTCAATTTTGTGAAATTGCAGTAAAAAATTTAAGGCTTCATTTCTCCAAGGGTATTAAAGTTTTTAATACTAAATATTTACTGAAGATTATTTATTAATCAGATATTGTGTTGCAACAATAAAAATTATATTGCCTTATACAGAGTGTCAAAAAAAATATTTTAAATAATTACTAGCTTTAAACGGCAATAACTTGTTTAATTTAAATGGATTACCCTGTATATTTTACACGATCAGACATTTGAATTGTCTATCAAATTGTATACCAGTTTTTACCTATCTCTACAAGTTTTCGTAGAAAATGCATTTTCTTATAATTTAGACCCCATCTATCACTATACCCATGGAATCTTGACATTTTAGATTTTTTTAAAGCAACATTACAAGCCCATTTGTTTACAAAAAGAAAACTATTTAAATCTTTTTAAAGGAGTTTACCAATTTTTTTGCTAATTATTAATATACTACCATTATTTCCGCCCAAAGATTAGTTAAGTACATACTTAATTCTTTTAATTAATAAATTATTCTAAATAAATGTGGATTTGACTCAGAAATCAATACCATAATAAGTTATGAAAATGAACGTCTTTGTTGTTATAAATAAGTATTCGTTTTTTTTGCATAAATGGTTTGCATTTTTACTGCAATTTCATAAAATTGAAAATATTTTAAAAACGAAACTGGTATAATGTGCTTACCAATCAAACTTACTTCTCTGGCTGCAGTCGGGGGTAATAAAGAACCTTTATTGTCACGTTCTTGTTCAAAATATAGTTTATCAGGTAAGCTGTAAACTCTGCTGTCACTGTTTAAATGCTTCGGCATATTTTCAACACACAATTTCAAGAAATGCAATACAAAAACACGAAAATTTAGTTCTTAAAAGAACTGTTTGTGCTTAAAAGTACAATTTTTTAAAAAAAGACTATGAAAATTGGCGAAAATGAGAGATACAAAGATTCAATAACAACATAATATACAAAGTAATTACTGACAGTATCATAATTGTCAAGTAATATACGACAACGTTGCTAAACATGGCGCAATGTGGCCAACATGGCGATAATAAAATTAGGTTTAAAATATTTTTTGTAGCTTTAATCTAAATAAAATATCTGTTACAATTATTTGCTCTATAAAGTAAAATGAAGAGCTGCTTGGTATCTTAAATTATACAACAAATTTAAAAATTTGTTCCAAAATTTCATTTAGTCAGGTTTATAGGCTTTACTGTTATTTCGATATAATTGATGACGTGCATCAGAAAATGTCGCTATTACCTTATGTCATATACTAGCATACCAAGTCTGGTTTTTTGTCTGAAAATAATAGAAACGTTATAGAGATGAGCCACTTTTGAAAAACATCCAGTGAAATTTTTTGATTTGAGTTTTGAGTTAATACAATATGTTTTTAGTTTACTTTGCAATTAGCCTTGGCCTGTTTTGCTGAATACGTTTTCCATTTGACGAGGCTTAATCCCGATATGATGTACCTTCACCAGGATTCTGGCTTAATGAACATTTCTTATTTTAAATTTGACGTTGATGATGTTAAAGGTAAGGCAATTATATTATATTATTCGGGTAGTAAAAATTAAGTGAAAAAGAACCCGAACTTAGCGTTGCGTTGTATTGTGACAATTTCTAATGATAATAAAATTGCCCAGATTTATCACATTCAGGCAGTCCGTCGAAATAACTGGGTAAACAAAGTGCCTATTACATAGCCAAAAAATTAAATAGGCATATACTACATGGGATGAGATCGGATATCTCGTGAGTAAGAATCGATTTAAACCATATATTTATAAAGTAACCATATTGTTTCCAAACTACATTCTGTGAAGCCGAGCCGGTGAAATGGTGAAATAAATCCTCTGAAGGAATTTGCATAAGTCGCTCAGTTATGGCGAAAACCGCGTTAAAGCCTCTCGTATTTTTACTTGAAGCTCATCCAGATTATTAGTCCTATTATGACCATACACTTTGGATTTTACATAACCCCACAAAAAGAAATCGTTGGGAGAAAGATCTGGTGATCTAGTAGGCCACAAAATAGTCCACTAATTAAACGGTTGGGAAAAGTATTGTTCAAATATTCTTGAACAATACGGGCATTGTGAGCAGGGCAACCATCTTGTTGAAACCAGACATTGTGGAATCTTTCTCCCAATAACTCACGAATTCTAGGGACAATCTGCTGCTGTAACAAGCCAAAATACTTTGCAACATTTAAATTACCCTTTATAAAAAATGGGCCAATCATATGCTCCCCTACAAAACCACCCCAAACATTTAGCTTTTGAGGATGTTGCGTGCGTACCTCAAAATATCTGTGCAAATTTTCCCGAGACCAATATCGTACTTGTGTAGGGCTTATGCCGACTTAATAAAGGAAAACTTGATTCGTCGGTGAAAACTATACACCGAATAAAGTTTTCATCTAAATTTGCCTTTTCCATTACAGATTCACAAAACGCCATACGCCGAAATAGGTCTTCAATGGAAAATTTCTTGAGTTTTGCGCGCTTTATATGATCGGTATCCATTCTTTTTAAGGACTCTTTTAACCGTGCTAGATGGAGAATCTGTTACCTCAGCAATTTGATTACTTGAAAACGTGGGATTTTAATCCGCGGTAGCACAAATGAACACTTGCTGTAATTCTTGTTCTTTATTAATCAACACATCAGGCTTTTTGTGTTTTTGTGGGGACACGCACCCATGTGTTTCAAAATTATTAATAACTCTTGATATAGTAGGTAAAGATGGAATTGGCCTGTTTACAAAAGTTTGTGGAAAAATTGTTTGTCTATCCCGATAAGACCTATTTTGGAAATACCATTTTACAATTTGAATTTTCTCACGAACTCCGTAAACATCCATTATTTTAGTTAAAAAATAAATTTTACACGAGAGCTGTCGCGAGAATCTCTGTATTCGTTTTGGCTATTAAAACACGAATAAATACAAATTCTGAAACATTCTTATCACATATCTACCTATTTTTATTTTATCGCATTTTTTCGCCTGCTTTTTATCCGGCGGACGGGTATACGCTAATTCGTCCGAGTTCTGCCTGTGTTACTACTACGATGGCCCGGTCTGTATACCCATTTCACCAGCTTGGCTTCACAGAACGCAGTTTGGAGTCGATATAGTTACTTTATAAATATATGGACGTTAACTTAAAATAGTTTACTCTACTCGGATGATCCAATCCGAATGATCCAGTACCGCTTGTATTAATCTTACAGCGTTTGACTCAGCGATTTTTGACTTGAACCTTTGCTATCGAACTTCTAAATAAATTTTAGAGAATCGCTGTGTCACTGATGTTTTAGCTGTTGATGGTTTATTTTGAATTCGATAACATCTGTGAATTGCTACATTTACTTCACTGTGCAAATATCACAGGTAGTGATTCTTTGCTCATCTCTAATATTACAGTTGAGGGTTGGAACCTTTGGTGTTACACAGCAAAATAAAAACACTAAATCACCACAATATACCAAAACACTTTTACTTTTACACTGGACGCGCGTTTCGCTAACCATGTTAGCATCATCAGCAGATGATTATAAACTCAATAGTTAGTTTATAATCATCTGCTGATGATGCTAACATGGTTAGCGAAACGCGCGTTCAGTGTAAAAGTAAAAGTGTTTTGGTTTATTGTGGTGATTTAGTGTTTTTATTTTGCTCATCTCTAATACTAATATTTCTTTTTTAGGTGAACTTAAAGTGAATCAAAGGCCAGTACCTTTTAGATTAACCCCAAACATTATAGAATACCTATCGACAGTAGGTGTAAGCGGTCCATTAACCGCAGCTATGATAGCGACTGCCAGATGTTTTGTTTATCCGAATTTTAAGGTACCGAATGCATTTCACTTTGAATAAAAAGATTAAGGAAGAAGTATAATGCTATCCATGTATTCATGCATGGTAAATGGAGGTGGGGATTCTTGACTGTTCTGTTTGACACATTTGAATTTGATTTCAAATTTTGTGTATTTGTTTGTCTTTACTTAGCTTATTTTATGTTAATTATTATTTATTCTACAATCGGTTTTGTTTAGAGGTAGTAAATCTAGAAGGAAATTTTTTGTGTCAGGACTAAAATTAACAGTGACACTATTGTGATTACCGAAATCGACTGTAAAATAGTTAGTTGAACAGCGAGCAGTAGATCTCGGTCAAAACTCGAGAGAGAAAAAATGGAATAACTTTTCACTGGTAAATGAGTATATAATATACAGGGTGGCCCGAACTGTATTCCGGAAACTTCGGCAGCATATTCTGCAGATAAAAATAAGTAAAAATGTTCGTATAGAGGTATGTCCAAAAATGCTTAGTTTCGGAGATACAGGGTGTAGAAGTTTCATTTATATTTCGATTTTTTCCAAATAATTTCTGCAGTAACGTCAATATTTGGATTAAAAAAAAAAATAAATAAAAATAAATTGGATTAAAATTGGCGTCTGGAAGTTTTTTGACATGATAAATTTGATTTTGATGTCAATATGACTCCTACTAGTAGAGGGCGCCACCTACGTATTTTTTAACTGGTTTGAAGAGTATTAACTTTTCGTCTGTACCTGTATAAAAGTACTGAGTAAAAAAATATACATTTACGACGCTTTTTACGTAAAAAGGTCTCTTGGAAAAAATCGCTACGAGTAATGGTTTTCGAGATATTTGGAATCGAAATTATTAACACCTGTCATCACTGACATAAATTAAACATATTGACTAAATAGTTATTAGACTGAGATCATAAATTTGAAATGTTTTTGTACCAAAAGTTCAACAAAAACTGTTTTATCAGCATTTTTTGCAGAAAAACTATGATTAATTTAAAAAAATAAAAATTTCCCAAATTTTGAAGTAAAATAGTCAAATAGTGAAATAAGTACCTACTCAACAGGTTTATTTTTCGTCAATAATGGCATATATTGACTATTTCCATTCTAAATATCTTAAGAACGGTTGCTCGTAGCCATTTTTACAAAGAAATATTTTTTACGTAAAAAATCACAGAGATGTATATTTTTTCCCTCGGTAGTTTTATACAGGTACGGACAAAAAGTTATTACGCTTCAAAACAGTTAAAACACATGTTGGTGGCGCCCTCTACCAGTAGGAGTCATATTGACATAAAAATCAAATTTCTCATGTCAAAAAACTCGCAGACACCAATTTTCATCTAAATATTGACGTTACTTTGGAAATTGAAAACGTTTTTATTATTTGCAAAAAAATCGAAATAAAAATGAAATTTCTACACCCTGTATCTCCGAAACTAAGCCATTTTAGGACATATATTTATACGAACTTTTTCACCGATTTTTATCTGCAGAATATGCTGCCGCAGTTTCCGGAATACAATTCGGACCACCTTGTATATGTTTAACAATAAAAGTAAACCAATCATTTATGAAATTTACTTGAAATTGACTGATTATATATTTTGTCTTGTGTTTTCTTTATTATTTACAACTTGCCAAAAATAATTAAGATACCCTTTTATAACAATATACTTTTATAACAATTTTAATAACTTCTGACATTCATAGACAACATAAAATAAAACAACAAATTATTGAGTCATCTTTGAGTTTACCCTGCATTATATTTTTACACGTTTTAAATTAAATTAGAACGGCACTGATAAGCCGGAATTTAAGTCAACCTAAGATTTTTGATATGCTCCTTCCTTAATCTTTTTATTCGAAGGCATCATAACGAGAACAGTTGGAAATTGTAGCATTTTTTCAGGTTCTTAATATTTTGAAACCGATTCTTCGAGACGAGATACTGTTGTCTAAGAAGGTAAAAAAGACTGAAGATACCAACGTTTCGAACCAGGAGAAAGGAACGGAGGCTGAAGATATAATCAATATGGTGGGGAGGGCGATAACCTCCATTTCAACTCGACTGAACAGTTTGGCACAATTTGACGGCACAGACAGTAAGGTACGATTCTATAATATACTTTTTTATATGGTATATTTGAACTACTAAACCAATATTTTCTTCTTTCTCAATACTTTCTTCTCTTGCCTTTATCCACTCTTGTTTCCCGTTCGTCTCGCTGTTCTGTGCTTTTACATTTATGTGTCATCAGTTTGACAAAATCCGGTGTTTAACCATAATAAATTTTTGTTATTTGTAATATAAAATTCAATTGAAGTGATTAAAAAGTACTTCCTCAATACAAAAAGAAATGCAACGAAGTTACAATTAAGGAATAAATAATAAATCAAATTCAATACAAATTACACTGGTTTGAAATGACGCGTAGAAAATTGTGACGTCACCTATCAGCATTTGACTGAATAGTTGATAGAGGGTGCGAGCCTCTTAGGAATAATATTATGGCGTGTCTAGTCCTCTGCTACCGTATTTACACCATATATCTTAAAATCACGTTAGATTTTTCTATTTTTATTAAGATCGTTAAAAAATACGTTTTTATGTGGTATTATTCTTTATAACCCCAATATTAAATTTACTTTTATATTTTTTACTACTAGAAGTTAAAACTTAAATTCGAACAATGCTTCCCATAAAATCAATTAAATGAAAAATTTACGAAATAATATACATGTACTGATTTCTTTCGAAAATCGACAACTATGAAACTATGAACCCTTCCCGGACACAAACGGTACATTGTGCGGCAGGAAATTGTAGAAAGAAACAAGCCCTATAAGATAGGATACAACATTTTAATGAACAGTTCTTTCCGTAAAATCAATAAAATGAAAAATATACGAAATAAAATAAATGTACCGATTTCTTTCGAAAATCGACATCTATGAAAATATGACCCTTCCTGGACACAAACGGTACATTGTGAGACAGGAAATTGTAGAGAGAAACAAGCCCTATAACATAACATTTTAATGAACAGTGCTTTCCATAAAATCAATAAAATGAAAAATATACGAAATAAAATAAATGTACCGATTTCTTTCGAAAATCGACATCTATGAATCGAAGCACTAAACACTATTATACCTAAGCTGTTCAGATGTTCGAGGCGTTCGAGGGTTCGAGGTTAGATTTGTATTTTGTGGATTTTGCGTTTGGCGTTAAATACTTTGAGTTTTCAATTTTGTTTTATTGTACTCTCTTTATTATTTTTGTAATGAAGGGTGTTAAAATTTGTTTTGTGAAAGAGCTATCTAAATAACTCTGAAGGCTATCCAGTAAAAAAAAAGTTTTTATAACTGTTCGTTTGGATGAAAGCCGTCGAAGAGCATGGTTTGAACCGGCAAGACAACAATAGGTATGTCAGCAAAAGTACGAGATTTTGCTGTGAAGATCATTTTAACGTAAGTTCCTTAAGTTTTATTTTACAATTAATTTTATATCTACTTTAAAATACATTTAGAAAATGGTTTTTATTTACCTTTGTACCTGGTGGCAAACCGTGACACTTTTGATAGGTGACGTCAGAGATTGTAAAAGTGTAAATTTGGAATTCTTAATATTGATTAATTAAAAAAAAATGGGATGAAATTGAAGTAAAATAAAAAATACGGGTGTGATAAAATTGTATGAAGATTAATTATTTGCAATAAAAAAACTATGGTTAAACTCCGGATTGGCTCGCGAAGCTTGCCGACGAATGGTGGCGTCCGCCCAACGGTCACCTGTGACGTAGTGACCAACCTGCGCAATATCATACCTTTCTTTGTCTTATAATCTGTCGCTGCTATAGTGGTTGCTAACAACAACCGCAAACAAGAACAGAAAAAAATTTCTCTTGTCAAAAAGAATCTTCAAAAATTATAAAATCCTTTAAAATTTAAACCGCTCTCATTGAAAAAATACCGAAAAGGGTTTAAAGCGTTCATTTTCAAAGTAATTGTTGCTATCTTGTAAGTTTAATTGAAATTTTATGTACTCAAACCCGTGATAATTGTGAAAAAGTGGCAGTAAAAAACTTAAAACGCTGTGTGAACTGTGAACTGCAAAAACCATCGTAGCATACGGTCTGTTTCTAACGTTCCATAGGTATTTCATACTTGTCCATATATAATATAAAGTTTCTTATATGCAACACACTGTATTTTATTTATAAAATCAGAAATTAAAAGAAAATACTAATAAATTTGAATAAATAATATTTGGCGACATAATTCTTGGCGACATAAAAGTTTTGGATCACGACCGTTGTAAGAACAGCGCCAAATAGTATTTACATTACATGGGCACTTTTCAATCTAAACTTGTTTTCTATGATTAATAATAACCACTTTTCTATGATTAATCACACCACAATTTAAACCCTATGATAAATAATAACCATCTATCAAAGAATGAAATCGAAATTATATTAGAAACGCCTTTTGATTTGTAGGACTTCAATTCAACCACATTTTCATGTTTTTTTCAATTTTCTCTAAAACAGTATGGAAATTTGGAAAAGTATAAACGGGATTAACCATTTTAGAAAAAGCAAAAATTTTTCTGAAAATGTCTAAAAAAAGTTTTTCCTCTTGTAAAGATCAGGGTATACAGGGTGTTCCAGGCTGAGCGTGCATTAGAAGTTTCTAGAGAACCACAATATCTAGATCGGATATTTTTTGCACATCATTGTTTTACAACGAGATCTATCGATTAAAAATATTTTCAATATGGCGGCACTTCCAGAAATATTAGAAGTTGACCGCAACTTTCTTATTTTAAATGGGTGCCCCCCATTATTATTACATACTTAAATTCTCTGTAAAATTCTATGAATGTTGATGTTAAACACTGTGTATCTAACATTAACCGTTTTTGAGAAAAAAATATTTAAAATTTTTGGACGAAAGAAGCTACCTGTCAAAAAAAATTGTATAGCCTAAAAGTCAAATTTAGTGATTACCACAGCCACTGTGCCATAAAGAGGAGACATGTAGCTATCTATTTCAAAGTTTAAATTGTTCGAATGTCATATAATAATGGCGGCAACTGTCATGGAATTGAGTGATTAAAAAATTATCATAAATAATTTTTTTTCAAATAGAAACCTACTTTTTTATTTTACTGGTGAAAAGGCTTTTCAATTCGTTACTTTTTAACTATACATGTTCCTATACCTAAAATAAATCGTTTTTAAGTTATTTATTAATTAAGTTTTTAAGTTAGATTTATTTTAGGTATAGGAACATGTATAGTTAAAAAGTAACGAATTGAAAAGCCTTTTCATCAGTGAAATAAAAAAAGTGGGTTTCCATTTGAAAAAAAATGATTTGATAATTTTTTAATCGTTCATTTCTATGACAGCTGCGGCCATTATTATATGACATTCGAACAATTTAATTTTTGAAATAGATAGCCACATGTTTTCTCTTTATGGCACAGTGGCTGTGGTAATCACTAAGTTTGACGTTTAGGCTGTACACATATTTTTGACAGGCGGTTTTCTTCGTTCAAAAATTTTAAATATTTTTTTTCTCAAAAACGGTTAATGTTAGATATAGAGTATTTAATATCAAAATTCATAAAATTTTACAGAGAATTTAAGTACGTAATAAAAAATGGGGGCACCCATTTAAAATAAGAAAGTTGCTGTCAACTTCCGGTATTTCCGGAAGTGGCGCCATATTGAAAATATTTTTAATCGATAAATTTCGTTGTGAAACTATGATGGGAAAAAAATCTCCGAGCTAGACGTTGTACTTCTCTAGAAACTTCTAATGCACGCTCAGCCTGGGACACCCTGTATACTGTAGTTGTTTAAAATCATGTAATATTATATTTTAGGTCTCAACTTTAGTTGCTGCGGCGAACAGTCCAGATAATTTGTGCCGAATGGATCCTGCATGGCATCCTTGGCTGTAAAACTTTAATATTTTAGTTAAGTTTAAAGTTGAGTAGGAGAAAAAATAAGTTTTAGAAATAACTACTGTATCATCAAAAGGTTTAATACTAGAGCAGGCTAAGAACGTTAACAAATGTTTCTCTTAGAATTGTATATCTGTAAATGTGGAAAGAACAGTATAAAGATCTAAGAAACTTTAACTTTTTGCTTATATCTCTGAACTGTGCTTTTAAGCCTGCTTTATCATTAAAACCTATGTTAATACTTTTGTACATATTTGTTGTATTAAGTAAATTAAGTTCTAGACTATATTTATATTAGTTTAGTAGGATACTTTTTATCTCTTCTCATGTGGAAAACTACAGTATCGCTTTTATTTTGATTTTTGTTATTTTTTGACTCAAAAATCGAGGAATTAAACTCAAAACTTAGGAGTTTAATTTATCGGTTTGTACAAAATATCTTTATATCATTTCAGATACATTGGAAAAATATTTTGTTTATTATGACTTAATAAATAAAACATAGTTTTGCATAATTATATTGGCTGTTGTATTCCTTAATAGTAGGCTTTGAAAGAAATGACAGTTCGACAGGTCAAACAAGTAACAACAGATGTGGGATTCTGTAAGCTCCGCAGCAAGAAATTTCCTGTCTAGCCTATGCTATTTGTATACTATTGATGAGTCACTAGACAGGAAATATGTGTACAGAATCGCTAGCCTGGTTTGGTTGATCGTATCTGGTTATAAAATAGTATATTGTTTTATTAGGAGTAAAAATGACACTTCTTGCGACGAGGCTGTACTTTGACGTCTGTACATCCGCGGACTTGGCCTGTTACAGGCTTAGTCCGCCAAAGGCTTGGCCGATTATTGTTGACAAACAAAATTAAAATTTTTATATTGCAAAAATGCCTCAAAGATTTAATAAAAAAAACGAGAGCTCATTGCTAAGCTTGTAAATTATTTTTCTCGAGAAAGACGCTGCGCACTGGTAGAACACTTTTGTCCGTGGACGCCCTATATGAAGGAAGTACCACCATATGATCGAAAAAAAAACGACGTCCACTTGGTTTGGAAATGAACATCAATGACATTCCCCATGTAATTTTACATCTAAAATGACAGTGATCTTCGTTCCATAGTCTAATAATTTGAAACATTGCAAAAGTTATTAATCTTAGTCTTTAAGATATAAATAACATTATATCTAAAAAAACTTAAATAGTTTTACGCAGAATCCACAATCAAAGTAAAATATGGGGTGTTACATTCGAAACGAACATGTTATATGCGCCGCACTTTTTTGAATCACCTGGTATACTCGAAAATAATTTTAAATTGTGTATCTTAACATCCTCTAAAACTTTTCTATTTAACATTTTCTCGTAATTCCCAAAACAAAGGAGATCATTAATCTAATTCTATCGTTGACACACCCTGTATATAAAATATCATAACAGACTAATATAAAATCGTGAATGTGATCGTTTTCGGCATTTCCACGCCAACTTGACGCCGTTTTTTTTGATCATACGGTACCTATTTGCAGTTCGTTTTCATCAGGTTTTCATGTTTTCTAATATAAGTAGGCGGGGAAAAAATGGCAACTGACAGCTCTGCTGACAGATAAAAACAATTGACAACTCATTTGATTGATTGTTGCTGATTGTTGTAAAGAAAAGGTAATTATTTTTGAACTTTTTAAGTAATTTTACTATCATTAATATTTGAATTATTAGTTTTCTACTAGGGAAACAGAAAAAAGTATCCTTATGGCAAAAATGGCAGAGACTGTTTTGTCGGAAGATTTGATTTTAGAACAGCTGGAGAGTTCTATGGCGCGTGGCATAAATATTGTTGGTAAGTGTTTAATTATTCATCATTTGTAATTACTATTATTAATGCAGTTGGGTTTTCATCCATTTTTACGAATATAATTCACAAGTTAAAGTTTTAACAACTTACAATAAACAAATAGGTTACACCAATTTAATTTTTTTATAAAAAATTGATATTAGTAAATTAGTCATAATAATAAATTCGCCATTTTTTCATAAGAAGTTCGAATACACGATTTAAGGTCTGCGCACATTATCATACATGTATCGTTTTAGAAACATACACTCACGGGTACGAAAAACGGGCACCTTAAAAAATTTTATGTGTATTAAAGTTTAATATATTTTGTTCTAGTAGGCCGATTTTGATGATTTTTAAGCATTTTGAAACTTAATTATTTGACTTTTAATCTTTTTCTAAATTAAAAATGAAAGTTCCCATCTGTCAATTGTATAATTGTGAGAAAATACACATAATGTTGATATTTTGGTGAAAGTTTGAAACATCCTGTGGAATATGTTAACAAAGCAAGGAATTCAAAAATAATTTTCGATAGTTTGTTTTTTGATTCATCTCAATAGCTTGATTTTTATTGGAGATAATCGCTTTTGAATAGTAACGATTTGCAGCAATTTCGAAGCCCTCATCAACACACTTATAAAATAGTGTTTATTGTTTTTGTAATGTCACTCTCATTGGAAAGTCATATGTATTATTATTTATTGATAGTACGAGAGCTAGCAACGTCGGAAAAACAAGTATTTTAAGACGTCTGGCTCTTTGATATATTATCTTTTCTAGAACAGCATACGGCCCGGCCCGTCTGACTGCCGGTAAACGTTGCGTTCCCTATTGCGCATTGGAAGAAAATCCTATATTTTTATTAGTCCTTTAAATTCTAGTATTGAATATAAACCGACCGAGTCTCCTTAGCTCAGCGCGTAGAGGTTTCGCCTATCAAGCTTGGAGACAGAGTTTGAATCCGGGTCAGGGCAAAAACTTTTCTATTTTATTTTCGTTTATATTCTGATAGTACAGTATAGTATTTGTTTTTTTATCACCAGAATTAGTTAATACTTTACTATCAGAATATAAACGAAAATAAAATAAAAAAGTCTTTGCTCTGACCCGGATTCGAACTCTGAATCTTCGGTTCGTAGTCGGAAACTCTACGCACTGCGCTATGGAGACATGTTCGATTTATATTCAATACTAGAATTTATAGGACTAAATTAAAAATATATATATCTTCTTCAGATGCGCAGTAGTGAACGCAACGGGTATCGGCAGCCAGACGGGCCGCATTCTGTTCCAGAGAGCATAATAAAAGATATATCAAAGAACCAGACGTCTTAAAATACTTTCTCGAAAACGTTGCTAGCTCTTAGACTATAAATATGTATACCTAATGCATGTAAATATCCTCTTTAGCCACAGAAGAAAATCTCTTTGCTATACACAGTAAGATTCAAAAACATCTGAAAAATGAAAAAGCGTTAACGAAAACGGATATATTAAAACTCGTGACGTTTTTGGACAAAATGGAGTGTTCTGGTGAAAGGCTTACCGTGATATCACAATACGCAGAGCAAGTCCTTTTCAACATTCTCGTCAAACAAAGTCAAGGTAAAGTATTTCGATGATAAAGTATGTGTTTCGTTTTTTAAATAGTTGTTTATTTTGTTTAGAAAGTTGTTCTCAATTGGCGACTACCAGCTCAACAGTAACACAAAATTTAGACCACGCAAATGATGATGGAACACCAAAATCTAACACATTTGAGCAAGTATTCAGAACTGAGTCAAATTTATTTCCTACTCAGTCGAGTGATACGAATTCATGCGCAGCTGAAGCTTCAAGAAATTATAATTATACAGAACCAGTCCAAAACGAGGATGTTTCTATAAATTCGTATAATCTTAATCCTTCCGCAATGCTGGTTTTAAACTTGGACGGGAACAATGAAGTAAGCGATAATACAATATATCTTCCTTCCCAGTTGCTTACCAATAATAATTTTGTTGAAGATACAACACGAGGTAATTTTATTTTTATTAATATTTTTTTAGAAATTAATAGGTAATGTAATATACAGGGTGATTCACGACGATGATTCGTTTGACGTTTATATAGAACCAAGCGGTTATAGGATTTTTTGAAAATTTTGATTATTACACAAAGGCACCTGCTCCATCTATCTAAATAATTTTCAGCGGACAGTGTTGCCGTATAGTTAGAAATTTAGCATCATATTTTTTTTATCTTCAATGAAGCGCCTGTTATATTATTTCATATTTCGAAACTATTTCAATTTCCCATAAATTTTCTATATTGTACTTCCTATACACATCTCTCATAGATTCTAAGATAAAAAAGTGCAAAATTGAGAAAAACATGATTTTAAATAAGCATTGTTTAAATCATGAACTCAGCATATTGAAAGCTGAAATTTAGTTTTTAGATAAAGGAAAGTCGGTATATTCGATCTACCTAAATAAACCGATCGAATTTCCTACAGGGCGATCAAAAAATATGTTTATATTAAATTGTTATAAAATTGCTTAAATCTTTGTTATTTTAAATTCAACCCTTATGTATCTTATCATATTATCTAAAAAATAAACTAATAAAATTGCTTTTTAACAAAATATCATGTTCCTATACGTAAACCTTCCGGTTTCTTAAGTAGAGCTACTTAGAAATTAATTATTCAATCATTATAGTTTCATTTCAAGAATTTCGTTACCATGACAATTTTAAAAATTTAGCAAGTTAAGTCTAAATGATACCGTATGATGGAAGAAAAACGGCGTCCAGTTGGCTAGGAAATGACGATCGATGACATTTTCCATATAAATCTACACTAATATATAAAATCCTTAAGTGACTGACATACTGATTAATCACGATCCTGCTCAAACCACTCAACGTAAGAAGCTCAATTTTGGCATACAGATTGATTCTAGGGTGTAGAGGTTCGATAAGAAGGGATTTTTCGAAATTCCAGTTCCAAGAGGGTGAAACCACCCCTCAAATATTACAATATTTTTTATTTAAAAAACGGTCAAGTTTCCGAAAAAACGCTTAAACACGTATATTTTATTTTGTTTTTTATATATTTTAAGATTTTTTAAAAATGTATACAGGGTGTTTCGAGAAATCTGGTCATTGATTAATCACGATCCTGCTTAAAGCGCTTGCGTAAAAAGCTGATTTTTGGAAAAAAGATTGACTTTAGGGTGTAGAGGTTCGATAAGAAGGGATTTTTCGAAACTCGAATTCGAAGGCGGTGAAACTATCCCTCAAATATTAAAATATTTTTTATTTAAAAAACCGGTGAGTTTTTCAGAAAAACTCTTAAACACGTATATTTTATTTTGTTTTTTATATATTTTAAGATTTTTTAAAAATGTATACAGGGTGTTTCGAGAAATCTGGTCATTGATTAATCACGATCCTGCTTAAAGCGCTTGCGTAAAAAGCTGATTTTTGGAAAAAAGATTGACTTTAGGGTGTAGAGGTTCGATAAGAAGGGATTTTTCGAAACTCGAATTCGAAGGGGGTGAAACTATCCCTCAAATATTAAAATATTTTTTATTTAAAAAACCGTTGAGTTTTTCAGAAAAACTCTTAAACACGTATATTTTATTTTGTTGTTTTACATATTTTAAGATTTTTTGTAAATTTATACCACATAAAATATGACCATTGAGTAATCACAATTCTGCTTAAACTGTTTGACTTTTAAAGCTGATTTTTGGGAAACGGATTGACTGTGGGGTGTAGAGGTTCTATAAGGAAGGGTTTCTCGAATCTCAAATTCCAAGAGGGTGAAAACGTCCCTCAAAGATTACAATATTTGTTAATTAAAAACGGTTAGTCTTTCGGGAAAACGCTTGGATAAGCATAATTTATTTGTTTTTTTTTCATATTTTGAAATTTTTTAAAAAATCATACAGGGTGTTCCAAAAAGTTGGGTAATTTCTTAACCACGATTCTGCTTAAACTGCTAGATGTAAAAAGCTTATTTTTGGCAAACGGATTTTTCGAAAGTCAAATTTCAACAAGATGAAACTACCTCTCAAATATTACCAAGTTATATAATAATATCGCCATATTGGTTTTTTTCTCATGCTGACATAAATGTGAGAAAATTTTATCCAGTTTGTATGTTCATGGAAATTCTTGCTTTGCTTTATCATCACCATTACAAATGATTAATTCGACGCGAACGAAGTCGCTGGTACACGCTAGTTTACATATAAAATGACAGCGATCTTTATTTCATAGCCAGATGCCAGTTTTTTTTTTCGATCGTGTGGTACTTATAAAGTGTGAAAAATTGTGATGGTAACGATTTTCTCTAAACGAAACAATTATATTATCCTTTAAACGACTTTACTAAAGAAACTGGAATATTTAGGTATAGGAAACATATCGTTTTCGAAAGCAATTTTATTCGTGTTTTGATTTATTAAGTACTATACATAGAGAGTTCTATTTATAATAACAAAGATGCTACTACTTTTCAAATGATGCGGCAACACTGTAACTTTGAAAATAATTTCGATAGATGGGGCAGGTATTTATGTATCTATAGGCTTGGTGCATTTCAGTTGGTTTCAAAAATTCCGACCGCAGCGTTCGATACGACAGAAATCAGAAGTTTTCGCTCTATATTTCAAGCAGTTCCGATGTTGACCGCATTGAAATAATATTAAAATCGTGGCTTTGCCATAATATTTAAGTATCTTGGTTTTTAATAGTGCAGTTATTGAAACTATAAAACACTCAGGTAGGAGGTTTGTGTGATGTAACGCTGTTTCGGGTAGTAAAAAATAAGTGAAAAAGAATTCGAACTAGGCGTTGTGTTGTGGTTATGACAATTTCATATATTAATAAAATTGTTTTAATCAACTAGTGCTTACATTTTTTATGAACATTTTCTAAAATTATAATTATGTACCTTTAAAAAAATTCGTTGATCCGAAATAGCCCCAGCTATGTCTCCGCTAACAAAATCAATGCGTAAAACTATATGGATGAGTTAGTTGAACTACCGTAGTTGAACTAAATCATCTAAAAGTTTTATTAGCTTGAATAATAAATTATAATATAAGTTAGACCTTCTGAAGAAATCAAAATACACACACCGGAAAAGTCTAGGGATATTACAATTTTATCCCGCCATCGTCAGTAATTTTATTATTTGCATTTCTGATATAATAAAATTAAAATAAACAAATAGTTTACAGGACGTATTGGAAATAAAAATGCGAAATTTACCGAATTTTTCAAATTTACCTTGATTTTTATTAATCCCAAAAAAAAAAGATAAAACCATTTTTAGTTAATAAAGGGTATGGCCTCCTCTACTGTTCATTACAGCCCTACATCGTCTCTCCATGCTCCTGATCAGGTTGTCGATCTCTTCTTGAGGTACAGCCTACCACGCTGTATTCACGGCCCGAACCAGATCCCTACGAGTTTCACGAGGCATACCCATTCTCAAAATTCTTCTTTGGACCGCGTCCCATACGTGCTCGATGAGGTTGAGGTCAGGAGATTGTGCCGGCCAGGGTAAGATGTTTAATTGATGAGCAGTGATAAACTCACTTACCACTCTGGCTGTGTGAGGCCGTGCATTGTCATGCATGAGAATGAAGTTTCTCCCAAAATCATTGGCATATGGTAACACGACAGGCTCAAGAATTAAATCACGATATGTGATTCCTGTTAGAAACCTTTCAAGAAAAACGAGATCGGGTTTTCGGCCTAACTGGACTCCTCCCAGACCATAACTGTTCCACCTTGATAAGGGTGCACTTCCTGAACATGATCCAACCGAATAAGATTTCCCGGTTCTCTCCATACCCTAAGCCTTCTCGAATCCGGATGAATTCCAAAGCGCGACTCATCCGTGAAGAGAACATTGGCCCATTGTTCATTCGACCACTGAACATGATCTTGAGCGCACAAATATCGTACCTCTCGATTTCCTCTCGTTAAGGGTTGAGCTCTCCAGGGGCGTCTGCTTCTTAAGTTGACCTCTCTTAATCTATTGCGAACAGTGTCAGGACTAACGGTTACATTATGTGTTTCCTGGAGAATTAAACTAAGCTCTGGTGCTGTTAAGAGTCGGTCGGCGTCGAGCATTTAATTGTAAAAAATGATCTTGCTGAGGGGTAGTAATGCGATGTCGCCCTGTGTGCCTTTCAGCAACATCACCACTTTCACGATAGAGTGCACTTAATCGCGATATTACACTTTGCGTTGTATTTAATGCTCTAGCTACGTCGATTTGGTGCATTCCAGCTTCGAGCATACCCATGGCCCTTAGCATTTCGTCTCTGTTAAGATGTCTGCGCTCCATAATGTCGTTTAATACTAAACAGAGTTATTTGAATGAATTCTGGCCAGTTATCATAAAAACATAGCCAGTACAGGTTAAATTCGAACAATTGATGCTAGGTGCTTTTTATACATTTGACAAAAAATGCACAAACACTTCTGCAAATATCCCAAATTTAGAAATAACTAGTGTGACTACTTCGTTTCAATCAAAGTAGAAAGAATCGGCCTACAAATATGTGGTTGTTTATTCAAAACATTTATTTTTAACTTTATTAAAATGATATCCCTAGATTTTTCCGGTGTGTGTATTTACTTTTTTATTTTTATTTTTAGAATTTTCACACATACTTCCTAACACTTCTCACACCGGCTGAGAATGCACCAAGCCTATATGTAAAAATCCAAATTTTCAAATAAATATACATATATAAATTTTTAATGTGCAAATAATGTTATGTTTTAGCTCAAAATTCACAAAATAAAGATGTTACTGAACAGGACAAGTTTAGTAGCCCTGAACTAATAGAATTTGAAAATGGGAATACAATAGATAATGACGATTTAACTGAAATCCATACATTGTGAGAATTTTATATTTTTAAAATTTTAACTGTTTAATATACTCCAAGTCCCAGTATTGAGTGAAGATAGAACTAGTACGTATTTTTGAAATTAAAATAAGTTAATTGGACACAATTTACCTCTATACAACACTTCTTCGTTTGTCCGTTCTAGAGCAATAGTCATAAATAAATTTCATTTTTTAAAAAGCACTTTTGTATAAAAGTACTTTGTTTGTCCTTCCCTATACAGAGGCAAATTGTGCCCGATTATATTATTTTGACTCCAATAATACGTAGTAGTTATATCTACCGAATCACACACCCTGTATACAATTTATACTGTTATAATTGTATTTTTTAGTACTCTGAACAATGTTTATGATTCTACAGAAACATTCAAGGCGAGCCAAGAAATAATCAGTAATTCTATGAGAATAATTAACAGAAAATCATCAGAAGCATCAGAAGAAAGTATAGTTTTTGATATAAATCCTGAGACTACTACTACTGGCATAGTTAATGGTATCAAAGAAAAATGCGATTTTACAGCGTGTTTCCAAACAAATGTGAAAAACTTTATGGAGTGATTCCTTGTCAAAAATAAAGGGTATCGTTAGGGAAATACTGTAATACAGGGTGTCCCAAATTCGAGCCTCATCATTTTAAATAATTTTTACTTTGTAACAATTAAAATCAAAACGAAAAAAAAACATATTTTAAAAATAATTCATTAACTAAATGTTTTTTATTAATTTGAAAAAAACTCTGATTCAAACTAAAAATAAACATCTTTTAGCAGGGGCGCATATACGGGAGGGGTAATGGGGGTAATTCCCTTCCCAAGAAAAAATTATGTATAAGATAAAATGTGTTATAAAATAAAATGTTCTCAAAAAGAAGTTAATAAGAAAAATGCTGAGAAACGCAGGTACGCTGGTAAGTTTTAATAAGAAATTGTCTACTTATTTAAAGGCCTAGGAATAGTATAAATTGTTTTTGTAATGCTTGTATGTAATACTTGTGAATGCTTATTACTCTATAGCCTTTGGCATAAGTTAGTTGTATTGTTTGTACTAGCAATATGCTAAATAAAGATTATTATTATTATTATAATAATACCAATCAAAATAGAAAATTCAAACCAATCAAAGCATTTTTCTATCTACAGTCATAATACCTTTCAACGAAAATATAATTTAAATTAGTACTTCATTTAAATATTGCCACTACCCTTCCCAGACTCAATCTCTAGATGCGCCTCTGTTTTTTAGTCTCGTGATTAAGCTTGACCGGCACAGTGTAGCCGACTTTTTCATTTTTTTTTAAACAAAATATTTTAGGAAACAAAAATAAATTAATGATAAATATATAAACAGTTATTATTTACATCAACATAACTCACCTCCTTAAGAGCACTTAAGGGACATCAAGGGCCATTATTACTGCTTTTTCGATCAAAATATTCTAATAAGGTTCGGAATCGTTCTTTAAAGTTTTTTGTATTTGTTTTGAAACATCCTGTATATTTCTCTATTTTTAGATAAAGTCACTAACGATATCAAGGAATTATCAGATAAAATGAAAACCAGTATTGTTTTAAACGACTCGGAGGATATTATTCATGAAACACCTTTAATTATTGATGAAACGCCTTTGATTACTGATGAAACACCTTTAATTATTGATGAAACACCTTTAATTATTGATGAAATACCTTTAATTATTGATGAAACACCTTCTGTTTCAATAAGTCCACAAACCCGTACTAGAAGTTATACTCAGTCAAAAAGCTTTTTGAATTTTTATAAAAGTAGCCCGAGCAGGAGCAACATTTGTAAGAGAAGAAAAGTTAAAAAATTTGAGAAAACGTCGATTTTCAAGAATGTCATGGGAAAAAGTAACATAGAAATGATGCCAGGCAGTCAGACTATTTCTGAACTCTCATCAGATCCTAAAGGTGAGTATTGATGGATGAATAAACAAAAAAACTTCAGTCGTAAAATTAACACAACTGGGCCCTAATTCTGTAACTTAGATAACGATAAGCGCTTTTAGACGCTCAGCGTATATGACGTTAATTTTCGCTGAGCGCGCATTAACTACCGCTTTGGGTATTCTCATCTGACTGCTTAGCGTTTTTACTGATTACGCTAAGCGATTCGAAGACGGTTACCTTAAAGGATCCTTTTGCTTGTCGAACTGTCAGTGAAAATCGAAAAAATTGTGATAATTCAGGAGCATTTAAGTTTTCTATCAATTGCTGGATGCACTCATCTGCAGTCATCAACCAAACTATCTCTGATGTTTTTTGAGAGAATAAGTTTTCGTTTTCCGTAAATTTCTGAGATTTTTTTTGTTTTAACTGACACAAAACGATACTTAGTTGTTAAAGTTGACCTCATTTGACAGCTATGTTGAAGTAACGTCAGGCATATCACAGAGACCCAGATTTTATCGAATAATAAATATCTACTGACACTAAACCATAACAATATTTAGGAAAATCTTTGCTTGAAGGGTAGGCAAACTTAATAGTATTTTGAAGAGACATGAATTGGAAATTTGTGGCCGGCCGTATCTCCAGCGTTAGTGTGTCGATCTGCGGAGTGGAAGGTACTGGGTTCGATCCCCAGCCAGTACGGTCGCTTTATTTATTTAAATAAAAATATTTATTTATCTAAATAGAGCGACCAACGGCCGCCACCTCAAGGAAGGCAATGGCAAACCACCTTGAATATATTTGCCTTTTACAGCCTCTCAAATAGTGCCGTTCGGAGTCGGCGATAAACTGTGGGTCCCGTGTACTTGTGAAACACTGATGACACACATCACAAGTACATGCGAGAGGTAGCCGACGCTCTATATAGAGTATGGCACTGTAAGAAGAATTTACAAATGAATATCGGAATAAAATTACTGGGTCCATTTAAAATTCAATGGTAACTTGCTTTTAAACGTGTCCAATGTTCAATATTAATTTTGTCCTACTATGTATAACTTTTTGGGTCAAATTTTAATATGATTTAAAGTACAACAGTTATTTTAACTATTTATTAGGCTATACCAGGTAAATTCCAATTTAGGTAGCTTTTATTAAAATTTAAAATTGGTTCTTCCTTTTTAGAAAATGTTGAATATGTCAAAGACCTTACATTTTAGCCATAAATTCTCTAATGAAACTCACCTATTTTTCTCCTAGAATCCGAAAACTCAACTTTGATATGTAACTTTTTTTGGGATCATCCTACATATGCTCACAAAATTTCGTTTCAACACAAACTGTCGTTCTCTTTAGAGCCTCGTGTGAGAGGCGCCACCCTGTAGAGTATTCACTTTAAACTATTTTTGTTTGTAAGTTAGCCATTTTATTATTTTTATATTTCAGATATTACGCCACCAGGAAATGAGCTTATTAACTCCTCAACAATATCAAGCGACCAAACCATAAACTCCTCTTCGACTGGTTCTAGTCGATCAAATTTAAGCTTAAATCGTGTGGTAATCAATGGATCTGAAGTGACAAATGAGCAGGCATCAGCCCAAAGGAACAACGAAGCGATACAAGCCGAAAAAGAATTAAAGATGGTCAAGGAACAGAGAAATAAATATCGAGAAAAGTGGGACACAATGTCCGTAAAAGAAAAAGTTAACGCGAAGTTCGTAAAAAAGTTTCAGATTAATATTTTCGAGGATCCAGTTGATTCTTTGCTGAATATAGATTATGAGACCAACCCAAATAGTTTCTATTATAAGCGGTAAGATTAGATATAAGCGATACCAATTAAATTTTTGGTTACGTAATCGAGGGCGCGATTTTTAAATTCATTGTTGCCATACAATTATTCCTGGACACAAACGGTACATTGTGAGACAGGAAATTGTAGAGAGAAACAAGCCCTATAACATAGGATAGAACATTTTAGTGAACAGTGCTTTCCATAAAACCAATAAAATGAAAAATATAGGAAATAATATACATGTACTGATTTCTTTCGAAAATCGACAACTATGAAACTATGATCCCTTCCCCGACACAAACGGTACATTGTGAGACAGAAAATTTTAGAGAGAAACAAGCCCTATAACATAGGATGCAACATTTTAATGAACAGTGCTTTCCATAAAATCAATAAAATGATAAATATACGAAATAATATACATGTACTGATTTCTTTCGAAAATGGACAACTATGAAACTATGAGTCCTTCCTGGACACAAACGGTACATTGTGAGACAGGAAATTGTAGAGAGAAACAAGCCGTATAACATAGGACACAACATTTTAATGAACAGTGCTTTCCATAAAATGAAAAATATAGGAAATAATATACAGGTACTGATTTCCTTCGAAAATCGACAACTATGAAACTATGAACCCTTCCTGGACACAAACGGTACATTGTGAGACAGGAAATTGTAGAGAGAAACAAGCCCTATAACATAGGATACAACATTTTAATGAACAGTGCTTTCCATAAAATCAATAAAATGAAAAATATAGGAAATAATATACAGGTACTGATTTCTTCCGAAAATCGACAACTATGAAACTATGAACCCTTCCTGGACACAAACGGTACATTGTGAGACAGGAAATTGTAGAGAGAAACAAGCCGTATAACATAGGATACAACATTTTAATGAACAGTGCTTTCCATAAAATCAATAAAATGAAAAATATAGGAAATAATATACAGGTACTGATTTCTTTCGAAAATCGACAACTATGAAACTATGAACCCTTCCTGGACACAAACGGTACATTGTGAGACAGGAAATTGTAGCGAGAAACAAGCCCTATAACATAGGATACAACATTTTAATGAACAGTGCTTTCCATAAAATCAATAAAATGAAAAATATAGGAAATGATATACAGGTACTGATTTCTTTCGAAAATCGACAACTATGAAACTATGAACCCTTCCTGGATACAAACGGTGCATTGTGAGAGAGGAATGTGAATATTATTTTTATTTTTTTTATTCTTTGACATTGTAAACATTTATATAAATGTTTATTTTAAACAATAAGACTGACAATATTATTTGTATGTTTTGTATTATCTTTTGTTTGTTTGTTTGTGTACCTTGTTTGTTTATTTTACCTTTGCCTACAAATTGTAAAATTTTTTGACAATAAAGGCATTTATTTATTTACATGGAGATATTTGGCGCCGGGCTAACTGGAATTTAAATTTCCTGCTGGGGATTCAGGTGGTAGCTCTGCTGTAAAAAATGTCAAATTGCCACGTTTATTTATTTATTTCCTGACATTGCCATTCGTTTTGACACTGTAGTTTTGTATTACGAGTTTTTAGTTTAAGTCAATTATGTTGTGATAACTTTCTTCTTCTTACAGTGCCAGACTCTATACAGAGCGTCGGCTACCTCTCGCATATACTTGTGATGTGTGTCATCAGTGTTTCACAGTTAACTTTAAGCTTAAAAATTTTTACTAGCAGTCCTTGCAGTCAAAATTTGTTTTTTTAAAACCTCTTTTAGTGCTTAAGATAGCTTAGTAGCCGTTGCAAAAAACTTATCGCAACCTTATTAGAATATTTTGAACGGGAAAGCGGTAGTAATGGCACTTTATGTTCGCTAAGTGCTGTTAAGGAGGTGAGTTTTGTTGATGTAAATACTCTACCTATAATATTTATAATTAATTTATTTTTGTTTCCAAAAATATTTTGATTAAAAGAAAATATGTAAAACTGAGCAACGCTGTGCCGGTCAAGCTTAATCACGTGACTAAAAGTTTATTTGGTATGATCTATATTTGTTTTTTTCTTTGAATAAAAATTCCGTATGATCGAATAAAAACGGCGTCAGCGACGGCTGTGAAATGAAGATCGCTGTCATTTTATATGGGAAATGTCATCGATTGTCATTTTATAGCCATCGCTGACGCCGTTTTTATTCGATCATACGGTATTAAGGAAGGAGTATGATATCCATGAATTCAAGCATTAGAGCTTCATTAGAGACGGAACCAATATCTTGAACCTCCATCTTGGACAGGTCTGTTTGACGTTTCAATTGACACATTTGAATTTCATTTTAAATTTTCCGGATTTGTTGGCCTTTTCTGAGTTCATTTTATTGAATTATGTGGTCTGTATTTTGATGCATACGACAGAGATGATATATGACCAGTTGACAGACAGAGGGGCAAAATAAAAAGCGGCATACAGTATTGCCGGTTCGTTCATGTGTAGGTAGGGTAGCAAAGCAACTATGATTGTTTGTTTTTATAGTTTCGCCAGCGACACAACGTAGCGACACGACGCAATCGGAGCAAACAGAGCAAAAAAAAATTTTTGGTCCGAAAAAAGGGAAGACATCCTTAATTTTTTGGCAAATTTTTTTTTGTCTCCGACCATCCCCTAATTTTGAGCCCTTATAGAGAGTTGAATTTATTGTCGGTTGCGCTATTCCGTTCCTCGGTATCTCTCATAGTTTTCGAAATATTGGGACTTTAATTTTTCAAACGAGGTCGAATTGCTAGAGATAGCAGAAATATTGTTGGTATTTACATGTGGTACTCAACTTACTCCTTACCTCTTCTCTCTTAAGGTATGTTTTCCTAGCGGCAGGTTTTTTGCGCCGCGCACGACGTGTTAAGCTGAGCGTTTAACATCATGCACTCATTCCCACGAATTTCAATAGGAGTGTTTTCCTAGAGGGCGCATTACACCAGCGCAGAACGTGTTACGTCGACGCGATAGACCCGACTGCTTTTGGAGGAGTCAGTTGCGTTGTACGCTACGTGATTTGACCAGTTTGTTTTGAAAATTGTTAAAAAAATGTCCCTAAAACAAGGAAAGAAAGTGTTTCTCTCCAGAAATAATTGACAGAGAGGCAGCAAGACAGGGGACATTTTAAAAGGTGCATCGAAGATCTCACGGCACGCCCAGAACCTAAAAACGAAGATGACATTGACTTATTTTTCAAAACAATGGCAGCGACGCGCGACTGTGAGAAAATTCCGACCAAATCTTGTCACCCAGACAAAAGCGGGCGTTTTCAAAGTAGTCACGGAAATGGAAATACGGAACCAGCAATCAATAGTCTCACATAACACAGGATTGACGAATATTGACTACAATGAAAACCAGTCGTTCTCTTCCCCCATCACCATGGACCACTCCACATTCATCTCACCCAGAAGCTTCCTCTGACATTATTTCTCAAGCTTTTGTTAAGCAAAAACTCGTTTCACGAGTCAATCTAAAATACCTTTGGAACTTCTCTTCCCCATCAAGGAGATGAGTCTTGATCAAACTGTTGAAAGTTCCTTCATTTCTCCGACTTTTGAACACATCGCACACTTGTTTTCTGGGTTTCGCACCAGACCTCTTCTTCCTGGTCATCTCCTATAATTTTTCTTAATAAAAACGCAACAATTAACTTCCTTTTCATGCACATAGTCGCCATTCTACTTGGTTCGCGACTTTCCTAGGCCAACTGAACCACGCCACTAGGAAAACACTTTTACGCCGCGTAAAAAAAGGTGCGCTTCTGCCGACGTTTCTTTAAAAATTCAGTTGCTGCTGCGCAAAAAACCTGCCTCTAGGAAAACATACCTTTATGTGTTCCTGATAGATATCGGCGATTTTAGAATTTTCTCGGATTTGTATCAGTGTAAAATGTAAAAGCGACTAGGTAAAAATATTGGTACTGAATTTACTCCTTACTTCTTCACACTTATGTGTTCCTAATAGAAATCAGTAATATCTTCGTTCAATTTTTAACAAACAAAACCAATAAATTACTGAGTCTATCCTACATTTCATTTTTACACATTTTAAAAAAATTAGAACGGTACTGATAAACCGGATTGAAGTCAGCCATATTTATACCCCATCGCACTTCACATAGTAGTTAGTAGGTATGCCCCTTCCTTAATCTTTTTATTCAAAGGATTTACTGTTTGTTTTTTACTACAAGTTTATAGTTTTTGATTTATAGTGTAACCAAAGACGAAATGAATGAAATATTAAAAAGCCATAACATCGAATTCCTTACCAGAAATCTAAAAGAATCAATTAGAGATGCTTTTACTGACACAGCAGCTAAGGCTAATAAGGAGAATATGGAGAGTAAGTACTGTCATAATAATCTTCAGAGTATTAGCAACATTTTTGCAGCAGATATTTTTTCAACACCTTTTTCACCTCAGAATATTATTATGATCTTTTCAGACTACAGTTCTTCGGATGAAGACAAGGAAGAACTGAATACGTTTGTGGAAAGGGCAAAAACCGAAGCTAAAAGTAGAATGAGAGTAATTCAGAAGGAATGGGAAGACACTGTAATGAACATGAAGTCAAGTGTGGCAGGGTCAATGCATAACGAACATTGCGACGGTTACGATCGCTTAGCGGAAAATATTAAACAAAATGGCGATTACAGATGGCTTCTAGATAATTAATTATTTGAAAGAATTTCTTTAATTTTAATAGTTTAATTTTAATCGATGAATACTATACTATTCAAAAAAGATTTTTTCGCTTATCTGATTCATTAAAAAAATTAGGATATAATTTATATCCAAATTTGAATGTTTCCTGTTAAAGTTGATCTGGTTTAACTAACTAAAACACTAAATCACCACAATACACCAAAACACTAAAATGTTTTGGTGGTGATTTGGTGTTTTATTTGGCCCTGTACATTGCTGTTTCTTTTTTGGATTTTGAGTAAACGATTTAGTTTATAACAAAAATTTTAATTCTGAACTATTTGCCGTCCATTAGGTAAAGGATAAAAATAAAGAATTATAATTTTTTGATATACATTTTGTTTTTCTCAGTACATAACAATTTTATAATAAAACAACTATCCGTAAAACTAAAAAGTATGTATAAATAAAGATAAAAAGTTGAAGGAAAGTTATATATGTTTGGGAAAAAAATCAATCATAAAATAACTCTAGTTTTATACATTTTACAAAATTAATTTCATGTTTAACTTGTATATCATAAGTATAGTTTTCGTCGCATATATTTAAAATGTTTACTAGAATTTAATAATAGTATGACACGACTAGTGTATGTATAATCTCTATAATTTTTTTTATACTTTCACAACAAATATAGTAAATCTAGTGCTTTGAGTTTGTCCTCGCGAACCGTACTAACAAAGACAAAGAATAAAAAATATCTCGGTTTCTAGTAAGCGTGGTTTTTGACGAAAAGACCAGCGTCGCCGGCTTTGCCTTGTATGGTTCCAGCGGCGTACTTGCCCAGGGAAGCTTCGCTGTTAGCCTGAAAAAGTAAGATAGGTATATTAGAAAGATATGACCTTACTGTGGAGGGTAGAGGCAAGGAGAATGAACTTCATGGAAAGTGGAAATCAAACAGGGAACACTTAAGATGGCGCTACTGCAGCAAAAGTTCTACGTTTGAAAGAAGCGCCAAAAATTTTTGGGACAGGGAATAATTAAAAAGAAATAGATAGATATGCGATTTCTGAAGCGCATGTTGCCTCTCTTTTTAACTAACTTCACTTAAAAACTAGTGAAAAAAACTAATAAAATACTTATGGATTTTGTATAAGTGCAAACCTAAAGTATGTATTAGGATATATTTCAGGAAAATATTTCAACTTCTACGGGATGACTCAATAAGTGTAAGTGGATCTGAATGATTTTTTTTAATCAAACACCCTGTATATTATTTTTGGCTCCCTTTTAGATCATTTCACATAATCCTAAGATATGAGTAAATATATTTCCATAATTTCAGAAATATTAATAAATAAATAAGAAATATATGGTTTTCAGTCTTTCTTAAAAAAATTATTGAAAATACAAGAACTCTCCTGAAATCAAAACTATATTAGGTATTTATTTTAGATAGTTTGTACTTAACTTTGCAATAAATATCGTAATCTTAAATCACACAGGATGTCCAAAATTCTACGCCAAACTTTTTAAAATATTAAATAATTTTTCTTTTATTAAAAAGGTAACGTATATTATTTTTTATTAGATGGACAATTAAAAAAATATTTTATTTTGTATTTCAAAATTTTTAATGGTTTCGCAGATATTCGCGGTTTTATATTTCATATGACATTTTATTAAATTTTTATCAAAGCAACCCTATAATTTTTCTCTCGTATCTTACCGTTAAAAGAGCCATATATTAATAATACCGCGAGTATCTGCGAAACTGTTAAAAATTTTGAAATACTCTAAATAAAAAAAATCTCAATTTTTTAATTTTCCATCTAATAAAGAAATAATATACAGGGTGTTACATTAAAAAAAACATGAAAAATTATTTTATATTTCAGAAAGTTTGACGTAGAATTTTGAACATCCTGTATGATTTGAGATTACGATATTTATAACAAAGTAAGTACAGACCTAAAGTAATCTAATCTAAAGTAAATACCTAATATAATTTTGATTTCAGGACAGTTCTTGTATTTTTAACAATTCTTTTAGAAATGCTGAGAAATATATATTTTTCATTTATTTATTAATATCTGCGAAACTATCGAAATATATTTACTCATATCTTAGGATTATATAAAATGATCTGAAAGGAAACCAAAATGAATATACAGGATGTTCCGTTTAAAAAAAATCCCGATCCGCTGACATTTTTTGACCCATCCTGTAGAAGTTGAAAGATTTTCCTGAAATACACCTTAGTACATATTTTAGGTTTGTAATTAAACAAAATTTCCTAGTTTTTTATTCTAGGAGTTACAGATAATTGCACAACCCTATATAATACAAGTGTAATAGTTTACTGGGAACCCCAGAACTACTTAATTAGGCGACAAAAAGGTCGCTTGTGCCCTTATAAGGAACATTTCTTGCACAATGATCCTGAACGTTTGCGCATGTTTGCCAATGTTCCTCCATCACGAATGGGAACACTAATTAACACTAATTATATCGTAATATTTTAAAGTTACGCTCAAACTCACCTTTGCACGTTTCAATAATTCATCTTGGCCATCTTTAAACTGTTCGTCTTTACCTCCCCAAGCGCGGAGCACTGAAGCCTGGAGGGCACGTCCGTAACTGAAAGTGAGAGCCCAGGGTTTCTTTCCAGAATATCTGAAATGAACAATTTTATGTGAATATGTCGAACAGTTATAATTCAAAAAGCTACAAAGACTACTTTATTATATATACGTATATTTGAAGTGAAACTTCTTACTAACAGCTATTAAATTGGAGGATTTGAAGGACGTTTGAAAAAGTGTAGTTTGAAATGTTGAAAAAGTAATAAATTAATAAATAATTTGATTTACTTTCAAAAAATTTGTATTAAAATGACTGTGTCAGTCTGAGGACTCCATTCTAAGCCCGTGGTTACATTGGATGCGTGTCCGTGCGTTTTTTGGTCGTACGTGCTCGGACGTGCACGCAGCAAGAAACAAACAAATGGTATCTACGCAGGCGGTTACATTGCATCGGAGTTTGCGCGTCCGTGCACGTACGTCGATTTCCGTTGGTCGGATGAAAACAAACTGGTTTGTTTTTTTAATACGTGCACGTCCGAGTGTTCTAATTTTTATATCTCTCGGCCCAATACATTCCAAAAAAATTTGAATATTTTTGAATACCAGGTTTATTTTTATTTTAGATATATTAATGTTGCTCGAAACATTCTGAAATATTCAAAAAATTTGACCGGTTGCTGTTTTAATTCACCAAATATTTTACATATTCATTTTCTTAACATTTTCTTCTGTTCATAAGTAGTTATTTTAACATTAAATCCTCAGACAGCATCAAAGTAGTAGCGTCCGTTTTGACAAACTCGACACACAGGACACCATGAACGCGCGTCTAAGGTAACCACTAAAATAAAATAGTCGTGCGAGTAAATTCCGTAGTGATGAGCCAAACCGTGATTTTCTGTTCACAGGCTTACCTGTGACAGCGACTTTGTATTATCTGTGACTCTTAACTGTGACTGCCACTTTATGATTATGAATCCGAAAGCACAATCACGGCTAAAATATAAGATACGATACGAATGATACGATTCTGTTGTTGTTGTTATACTAATTTTTATTTGTCCTTTATCCAAGTCCGCTGAAATAGAAAACACTAAACAGTGGGTAAAAGGTATATTAAAAAATAAAAATAAAACAATTTTTTTATTTAAAGAAACCAACTGGAAAAGAATAAAATATGCAATATGCTCATAACCATAACGAACGAAACTTAACAACACGAGATAAGTAATACATTAAACAACAAATATTTTCCTTTGTATTAAAATAAACGAAATATATAAAAATGAAGTTTCTAAAAAATAAACAGTATAAAGGTAAAACTTTATGTTTGGCTTTAAAAACCTACTAAACTAAAAAGGAACCAAACCGATTCGTAGTGATAAAAAATAGTAATAAAATATAAAATACATAAAAAATTAAATCACTTCTAACAGTCACTGTCTTTAGATCACTTTGTCAGATATCTATCCTATGAGACGTACGTCGTGACTCGTGACTGTGAACTGAGTCACGATCGGCGCCATCGGCAGCTGCGTTCGCGATTAGCGACGTCCCGCTCTGTGAAGTATTTTCTCGTTACCAGAGAAATCACAATTAACTGTAATCGTCACGCTTTAGCAAGTCACCGTTTATTTTCAAATCAGTCACAGGCCGTGACTGTGATTATAGAATATCAGTGACAAAGTCACAGTTACCGATATTTCACTCATCACTAAAATTCCGTCAGAGCTCGCACGTTTAAAAAAACGCACGGACCCGCGTCCAATGAAACTGCGGGCTTACTCTCACGCTATCCGCGTGTGGAGTTTGGTTCCAATCGACCCAAAATAAGAAAAATCTTGATGATTTCGTCTATTTAGAAGCATCGCACAGTGTGAAATTTACGGGTTGTAACTGGAAAAAAATATTTCAGCGACTCTTTTAATGAAATATTAGTCTTTTTCGTTTTTATATAAGAAATTTTATCAAGGCAAGGTAGACCATGCACCAAAATAATCGTAGTAGGGCATATACAGGGTCTCTCATAATGTTTGGTACATATATGGGAAACTTTTTTACTATATTATCAGTGATTCATAAAATGTTATTTTTAATAAAAAAATTTGTTGATTAGAGAATAGTTTTGAGGTTAGTAACTACGGAGTTTAATATACGGAGTGTCTAAAATTCTACAAAATGTGGCGTTGCCGAACCAAAATACATAATCTATAAGAAAGACAAATAAGAAAGTACTATATACAAACAAAATACACTATAAAATGTTTGTGGGTCAAACCGATTTGGAAAAACTATCTAAATCGGAGAAAATCATACAATCAAAGAAAATAAAATAATCAATTGTTGATTTCTCGACGAACCTTACCGCACAAAGAGACTCTATTTGAGGTTTTTCTTTCATTTTTTACTCTTGCTAATACAGATAATCGAAATTCTCCCCCTTAACCAATCAGAATTTTTAGATAAGAAGATATGTTTATGCTTATTTGCCTTTTTCCGTTTGATCTCGATTTTCTGGACAAAACGTCCTGGTGAAACTCTTATATTTTCTTTGACAGCTCTTGAAAGATTACTAGAATCAAAGCGTTCCAATATAAAATTCACCACAGCGCTTCGCCGCTTCTTTGGAGTGTTAGAAGTACAAACCTCATATACATCCTGACGAGTGAAGCGCGCAGCCATCTTAAAAAATATATATGTATAGCTAAAGCGCACCTAAACGCAGCTAATTTTTTTTATGTCGTATGCTATAAAAAGTGGCCTTTCAAGAAATGACAAAGTTATCGTGGTATTATGTGGTATTATGTAACAAAAACATATTTAAAGTAGCTAAATTACAATTTTTCATAGGTAACTGCAGGTACTTCTTTAACATTTCTTTTCAGTCAAACTATATAGCAGAAATATTTTTAAAAAATGATAGCTTACTACGTAGGCCTAATATAAAAATAATATCAATGTAGTTATTCCGTGAAAGTAAACACTTCTCACTAAAACGCCTGCAAAATTTGACTAAACGGGCTAGATATTTTAGATGATTTTATCGTTTTGTGATTATAGAATATCAGTGACAAAGTCACAGTTACCGATATTTCACTCATCACTAAAATTCCGTCAGAGCTCGCACGTTTAAAAAAACGCACGGACCCGCGTCCAATGAAACTGCGGGCTTACTCTCACGCTATCCGCGTGTGGAGTTTGGTTCCAATCGACCCAAAATAAGAAAAATCTTGATGATTTCGTCTATTTAGAAGCATCGGTTCGAAACGTCGAGGGCGTCATCCTGTAGCCCGTCCCTAATTATGCCGAAATCGGCCCACATTTTTCTTTAATACGACATCATACGACAGTGACACGTGTCGTATACGGTTAAGTTGGCCTTGGTCCAATCTATCGACATACCAAATTTCATTTAAATCGGACGATTTTCTCTAAGCCTGACTGTATTTACCAGTATTGATATTACCATAGAAACGCTTTTTTATTTTTGGAGCTTAGAAAAAAATCAACTATATTTTCATAGGTTTTTATTTTTCTCTAAAACGGTGTGGAAATTTGGAAAAGCATAAAAGGTATTAACCATATTAGAATAAGCAAACACTTTTATGAAGAATGCATTTTTTTTAAAAAAGTTAATAATAAAAGTTTAACCTCTTGTAAAGCCAATCTGGAGACATACTATGTATACTTACTGGTTGATGGCGTTTAGGTTAACTGAAGCCTCTTCCTCAGACTGTCCACCGGACAAGAAAGTGATTCCGGGAACGGCTGCGGGCACGGTACGCTGGAGAGCGGTTACTGTGGCTCTGGCGACATCTTCCGGACTGAATTTGACTGGGTGAGATTGACCGCCCGTGACCATGTTGGGTTTCAACAGAGTTCCTTCCAAGAAGACGTTGTGGTCGGCTAACGCCTAGAAATTAGATTTAATCTTTATTTTGTTTGAAAAGAAATAGAGTATTAGAATAATATACGAGGTTATTCCACTTATTTGACACGGAGTATTAAGTGACACTGTACTCTTTGGAAATTTGTTACATCTTTAAAAATAATCTAAAATAGTAGATATATGGATTATAAGAAAATGCATTTTCTACGAAAACTTGAAGAGATAAGTACAAAATGGTATAATACAATTTGATAGACAATTAAATTGTGCATCTGATTCTCATAAAATATACAGGGCGTTCCATCTAAATTAAACAAGTTATTGCCGTATAAGCTGGTAATTATTTAATACAAATTTTTAGACACTCTGTTTAGACACTGCAAGGTAGTATATTTATATTATTGCAACACAAATTAGTAAATAGAAAAACTTCAGTACAATATTTGGTTTCAAAAATTTAAATACGCCTAGAGAAATAAAGCATTAAAATTGTTGCTGCATTTTCACAAAATCGTAAATATTTGAAAAACGGCTAACCGGTAAACCATAATCAAATTTACCTTTATTATAATCGTAAAAACTAAAAATGTATTAATATACAGGGTATTCCATTTTAAAAAAATACAACTTTGATATTTTTTATTTATTTAGGACACTGTAACCTTTGAAAATAATTTTAAAATAAAAAACTATTTTCTCCGTGTAAAAAACAATGTTTTACGCATAAAAAAATCTTTTTTTAACTTGTTACTTTTTCAACATTTCAAACTACTATATATATATACTATTTTTTCAAATATGTCCTTCAAATGCTTAAATTTAATCGCTGTTAGTCATAAGTTTCACACAGAATTTTTTTATGACTATAGATTGAGAAAATACAGATTTTTTTTCACGAATTAGTATAAAATAGAAAGAAGTGATGACAGATTACGAGAGAACTTTGTTCCAACAGTAGTACAAAACTTACCTTGTAAACGAAAGCCAAAACAGTTTCAGTAACTTTCTGGGCCCTTTCCAAATCGTGGGCGCCGTCCGGAAGTACTTCCGGTTCTACGATGGGTACGATCCTGTTGGCCTGACAGATTGAGGCGTACCGCGCCAAAACGTTGGCGTTTTCTTCGAGAGCCTGGAGAGATGGAGTGTGTTCGTTAATTTTTAGGACGCAACGCCATTTCGCGAAGTGGCAGCCGTCTTTTTTGTACTGGGCACAGCGTTTTGCTAAGTCATCCAAACCTGAAAACAAGTACCATTTTAAACATTTTCAACTTAGTAATTTATAGGTTTGTTCCAACCAGCATTTCGGGATCGTTTCGAAATCGTACTCGAATCGGTTTTCTTGCACTTCGTTAGCATGCCCGAACTTCGAATAGTTTCGTGACGGTGCAAAAAGTATCAAAGTTGGAACGCTTTGTGGATTGTTTTTTGGGGACTGTCAAGTGTCAAGCGTACGTGTATCGATCGGTTTTTTGTTTTTGTTTAGAATTTCATAACATAACCCTATTATTTTTGTTTGCAATAATAATAATTATTATTCTTGAAATGGAGAATCAGAATCCAGTAATTGTTGTTTCAACTGTATACTCACTAACTCACTTACCTATTCTCTCTTTTATGATCCTGTTATGCGTAGTTCCCTGTTATTTCATTGCAGTGGTAGAATCTTTGATCATTATTTTATAATAAAAAAAATTAATTAAAATTTCCGAACGATTTACTCCACACAAACTCACAAGCAAAAGTATAACGCACACGTATTCGAATTCGTAAAAAATAACCAAGACAGAAGCATCAGCCGCACGCCGGACCAGAATCAGCTCTTAAAAATCGATAATCCCTGCCAATATACTTTAATGCGCAAGTTAACACAAACAGTTCTCAATTTGGACCATGTACCGAAATTACCGTTCTGAAATAGTAACTAAACGATTCCAAGGTAGGTTGGTATGCAAATAGGATCGTCCGATACCCGTCAAATCTCGGTTGGAACACATTCGAATTACTGCGCACGAGCGTGATAGTTCGGCGACGGTTCTGCGGCGGGTTGGAACAAACCTTATAATTCTTCAAGCCAGTGGTGGTAATGCAGTTTTAAATACGTTTAAAATTCTTGCTTTTGAACAAAATATTTAAAACATAACAACACTGTTTACAACTACTAATACGAGACACACTGAGTACAAATCAGATGATCTATGCTAATTTTTAGGTTAGGGAGTTGCTACTAGTTATTGTCAGATGGCGTTAAATCACTTTTTGTAGTTTTCATAGTTTCCAACGGCCTCTGCCAACGGCCAAATCTTTTGCTTACCTTGGGTGGTAACTTCATCATTGCTTCCAAATAATGGTACGACACCAGTATCTACTTTGATTCCGGGAATGATTCCTCTTTGTTTCAACAATTCTGGGAATGGGGTTCCATCGTCGGCCTTCTGGTACAGAGTTTCGTGGAACAAAATTACGCCAGAGATGTAGTCTCCAATAGTTGGGCAAGTGGTGAAGAGAAGTTGCCTGTATAAATATAGGTATAAACCATTACTTATATACAGGGCAAGAACAGTTAACCTAATAGGACTGCTCATTCAGCCAAAAGTTTCCGCCAGGTGCATGCGAAAACTACTCGCTTTGTGACGTCATTGTAGCCCTTGTCATGGTTATTAGTCCTTATCCGGCAACCAATAATACACACGTGCATTATTGGTTACCGAATGCAAAACGTTCATTATTTAGTTTATTTATTTAAACACCTTATATGTATGCAGTATAGAAAATTAACTGTATAAATCGTATTAAATACTCGGATAATGCATTTTTAAGAACAGCAAGTCCCAGCATCACCTTTTGCAAGCATTCTTTTTAGGGTACTTCCATATTTTGCTTTAAAATAATTAATAAACAAAATCGTGGGCACTTAGTATGCACTTTGTCACAATCCACAACACAAAATGAACGTATTTATACACTCTATAGCTCTAAAAACTTTAAAGACACCTTTTTTACATTTAAAATTGAGAAAATAATTAACTCAAAATTTCTCAGCTGTTATTTTTATAAGTAGGCAACTAATAATATAGCAACTAATATTATAGGCAACTAATAATACACACTATCATGACAAGGCCACGAAGGCTTTGACAAGGACTACAATGACGTCACAACTGTCAGCTGAAGCGCGGGAAGAGGCGAACGTACGTCTTATGAGGATGAGCAATCCTATTAGTTTACCGTTCTTGTATACAGGGTACTCCAGGCTGAGAGTGCAATAGAAGTTTTTAGAGAACTACACTATCTAGATCAGAGATTTTTTGCACATCATTGTTTCACGATGAGATCTATCGATTAAAAATATTTTCAATATGGCAGCACTTCCGGAAATACCGGAAGTTCACAGCAACTCTCTTATTTTAAACGGGCGCCCCCATTTTTTGTTACATACTTAAATTCTCTGTAAAATTTTATTAATTTTGATATTAAGCGCTCTATACCTAACATTAACCGTTTTTGGGAAAAAAATATTTAAAATTTTTGGACGAAAAAAACTGTTTTAAAAAATATGTGTATAGCCTAAACGTCAAATTTAGAGATTACCACAGCCACTGTGCCATAAAGAGAAGACATGTGGCTATCTATTTCAAAATTTAAATTGTTCGAATGTCATATAATAATGTCCGCAGCTGTCATGGAATTGAGCGATTAAAAAATTATAAATCATTTGTTTCAAATACAAATTCACTATTATTTCACTAGCGAAAAGGTTTTCAATTCGTTATTTTTTTACTATGTTCCTAGACATAAAATAAATTGTTTTTAAGTTATTTAAGCGTATATTTTTCTTGATTTTAACCAGTAGCCTATGACTTTAAACGTCAAGTGAGGTAAAACAATAGATCTGGCCATGTCATATTGTGACACATTGTTTAAAAAGCAGTATGTTATTGATCATCATTTCCAAGCCAACTTTGCGCTGTTTTTTCCAATCATACGGTATATTATTAACAATATCAACTATTACAAATTACTAAAGAGCGAAAATACGAGATATATGTTTATACACTTTTTAAACTCTTAAGCAGCTGTATTTATAATGTAGGAAATTCAAATAATTCATTCTCTGACAGATAAATATATACATAAATTGTCTGACTGTTTGACACTTAATGTTAAAGGAAGCTAGATAAAATCAAGAAAAATATACGTTTTCAAACTAAATCTTAAATAACTTAAAAACGATTTATTTTAGGTATAGAAACATGTATACTCAAAAACTAACGAACTCCAAAAGCCTTTTCACTAGTGAAATAAAAACAGTGGGTTTCCATTTGAAAAAAATGATTTATGATACTTTTTTAATCGCTCAATTCCATGACAGCTGCAGCCATTATTATATGACATTCAAACAATTTAATTTTTGAAATAGATAGCCACATGTCTTCTCTTTATGGCGCAGTGGCTGTGGTAATCACTAAATTTGACGTTTAAACTATACACATATTTTTGACAGGCAGTTTTTTTCGTCCAAAAATTTTAAATATTTTTTTCTAATATACGGTTAATGTTAGGTATAGAGTGTTTAACATCAATATTCATAGAATTTTACAGAGAATTTAAGTATGTAATAAAAAATGGGGACACCCATTTAAAATAAGGAAGTTGCTGTCAACATCGGGTATTTCCGGAAGTGTCGCTATATTGAAAATATTTTTAATCGATAAATCTCGTTGTAATACAATGTGCAAAAAATATCCGATTTAGATATTGTGGTTCTTTAGAAACTTCTAATGCTCTAACGCTCAGCCCGAGATATGCTATACGATTTTGTGCTGTTTTGTATTTAAAAAAACGTCTTATAATACACATTTATTTTTTTGTGGAAATTTGGAAAAGGGTATAAACGGGATAAACAATTTTAGAGCAAGCAATTTTTTTTATGAAGAATGCATTTTGCTCAAAATGTCAATAAAAAAAAGTTTTTCCTCTTGTAAAGATCAATCCGGAGAGCGTAATTACTATCTGTACTATTGTGCAGAGCCAACCTGCTCTATACGCCGGTAGACTTTGTAATGGAGGACTACGCGTTTTTAAATATTTCTAACTATACTAATGTACAACGCAAGCAAGCTCTGCATCGCGGTATTGTTAGTAAATGTGTAGACGTGTCTACTTACGCCTAAATATACTCGAGCGCAGATCATGATCGCGATTTGTTTTTTCTCACGCGCTGCACTGTTCGAATAAACTTATCATGTTTAAAGCAACTATAATATTCCAAATCATCAGATGACAGAAAAGACTTAGCTAAATTAGCTACGGGAGAGAATATTGATACAGCATTTTTCGAGAACATGATGGACACTTCTTCTCCTAACAATGAAATGTCAAGTTTCAGTCAAGACAACGCCAGATTTCACTTTGGAATAGATGAAGTTCCATCATCAAATGCTATTCCCTTACTGGCATCTTCCTTGCCTGAAACGCAGGGGATTGATATCAAACGAGAAATGGCTATGCAAACATTGAGCGCTAATCTCTTGAATATAGTTCAAATAATGAAAAACGAAAACACACCGGAAGCAACGAATATGATAATACGTTTAAATAACTCATTAGAGAGGATTAAAACACCTGCCGAGGTCATGACTTTATTTGCAAAAATGAAGAACATTCGTAGACCGAAGACAATAAAAGTGCAACCTACGTCAATAAGCCGAAGAGCTGAAAGGCCTGGATTGACATCTGGGTCTAGAAGAATACAAGCTGGAAGGCCTGTCAAGAATGAAAGAACTGTTAGAAAACGTAAACATGGAAGATCATTAGCAGATGCTGTATCTGGAAATAGAAATAATGCAAAATCACATTAATGTTATTATTTTCTTTTGTACACTCGCCTTTTACAAGCTTTTCTTGTTAATAATAATGTATAAAATAAAAATGTTAAACTGTTTTAAAACTAGTTTTTACACTGACAATTTATTGGTCAATTAAGTGATAAGAGAAATATTGACAATGTAATACTAATAATATTACAATGTGTTAAGTCAACAATAAAATGATAAATAAATTGGCAGTAGTTTGGTTATGTCAGTTAGTTTGGTTAAACTTTTATTTACTTTTGTAAATAAAAGTTTTTATCTTGGCCTAGCGCGCGTAGCGTAAATATAGTATGTTTAGAAGTTTTTAAACCCGGCTATTTACACATTTACTAACAATACTGCGATGCAGAGCTTGCTTGCGCTGTACAGGGTGGGTCAAATTCGACGCTTTTAAATGGAAACACCCTTTTCTATAGGAGATAGACGAAAACTAATATCGGTGTCTGGAGCTCAATTTTCATCAAAAACATGATGGTGAAAACCGCACGTCAATATCTCTTACCGTTTCGGAGTTACGGGGTGTTTTTCAAAAATGTGCATTTTTAACCAATCGCTGTAACTTTTTTACTATGGAAAATTTTGTATTTCTATGAAAACATTTCCAAAGCACCTTTTTACGTAGAATTTAATGGTTTAAGTATAATTTTTTTAAAATTAATAATTTAAGAGTTATCAACAGAAAAATTGATTTTTTATTTGGGACACCCTCTATATTTTTAATTAACAAAAAAGAATTTAAAATTACCTTTCCAAAAATATAGCACACTTGATATTTTGTTATAATCCCCTTTAAAAAATACAGAAATACAGAATTTTTAAAAGTTCGCCACTTTTAACTAGTAGACTTTGGACCCCTTATTGATGATATGCCCTTAATGGAACTGGAAAACATATTTTTCCAGCAAGACGACGCACCGCCTCTGAACGCTGAAGTTATCAGCAAATTTTTGCAGCCAATTTCAAAAATACTTGAACAGCTAACCAAGATCCCAGCCGTTGGCCGTCGAGGCCGCCTGACTTAGTGCCCATGGATCTAATACTATGGATATATTTGCGCAAGAATAAAGGTTCCTTATTCTGCCGTATAATCTAGACAAGAATTAGAAATACTTAGCAGTTATGAGAAGGTATCTTTCACCCCCACTTAGTTTATGAATTCAGCGAGAAATGTTCAAAAACTACCCCGTCTGCCCATAACAGAAGACGGTTGATATGTCGAACACCTGTAGCAAAATCGCATGCCTTGGTTTGCTATTTATTTTTATTGTTATTAGATATAGTTAAATTTTGTTGATGTTGGTTAAATATATTTTAAATTGTTATAAAATTCTGCATCTCTCATAGGAAATATTATTTTCGTTTTAATTGATTCTCACAGCTAGAATTTTTTTGCATTACAGCCGGTGCCGTTCAAAGCCTACTTATTTAAAGCGGGCGATTTTTTATACTCCATTTCTCAAAGAGGAATCGAGCAAAATATCAATATCAATCAAATATCAATATTTTTGGAAAGGTAATTGTAAATTCTTTTCATTTAATTAAGAATACAGAGGGTGTCCCATATAAAAAATCAAATTTTCTGTTGATAATTCTTAACTTATTAATTTTAAAAAAATTATACTTAAACCATTAAATTCTACG